GGTATAACCAGGTTTTTACCAGGTAATGTCTCAGGATATAACCAGGTTATAACAGGGTAATGTCTCAGGTTTTAACAGGGTAATGTCTCAGGTTATAACCAGGTTATAACCAGGTAATGTCTCAGGTTATTACCAGGTTATAACCAAGTAATATCTCAGGTTATAACCAGGTTATAACGAGGTAATGTCTCAGGTTATTACCAGGTTAAAACAGGGTAATGTCTCAGGTTATAGCCAGGTAATTACCAGATTATAACCAGGTCACTACCAGGTAATGTCTCAGGTTAAAACCAGGTTATTACCAGGAAATGTCTGAGGATATAGCCAGGTGATTACCAGGTTAATACCAAGTAATGTCTCAGGTTATAACCAGGTTATTACCATGTATTGTCTCAGATTATATACCAGGTTTTTACCAGGTAATGTCTCAGGTTATAACCAGGTTATAACCAGGGTATGTATTAGGTTATAACCAGGTTATATCCAGGCTATTGCCAGGTAATGTCTCAGGTTATAACCAGGTTAAAACAAGATAATGTCTCAGGTTATAACCAGGTAATGTCTCAGGTTACAACCAAGTAGTAACCAGGTTATTACCAGGTATGTCTCAGGTTCTAACCATGTTCTAACCAGGTAATGTCTCAGGTTACAACCAGGTAATGTCTCAGGAAACAACCAGGTAGTAACCAGGTTATAGCAAGGTAATGTCTCAGGTTGTAACCAGGATATAACAAGGTAACATCTAAGGACATAACCAGGTTATAACCATGTTTAAACCAGGTAATGTCTCAGGATATAACTTGGTTAAAACCAGGTAATGTCTTAGGATATAACCAGGTTTTAACCAGGTTATAACAAGGTAAAGTCTCAGGATATAACTAGGTCATAACCAGGTTTTAACCAGGTCACTACCAGGTAATGTCTAAGGTTTTAACCAGGTTATTACCAAGTAATGTCTTAGGATATAGCCAGGTAATTACCAGGTTATAACCAAGTGATGTCTCAGGTTATAACCGGGTTATGACCAGGTAATGTCTCAGGTTTTAACCAGGCTATTACCAGGTAATGTCTCAGGTTATAACCAGGCTATTACCATGTAATGTCTCAGGTTATAACCAGGTAATGTCTCAGGTTGTAACCAGGTTATAACAAGGTAACGTCTAAGGACATAACTAGGTTATAACCAGGTAATGTCTCAGGATATAACCAGGTTTTAACCAGTTTATAACAAGGTAAAGTCTCAGGATATAAGTAGGTTATAACCAGGTAATGTCTCAGGATATAACTAGGTTAAAACCAGGTAATGTCTTAGGATATAACCAGGTTTTAACCAGTTTATAACAAGGTAAAGTCTCAGGATATAACTAGGTTATAACCAGGTAATGTCTCAGGATATAACCAGGTTATAACCAGGTAATGTCTCAGGTTATAACCAGGTTAAAACCGGGTTATAAAAGGGTAATGTCTCAGGTTTTAACCAGGCAATGTCTCAGGTTGTATCCAGGTTATAACTAGGTTATAATCAGGTTATAACCAGGCAATGTTTCAGGTTATAACCAGGTTGTAACCAAGTTATGTCTCAGGTTATTACCAGGTTATAACCAAGTAATGTCTCATGTTATAACCAGGTTATAACCAGATAATGTCTCAGGTTAGTACAAGGTTATAACAGGCTTATGTCTCAGGTTATTACCAGGTAATAACCAGGTTTTAACCAGGTCACTACCAGGTAATGTCTCAGGTTTTAACCAGGTTATTACCAAGTAATGTCTTAGGATATAGCCAGGTAATTACCAGGTTATTACCAAGAAATGTCTCAGGTTATAACCAGGTTATTACCAGGTAATGTCTCAGGTTTTAACCAGGCTATTACCAGGTAATGTCTCAGGTTATAACCAGGCTATTACCATGTAATGTCTCAGGTTATAACCAGGTTATAACCTGGTAATGTCTCAGGTTGTAACCAGGTTTTAACCAGGTAATGTCTCAGGTTATCACCAGGTTATAACCAGGTAATGTCTCAGGTTGTAACCAGGTTATAGCCAGGTTATAACCAGGTTATTACCAGGTAATGTCTCAGGTTATAACCAGGTTATAACCAGGTTATGTCTCAGGTTTCAGCCAGGTTATAAATAGGTCATAACCAGGTAATGTCTCAGGTTATAACCAGGTTATAACTAGGTAATGTCTCAGGTTATTACCAGGTTATAACCAAGTAATGTCTCAGGTTATAACCAGGTTATAACCAGGTTACTACCAGGTAATGTCTCAGGTTATAACCAGGTTATAACAGGTAATGTCTCAGGTTATTACCAGGTAATTACCAGGTATTGTCTCAGGTTATAACCAGGTTATTACCAGGTAATTTTACAGGTTATATATAGGTTATTACAAAAGCAACAAGCACAAGAAGGTGTGTGTGCGTGTGTGTGTTTTAATTAATGCATCTTAAGAAGTTTAAGTTTAGAAAGTGGAAGAAGAAAAGGAAGAATTGGAAGATTTCCCCATTGACTTCAATGTTAAAATTTTGGCACAAAATGTTAAAAAAAAAAAAAAAAAGTATAAAAGGTAGAAAGGTAGAAAGGTAAAAAGTACGAGCCCTCATGTCCTGAAGGAGTGGAATAATGTAATGTTTGAATGGTTTAAATAGCACAAAGTAGGGAGGAGTTAGAAGCCGATGAAAATGGGCGGAACAATAATAATAATAATAATAATAAACAAAATGGCAGATGGGAAGAACAATAAGTGGAAATGCTGATTAAGCATTTCCACTTAATAACAATGAACAGCAAAGAGCTACAAGTGTGTGGGGCTAGTAATCTACTTGTACTGAATCCTATTTTACAGTTGACCTCAAACGTGGAAAAGAAGGTTATTTTAGCAAAAATCTGTATTGAGATCGAAGTGGGATTGAATTTAAGGAGACGAATTTGACCAACACAACACTCAGAGTTTTTAATTCACATTACCAGCACTGCCAATTATTCTTATTGACTTTCAATGCCAATCAAAACATGTCCCAAGTAAGAACATAAAGTTAAAAAGGGGATGAAAGCGATAACCTCAAGCTAACTCAAACCATAACTTTCTTTATTGAGATATCAACCTCCACATTAAATCTGGTACAGAAAGTGTGTATTAAACTGCTCTTTTCATCTAAATTTAAAAGTCAAAAAATCAAGTTGGCTATTCTACAGCATTACAGCGCTTCTTAATTTATAAATAAATGATTCAAAGACTGAGAAACAGACTGTGAGTGTGTTTCAAGGGGAAAAAAATAATGTGTCAGGACATATTAGCAGATATACTGATTTTCATGTACAAGTGAATTCATGTTAAAGCTACTGTGGGGAATATTCAGCCGATTATAACTGACTGATATTGATAGGGATGCCTCTGTGTGGCCTTAAAAAGCAAATCAGACCACCTTTGAAGGGTTTGTTCATCTCTACAAAGTTATTTGTATCACATAAATACATGTGTCTTGTGACAAAAAGAATATGAAACACAGTGTAAGTCCAAAATCAAATCCTAAATTTGCAAATCTTTAGATTTTTGCTGGCACTATCACAGATTTAACTCTGAACTGTCTCAGAATATAATCTGCTGGGAGGTCTCTGTCATGTTTCAAATGTTACACTCTGCATATTAAATGCAAAAGAGGTAAAAGATTGTTTTAGAGACACATTGGTAAACTACTGTTTAATATCACACCCCTATAAATTTGAGTTTGCATTTTACTGTCATCATAAATTAAATCATTCTTACCTCCTGTTAAAGCCCGAGCACGCAATTCTCGTCATAATCACTGTAAACGTCATAACGTCATAATCACTGTAAATATCTATGCACACATTTAATCCTTGTCGATGCCTTGCTTAACTATCACGAAAGTCTCGACAGTAACACAAGTTTGTATGATAATATTGTCATGAAATCTTACGGTCTCCATGTCGTAGATGTTGTCCTCTCTGTTCAGGTGTTGGTTAGAGGTGTTTGTCGGAGTCCTTAGTCGTCTGGTGAGGTTTTATCTACGATGAAGCCGTCAAAAGTTGTAAGTTCGTGAGCCGCTCAAGTTTTTCGTGCTGTTCTCTTCAGATTTGATCTTCAGAAATGACCGCTCTCTTTTGCTTGTAATGATTTAAAGTTTTTACATCGTTACAGGTTACCATGGAGATTTAAAATGCTGTTTACTTTAGAAAAACCCTTACACTGGTAGGTTATATCTAAAAGTTTAATATTATTTTTAATTTACTTTAATCTCAATTCAATATAAATATCTCTCGAAGTAAAGTGGAGGTTATTTTTCGTGATTGAAGATAATTATTAGTTTAATTATCTCTTAAATACAACGGAGTATAAGGGGCACAATTAGAAAAAAAAGTTTTTAAATCTTAAAGAATAAAGTTATTATTTGGGAGAATAAAGTCATTAATATCAGTATTAAGTCGTAAAGTTACCTGTTGTGAAGGAGAGTTGTTAAAATCAGCACTGTGGAGCGTTTAGATGAATTGTACTTTAGTATAGGTGTCACAAACATGGAGATACTTAATCTTTTGGTACATGAGCATTACACTGTCATGAGTATCAGAACTTATATTTGAGATCTATGAGAAATGCTGCTTTTGTGGAGGGGAAGATGGCTGTACAGAGTCTAAATCCGTCAATACAGCTGTTAATAGCAATAGCATAGGGCTTTAGTTTATCATATGAGTTTATATGCCATGAGGTGTTGAGGTCTCTGCATGTGTAGGTTACTGACTTACTGTAATCATCGGGTCTATCTCGTCCTTATAAAAACCTGCTCTATTCCCATGACTAGTGTCCCTTTACTAATCTATAAAAACAAAACCATTTCTCATTGCAGTAGTTCACTGTATTTTTGCAGTGTTTTAGCTTGATGGGTCAATTTGCTGTTTTTTTTTTTTTTTTTTTTTTTTTATGTAACTAAAGGCTGGGTCTGAAAATAATGGATTTGTGGGCTTCTCATACCCACTAACACGTTTTGCTCGTCTCTCAGTGCACTATCACATTTTGTTTTTGTTCCGGGATTTCCTGGCTGACTGTCTTACTCTTGGCATATGGCTGCTTTGGATAAAACGCTCCTCTCCCCAAGCATGACACACTTACTGGGCTGCAGAGCCGAGCCACGGGACGAGCCACGGGACACAGAGAGGCAGCCGTGAGGACGCAGACACACGAGGAAGAGGAGGAGAGAAGGAGGAGGAGAGGAGGACGCGACGGAGAAGAGCAGATGATAGCTATCGATGATGATCATTATGCTTTAGACAGAAGGATGTTCCTGCAGAAAGGAGAAGAATATAGCTTTGCGAGTTGGACGATTGTGACAGTGATGAAGATGGCGATGATGATGATGATGATACTGCTGTGAGGACGGGACCTCTTGAAGGATGATGTTCGGACGTTCGCAGCGCGTGTCTGCTCAGTGTTGATTGTCGTGCGGGGAAATCTCGGGTATCACCGAGAGTTTAACGAAGCGCTATTCTGAGGAGGTGGGCCAAGTCCCGAGAGAGAGAGAGAGAGAGAGAGAGAGAGAGAGAGAGAGAGAGAGAGAGAGAGAGAGAGACTGGATAATCACACTGGGATGTTGCTGCTGCTGCTGCTGCTGCTGCTTCTCTCAGAGGAGTGAGGCGACATAGTAGAGCAGATGAAAAGACCCCTGCGTGCTCGTGGACATATAATCCTACATTATTTTTGCAGGTAAGCAGCCTATCTCTCTCGCTCTTTGTCTGTGTCGCTTTCTCGCCCTCTCTACCTCATATACCTGTAAACTCTCTCCCTTTCTCCCGTGATCTAAACTACTAGTTACCCTGCACGTTACAAAACAAGAACAGATTCGCACAAAGGATAAGGATGTACTTCAGACTATGTGATAGGTACTCTTATGCTGACTTGATCTTGGTAGGGTTTTTACCTCCTAGTGTTAAAATAACATTATGTAATGATCCAATAGGTGCACTGAAAAAGAGATTACTACAACACTGTAGTGTGCAGTAGAAATAAAGTCAGTGGTGGCTTTCAACTACACATTTCTGAATGACTTCAGCACATTTTTATGGTATTTGTGGATGGATGCAAGTTGTACTATTTTTTACTTGTAATATATCATAGAACTTTCATTATCTGGACTCCTGACTAAAGCCACCTTGTCTCATAATAGAACATGTATATGCTGCTAAACTGTAAATAAAAGAGTTCAAGTGTCTTCCTCCACAACCTTCAAAAACATGAAAATGCCGCTTACATAAACATGTATCAGTCTCTTCTCTTACTTTAAGATGCACCATATTCACCAGTTAAACTGTTGTTGTTAATACTTGTAATCAAGAAAAAGGCTTTACTCCTTGTACCCTTGGAGCTCCTCAGTAAAAAGAAGTAGAAAAGTGTTCGCAGTTGGAGAAGCAGTGAATGAGAGGTCAAAGGAGACAGGAATGAGTAGAAAAGACGCTACTATCGCTAAGGATTCAACCAAACTTATCATCTACCTGTAATTGTTAATGGGCTGAAAAGTGAAGACCAAACTTAATATGATTTCATTAACACCATGAACACTTTATGGTTCACACATTCTTTATGAATAGAAGATCCCAAAACATCTGAACCCCCCAGAATGAAACAGTGAGGGGCAAAAATAAAAGCGTGATAATTCATCTTAACTATAGACCACAACAAACACACAGTTCGTCCCTATAGAAATACATTGTAGGCGTGTTGTAGTGATTTTTGGATCTGTTCAACCCCCCTTTCTCTCTTTCTCGCTCAGCTTTCCTTTCCTCCCAGGCTTTTCCTCCCACACACTCGAACGCTGTTGTTTCAGCAGTGAAGTACAGAAGCTTTACAACCCTACAGTAACACTAACAGTTACAGTGGAAGAGAGGAAAACTGGCCAAATGTTTTCATCAGCTATCTCCCAGATCACCATGCAGGCTGAGTTATATAAAAGTTATTTCAGTGTTGAAAAGGTGGAAATCCAAACAGGTGCTGATGACGTAACAGAGACCAAGGGGTCAGGTTAAAAACAGAAACACAAACAGAAAAATAGAACAAAAAAAAGGAATAAAAGAAAAAAAAAAGACACATTAAATGACTACGTTTTTGTGGTCATGTGTGTGAAAAGCTCCTTTTTCCAGCTTTAATATGTGTGACTTTTTTTGTGACAGAGGTTGACAGCTTGATGTAAAGAGCTTCACAGTAGCAGAGCAGCGTGCAGCCTTGATGCTCAGTTCCCCAGAGGATATCAAAGCCCGTCCTCGTGTTATCTAAGTGGCTTTTTCTCTTCACTCAGCTGTGAAGGTCAGCTCTACAAAAAGCCCTTTGACTTTGGTCTGACACTTACATGCTCTTTAAACTGGACCAAATTCATTGAACCAAGACCAGAAAATGACCTTCAGTTGTAGTTCTTAAGCAAGGGTAAAATAAAATGATAAAACAACCTGTAGCTCTTAACACAATAATAGTCTACGTGCAAATGATTTAGAAAAAAAGGAAGAGTGCTAAAGATCATAAAGATTGCACGATTCTGGTTTAAGAAATTCAAGAAATGAGAAAAAAAAAGGTGTTGCTCCAGCCGTGGTTTCACAAACAATCTGGTGGTCCTTGCTGTTTATGCTAAATTATGCTTAGAAGCAGGTTCTTTTTTATAGGAGATTTTGTAAACACTGACAATGATTTATCCAAGGCTTTGGTCCCACAAGATAACTATCTGATTGACTGACTGGGAACCAACATATGGTTGTTTTTAATAGCATTCCAGAAAAAGAGATATATTTTTGATAATGTAAATGACTTAAAAATAAAGAATTGAATACAGATTTAAACAACATTAAAATGGAAATATTGCTACTTTAAGAGGACAGGTAAGATTCATGAAACAGCATGGGAAAGAGGTGCCAAATAGTTAAGTGTTTCATCTGATGGACTATTTTGTTCTCTTATCCTTTTTTGGCCCTGACATCTCGAGTCAAAGTCTTTAACAATGATAATAATCTTTTCTGAGAAGATCCTAAAAGAGGAACATGAAATATTTCTTTATATAACATGATTATATTGAAGTCAATTGAGATTGCGTGAAGACTTTATAACAAGGGATGATCCCTCTGTTCTGTGAGGACTGACCCTCCAACCCTCTCACTGTGGGGTCGCCTCTGTGACCCGGCTGTCTCAGGAAATGATCCCAAAGGCTTTCGGTGATGGCACGGACGCTCGTACCACGGGTCCTGCCTGCTCGGCTACAAACACGAGTCAGTGTGTGATTGTTGCTGTTGCCAGGACTGACAGGTTGAATGGATGACAGGGCTGTGTGGGCCAAATAGACTGTCAGAGAGAGCTGGGAGGAGATGGATGAGAGGAGGGAGTGAGGGACAAAGAGAGAATCAGAGGGAGGGAACACCAGAAAGTAAGATGGAGAAATGATAGAGTGCTGTTGTAGCTACAGGCAATACCTGAATCTTTAGTTTTGCTTTCTCTGAACGCTCCTATCCCTCACTTGTGCCTGCTTTTGTCTTCATATCAGTGCCTGCTTTATCTACTTTGTAGCGTAACACAAGCTCTGCGAGTGAGAGGTTTACTCCCTAAAACCTCATAACTTCTGTCGCATACTTTTTTAAGGGGCAGCATAGCAAGAAATTCATACAATCATTTCATTCCTGAAAACAGATATCTTCATATTTTATCAAAACTAACAAAACACCAAAACCAAAACAACATGGCAGATTCAGGTGGTCATTAAAAAGCCATTACAGGTTGTCATGAATAAGACAAAGTTTAGGTTAGTTTTGGGAATTGATAAGATTTATCGATATCGATGCCATTATCAATTCTGGTTATTGATTTAATTCTTTAACGATTCCCTTATTAAAGCCTTTCTTTGATTAAAAAAAAAAAAGTAGACCATAGGTTTTCACCGTTAGCTCAAAATTTTATTGAGTCTCTGATAACAGAAAAAGATGTACGCCAAAAATAATCAAATGACAAACTATTTGTACAGCATTTACTTCGGTTAGTATTGAATCAAATTAGGGTGACCATATTCTGGAGTCCCAAAAAGAGGACACTGCTATGTGGGGCAGAGTCTCGAGCAAAATTTTGAGAGTTTTTCAGGTCTGGTCGAGTGTTTTTCTAATGCAGCTTGTCCACACTACACAAACTCAAAACTACCATACAAAATCCCGGACATTTTAAGGATTTTATAAACTCTCCTGGACAAGGCAGGACAGCCCTCACAAAAAGAGGACATGTCTGGGTAAAAGAGGACATTGTTAAGTCTGGCATGCCTTGTGCTTATATTAACACAGGACATACATACCTTTCATGCCGTGCTGAGCTGGCGAAGCACTGGCTGACGACCCGTGGAGAGTGTCAAATACATGTGACTCCATATATTTGATGTCGTGTCCTGTTTAATGTTTGAGCATGTTGCTGGTGTTTCCACCTTTGCATGTTATCACTGCTTGATAAACATTAAACATCGCGCCGTTGTCGTCTTCCTTAGTAAAATGAAGCCACGCTTTAGATCGTTTCTGCCTACCATCGTACCATCTGCCATGTTTATTTCCTTTAAGTCGCTGTTCTCGTTCTCGTAGACTGGCTCTCATAAGACCGTTTTCTAGGCACATGGAAGAAAGGAATCCTTAAGATAAAATGAAAATGATGTTGATGGATCAAACCATTTGGAACCGGTTCTCAATAAGAGAAAATTGAAGAAAATGAAATTAAGTTAAAGAAATGCAAAAGGATAGAATAAAAACAGGATTAAAAGAAATCAACATGAGCTGCTGGTTCACAACTCGGTGCCAGTTCTGTCCTTTATTTTCTCATCTTCGTCTTATCTGTAGTTGCATGGGAAATTTACAGTGTATGCTCTCTCATCCGGTCCAGTTTGAATTTCAGAAGCCTTTCATCTTTTAACAATCTCTCTCAGAGGACAGTTCAACGTGATTTTCAGAAATTGGCAGAAGCCTGCTGTTGGCAATAACGAGCAACGCCAGTCTGTAGAGAAATGACATCATTCCCATTTTGAGGCTGAGTTGCAATCCTTCTGAACACCCTTTCTCTTTTTCTGCACAGCGTCTAATGGAATGATGCGCATACGTTTTCTCATGTTAGTACTGCAGGTCAGAGCGCTAGTTGTCTGGAAATGTGACTTTGATGCTTTTGGGAGGTTCACTGTGTTTTGGGTTGTTTGTTCCAGCCTTTTTGTCCTGTCCTCATGAGTTTTGCATTTTCACACCTCTCCATCATTACTTGTTTAATCATTTACAATTCTTTAAAAAGACATACCATTTTCTTCATTAACCTTGTGTTGTTAATGCTCAGACACACCTTTTCAGAAACAAGGATTATGGGACATAAGACACTCGTGCCGTTAAAAAAAACTACAGCCTCCTAAACTGTAAAATGAGAAAGTTTCAACTATTTTCCTTTTCAATACATTTATCTTTTCTTAAAAAACAAAGTTAGGATATTACTACAGAATACGGACCCTAAAAGGCATGAAACGCAGGGCATTAAAGGACTGAATTTGAATATTTTATTGGTTTAATTAACTGCAGATAAAGTCAGGGTTTCTTCTCCTGCTTTTCCTCTGTAGCCTCAGTTTTTCTTGCAATCTGTAGTTGGGTTTGAGTTGACACAAATGCTGTGACTTTTGTTTTCTTTTCTCTCTCTCTTTCTGTCACACACACTATAGCACAAGACTTGGGTGAGAAAAGCCTTATGTGTGTGTGTGTGTGTGTGTGTGTGTGTGTGTGTGTGTGTGTGTGTGTGTGTGTGTGTGTGTGTGTGTGTGTGTGTTTGAGGAGAGAGATAGCTGAGTCGAGCTGCCAGAGTGCGTTGACTGTAATATCTGTCTGTGTGAATAGGGACAGTTATGTAACTACAAGGCAGAATGCATCCTAGGTTCATGTGAGTCACATGCCCAGTGTCACACACATGGTCGTGTACACACCTCATATACAAACACAAAGTGATGGAACAATGTTAAAACTGGATTCCTTCATTCTTTGCAACAAGAGGAAGTGCCAAAAGATATCTCATCATGAAGTCACAGTGGTAAAATAAATTGTTTGACTTGGGTAAATTCTATTGATATGAAAAAATAAATAAATATTAATAAAAAGGTATCGAAATATGAAAAAAAAAATGTAACTGACCAGTTATTCTGGTGCTGACTGGCTCGCTGATACAGTTTTATAGCACAGTCGCTAATAGTTGGGGTGACTATAGCTCAGCGGTAGAGTCGGTGGTCTTTCTTTTCTTTTTTTTTTTATTAATGTTTATTTCCTTGTTGCAGTTACATGGATAAGAGGAACTACATATGTGCATATATCAGTATCTGTCCAGTCTTTTTTTTTATCCTTTACAAACAGCAACAACAACAACAAAGAAATGCAGTCCAGCAACAATGTACAAAGCAAGCCAGACCTGCAACACAAAACATAGATTTATAAAACCAAACCAAACAAAACACCCTACGAAGTCTACACAACTATCCCAATCCTGTACCTGCATATAATAAAATAAAGGTAGATGGTGACATCCTTCCATATCCAGCAATTGAGCTAGGAATTGGCCCCACACCTCATTAAATAAGTCTTACCTACCGGCTACTCAATAGGTGACCCGCTCGTAGCTGGCCATTGAGCTCAAACCTGTATCCACTACTTAAAAGTGGACCGAGTGGGAGTGGTTATCTGGAAGTAATCCCAACAGACATAAAGCAAGGTTTTTGACCAAGTGTGTGCCCAGACTAGAAAAGCTTTATGTCAGTAAAAGTCCATTGAAGCCCCGTTAGCTAAAGCCAATACCAAACTAAGTCTTGTTTTAACCAAACAATGAGCTGAACTTTTACTTTTATGAAAACTGAGGATGAAGTATAAGAAAAAGCAACATTTTCTGTCTGGACCATCCATTTTTCTGTCCTCTCATCATGAAAGAAGACTTAAAGGCACTGCACATCATGTCCAGGGCGAAACTCTAGAACGAAACTCTAGTATGAAATGCAGTGGTACTGTGACTCGCTGTGAGCTCACGAAAGTTTTCGATTTTGTTGCCCTGTCATCCTCCTAAGCTCCTCAGTTCACATTTAAGCAAGTGCGTCATATGGTCGCTCCAGTGACAGAACACACAGCAAACATAATTTGATAATCCTTCACAAATAAACAGCACAAACTATATTAACCGTTATTTCACTATGATCTTCTCTGTCTGTACAGAGGTAGAACAACCAGATTAAGTGTAACTGCAGGTTTGATAATTGACTGAATAATGCACCCTCTCTATTTTAAAGGTACATTTCACTTCAACAAAAGACATAAATTCTTTTCAATCTTGTGGTGTACCCCATTTACTATTCTGTTTTCAATTACAGTTTTCATAATCCAAGTTGTTTTTAACGATGACATGTTAGTAGTCTTTTTGTCTGTTTGGTTGTGTGTATGGAAGTTGGGGGTGGGGGGGTTGGGGGGTCAGGTATTGATTGGAGCATCTGACCCCTGTGGTCATGTTCCGGAAAGAAGCAACAAACATGTACGCACACATTTTCGAGCACAGGGTAGCGTGGGTGGCCACTTGACTTCCTCACTCATACACAATCACACACAGAATTACACACAACACACTCACACACTTACACACATCCTTTGCCTAGGGCTTTATAAACAGCCGGTCTTGGAGGTTGTGACTTGCACATCAGTCCCCCTCCCCTCTGTGTCTCCCTCTCTCTATGAGCAAACAGAGTGCCTACCTGCTCCTGTTTGTTCTCTCTCTCTCTCTCTCTCTCTCTCTCTCTCTCTCTCTCTCTCTCTCTCTCCCTCTCTCTCTCTCTAGACCTGCTCCACACATTGACCTCTCAGTAACATGCTCTCTCTCTCTTTCTCTCTCTTCCTGTCCTTTCGTATTACATCCAGCAGCTCTGTGAGGTGTAGACCAGTTGAAGTTGGCTTCCTGCCTGTTGAGATGTGCCAATAGGAAACACTGTGAACAGGGGTTCATGCTGATGAAATTGATCTGCTCAGGTAAGGAACAAGACTTCTTCTTTTCTTCCTCTTTTGAATGCTTTAATGAGTCTCAAGTAGGGTTGGGCGATAAATTATCATTTGCAATATATCGTCAGAAAAATCCTCCATGATAAATATTTGCCATCTCAAGTTGATGCAAGTTGATGATATAAGCGCAAGCATCGGACTCCCAGCCATAGCCCACTCAGTGCAGAATGGCAAACGCACATGGCTGAAGGTAATGAAGAAGACGTTTCTGAGCAGCTTGTTACTGAATGAGGCTCCACATGAAGGATTTCCTTTAACCCTCAGAACTCCCAGCTATATTTAGCTATTTTTGCTCCACCTGGCTTTTTTTTTTTTTTTTTGTAAAAATCTATGTAGCAACTCGATCCTTTCGAGCACAGTAAACATATATGCATCTTTTTTTTTCAGGGCAACCTCAGCTGTCAGTTTATGGATCCAAAAATTATGTAAAATGAATGTAACAGTAGATTCAGAACCTTCCAACCAATAAAAAAAAAAAAGTCTTGGCTGTCAGGAGAAGAAATATTTGGATTGGAACAAACACAACGGAAATTATTTACGTATTTACACTAATTCTTCCAGGCATTTTTTACTATTTACAGTTGTTTATGCCACTCCTTGAAGCAGTTCCTGTCTGGGATGAGACAGAGGGCCACATCATTGTGCTCATAATCTCTTCTCTGCTTGTTTCCAAGCATTGAGGACCATTATTTCTGATATTGCTGACAAGCAGGGAACGTTCTTTTCTCTTGTTGATCTTTGGTTGCCTCTTATTGGACATTACCGTCAAGGGGACAATAGAAGAAGAATATGAGACCATGTAATTGATTGAAAGTTTGATAGAAAAAGACGTCATTAAAACAGATCGTCAAACCTGAACAACATTTAGCATTTAGCGATAGGGATCTTTTTTTTATCACAACAATATGATAAATAATCATGTTTTCACCGGTATATCACTGCAGATTTACCATCAAACGTCTCTGATCAAACACCTATTTTTGTGGCTGGATTGTAAACCTTGTGGCAGGTGTAGAAATGTCTGGTAATGCTCGATAAATCGCCAAAAGGGTAAGCCTTTGAACACTTTTCATCCCATAGTGATACTCGGTATAGTTCTAGAGAAACTGTAAACAATATTAATGGTGTCACATGGGATTGCTGGCGATCCAGCAGAGTTCTAAGTGTTAAGATTGGGGCTTAGATGAGTCCAATCAGGTCTGCCTGACATTGGACAGTAGATCTGCTGCTGTTCACTCTGTGCAATAAGAGTTTTCAACAAATGTTAAAAATGTTTTCACATTTCATATTGTTTGATGTCATTAGTTTTCTCCATAACTTACCACTCAAACTTGTGGTTAAGTATCTTATATGACTCGTCCAGCTGGTGTTCTCAAGACAAAATCAGTCAAAAATATAGACTGGAGTTACAGTACTTTTCATTAGGACTTCTATTGTTATCGCCAGAATGGCAAATCTTATCATGAGAATTTTTTTTGCCCATATCACCCATCCCTACATGTAACACATAACTCAGTGTATCGCAGGTTTTATATTGGACAATCAAATTACTGTAAAAAGTGCAGCTATGGACATTTTTAATTCATAGGTTTCGAAGGTGATCCCAGGTCATTTTTATTCTCCATTAAATTTTATGCTCAATTAGTCGAGATCATCCTTGACAGTATTTATACCAAAAGAAAAAAATGTCAAGGAACAAAGTAAAATTATAATATCACATCTTAAATGACCACTGTAAGATTAATTTGGTGCCTGACAGCAACTGTACTTTAAGATTGACAGGAACTTGTAATTTCCCTCTAAATCAGTCAACCTTGGATTTCTGTGTTGTTGTAAATCATGTTTCATTTTTGTCAGGAGAGCAAAAACTGTTCAGGGTAAATCTCAAACTAAAATGAACAGAATCGGTTTGCTGCATATTGTGATCTGCTGTTGTTGTTGTTGTGGTGGGTATCCTCTGTGTTATTCTTAGCCGGACAACAGGTCAAGCTTTTAAACTCCTGAGAACAAGGTAGACATATTTATGGAAGCCTGCCATCTCAATAAAAGATGAATTGCTGTCTTATGCAACAGCTGCTGACCACACTGGAGGTGGGGAGAGACAGGATGTGGGAGGAACAGATGGACAGATAGATGGACAGATGCAAGACTTTTTTTATATAGATGTGTGTTTTCCTGCTGCAGTTGCCCTCCAAGAAGAAACTGTCAATCTTACTTCTGTCCCCTTTCTCACTGGCATGCATCCCTCAGGTGTCCTTCCTATCTGACTCTCTGTCCTTTTGACACCCTCTTTATATCTGTTTCTGTTTCTCTCCATCTCTCCCACCTTTTATATCTCTCTTATAGTCTCCTCCTCTCTCTGATCTATTATTCACAGCCCTCTCTGACTCTCTTTCTTCCCCCCCGACACCTGAAATCCCTCCGTCCGCTCCAGGGCGTTTAGACCTCCACCAGCAGTGCCTTCCTCACAGGATAAGAAGTAGAATGATGAATAAATGAACAGAGTGAAGAGATAAAAAGCTTTTGGATGGGCAGCTCTATAGACATGTCAAGGTATTTCTGCGAGCAGCCTATTGTAGAGGTTGACATTTTACACAGTCCAGTGTAGTGCTTTTAAAAGACTGGTTTCAGTCATGTAAGGTAAGGTTAGGACAAGATGTTGGAGCAGAGTGGAAAGTGAATTTTAATCAACGCACCTGAGACTAGGGGCTCTATTTTGGTGCCTCGCCGGAGATCTGCCGCAAGCGCAGCGTCAATCAGATCCGCCGCGCTGACAAGGCGTTCCCAAGCACATTTTGGTATTTTGGTGAGCCACGCAGCCCGGCGTAAGTTTCCCCCCTCCCTAACTCAGCTCCTCCCGGCAGCATAAGTCATAGACGGGGAGGAGAGAGGGCGTATAGGGGGTTTAACACAGCCGAGACCTGTTTTCACCAATCACATAAGCTCCTCTCCTTGCCTTTAAATCCGCCACCGGCGAGGCGTAATACTATTTTCATGAAGTAGTCAAAGAGATCAAGAGATGTCTGAAGACAGTTATGCCACACGATGGCGACAGAGGGCAGCTGCTCAACAAGTGTCCTCCACACTCTCTCATCTGAGCACAGATGGATTTAGTGTGCGTAATGTTGGACCCACTGGTAAGACAAACACCCTTTTCCACAAAAAAGACACTCACATTAAGTTGCCTATATTCAAACCTCACGTGACAAAGGTGGGTTTAGCGCACAGATCACAACATAAACTCCAAAAATGGCATTAAAATCTGAACCAAAATACTACTAGACCAGCTGCGTTCCGCCTTGCGCTGAAAGCTGACCAGGTTTGAATCGGCGAGCTTTCAGCGCACGTTACACGCCGGTGGCAAGCACGAAAATGTCACTGCGCCAGCTGATTCTGTCAACACCTCCCCCTGCCACGCCACCACGCCCAGCTTGGCGGATCTCGGCTCGCCCCCGTGCGACTCAGTCCACGAAAATACCAAACTCGCCTTACGCCGGGCTCCACCAGACGAAAATACAACTGCGCGGGGCTCGCCGCCCTCCGCCGCCTCACCGGCGCGAACGAAAATAGAGCCCTAGGGGTGTACTGAAGTGACTGGTTTTCAAGATTTTTTTATAGTAAATTTATTTTTTGACAAACCGAGTACTCTGAAGGTGGGGGAAAAAAACAAACAACAAAAAGTAAGCTGAACACAATTTAGTTTACATGGCTAAACATAGCATCACAGTGCACACAATGACAACTTGGTTTATAGAGTGTGACTAAAGCTAGCAGAGCAAGCACCACAGATGGGACTGGTCTACAGTTTTACATGCTGGTTCTGTTTGACCCTGGTATTAAATATTAAAATCATCTTAATATCATCAGACATTGAGAGAACATGCAAAATTTTAATACTGGCTTCCTTATTAACAACGCAGCAGCTGGTATATTTTTCTCCAAAGTTTTGATTTTGGTAGATTGTTTCAAGGCACCCTCACACTGCTGCTATTCTGATATACTACTAATTGGTTCTACCTGGCCTAGATAAGACTCAAATATTATTATCTTAGAATATGCTTTCAAAAAATAGGAGAGACTAGAGTGCACAAAAGTCTTAGATGTGTACATCTTAGTCTTAGGCTGTTTTCACACCTGAAAGTCCAGACCAAAGTCTGTGTTTTTGTTCCATGGTCTACATTTGGTTCCATCTGTTTAGGTTTCACACTCATTATTGCAAATGGACTAACAGACTTTACATTAAGAACCTATGTAATATTGTCATCAACTACATGCTTTACGTGTCTCTGTAGTATATATTGATTGGTCATTAGGCCAGCGGGCGTCTGACGTCAACACGTTGAAAAGTGCAAGTCTTGAATGGTGTAAACATGGATGAAATCGTCATTCCCACCATCTTAATCTTTGATTTTCTACTGCCAACAGCTACAACTTGAAGAGACATGAGGCTGGTCCGAGGAAGTCTCATGAATTAGATCATTAGATGACAACTTTAATGACATCGACAGGAAAGGAAAAGTAGTGTTATAATTCTGCGAGTCATTGCTACACCAGCTCAGGAGAAAAATATGTGTAGTGAAACTCTTGAAAAGATAAGCTATCAACAGTGAGGTATAACTTTATCTACAATATTATAAAATTTCCCGTTACCGGACAATCATCATTAAACATAACAATGGACACTTCTACTTCTTGCGTAATTTCCTGTCTTTGGTACAAAGGTCCGAACCTTCAAAATAATGCTTTCACACTGGGCATGAACCAGACCATGGTTCAGTTTAGTCCAGATTGAGACCACCTCTTCTGGACCCAACAGCTAAGATCTGGCTGTTTGGTCCAAAAGAGATTGGAGATCTCCTTTTCCAAGATAAACTTGGCCAAGAATTGCAGCAACACAAAGCTTTATCAACAAAAAACAATCAGACTCTCACATTAGAGAGATAATACTTCTGTTATACTTAAAAGTTTGTTCAGCATATCTTTAAACACACACATATTTTTGATCTTTGTTGTTCTGAACAGACATGACTTAAATCCCAGTTATATTGTTAATGCAGCTTTTGCTCATCAGATAGAAACAGCGCATACATGAACTCTACTCCAGGCATCACTCATGACCAGTAGAAGAACATGACAACGACTCCCTGAGGCAGAGCTGAATCATAATATAACGCATGTATTTTACCCATATGTATTTTAAGACTGTATCTTGACCCACCTTTGGGTGTTTTTGCAGAATGTAGAGGCAGCTGACATGCACTACGTGGCAGCTGTTAGCACCTGAGGGTTTGACGCTGCTGTGTCTCAGAGAAGGGCATTCAGTCTCTGCGTAAACCTCCACATCTGTGTGACTGTTTACCCGTGTCTATGGAAGAGAGAAAGTCACTCAGTCCATGTGTTTAAAGAGGAGAAATCAGACTTTTAAGTTACATAATCTGTGTTTAAAAAGAGGGCTATTAGTCAAACTGCAGCAAAAACAATCAAAGATAAGAGTCCAAAACCAAACTGTTGAAATGTAATCGACCAATTCATGGTGTTATAAATCTTGGCCATGACTTTGACCAACAGTCCAATTGATAGTGTGAATTATGAATACAAACGAGTATTCTGGAGCAAATCATGAAGGGCCTGTGTGTATCTGTGTCTTCCCGTAATGCCTCCAAAGATAAAGGCGAAACACAATCTACATATTAGAGCACCAGCATGTTGCATGCATCAGATGAGCGCAGATCTGAAATGGAATCTCCTTCTGTTCCTTCTCGCTGCACACATCATCTATCCATCTATCAGCGCTGGGCTGCGACGCCTCGCCTTCCCACCACCGAGCCATCAATCATTGCATTCCCATGCTTTATGGAAATGGGAGGAAAAACTTCATTTAATGGCATTTTAGCTCCTATCTCGTGCACCTAGCTTTTTCTTTGTCCACCCATGCATCTGTCTGTCTGTCCTTTTGTCCACGCATGGGTCCAATCTAGCCTCGATGTACGGTCGTTTATTTAAATCTATTTAAATGGATATGAGGCGTATGCATGTGCAGGGGGATTTCATGGCCCAGCAGGTCTGCAAATACCAAAGCTGTTCCACCTCACTGACCCCCCACCAGGGCTTATATACAATTAAAACACACCACAGGTGGGCAAGGAAAGACAGAAAAGGGTATCTGGGTATCTATCTATCTATCTATCTATCTATCTATCTATCTATCTATCTATCTATCTATCTATCTATCTATCTATCTATCTATCTATCCATCCATCCATCCATCCATCCATCCATCCATCCATCCATCCATCCATCCATCCATCTATCTATCTATCTCTAGACTTGCACAAAGGAAACAGTTATTGAGGTGTGGGTGAAATGAAATAAAGGGAGGATGAAATGAAACAATAAAAGCATTGGACAGTAGAAAACAGTATAGAAAGTGAAATAGGTGTCGGAGGAGAAAACAGCTCTCCAGGGGAAGTAGAGGAGAGGAGAGGAGAGGAGCGTGAAGAAGAAATTGAGGGAGGTGACTTGGAACGCTTGAGCGAATAAGGAAAGAAGGGAACAAAGAGGGGACAGGGGGAGGAGAAGTGAAGGGTAAATGTCTTTGCTAATGTCTTTGGTGCCAATATTGACTAACCCTGGCTTCCTTTGACTTGAGTCTACTCGCTGCATCCTGCTCTTCAGTTCATTAGGTTTGTCATTTGGAAATGGACGTATTGGCTGAGCTGTTCAATGTCACCATGGATGGATGGATAGATGGTTGAAGGTTAAGAGTTTTAAACATGAAAGGATGCAGCTTTAGCTTATATAATACCCAGAATAATATCTAAAGTTTACACACAGTATTTGACGAAAGACAAGCTTGCTTAATTAAACGAAAGACAAAGATGTCAAGAGGCAAACCTTTCTTGAACAAGGTGAGATAAGCAGTGACTATTTTCACACTGTGGGTTTGATTTGTTTGTAAAATTCACATGATGGTTTTGTAGTACAGTTTAAAGAATTGTCATTTGGTTTTGTCAGGGCTTGCCAGGAATCTATTTTTTCCAAGGTATGAGGTGTCCTGCCAAAAAGGATTTTAACTAAATTGTTTGTGGGATCAGTATTGAGGAAAAAAAACAGATAATACATTTTATTTTTGCATGAAAATACTGCAGGTGCTTTCACATCTTACTCTAACTGAAGTGTCAGTTCAGAATAAGGAGTGTTTTGATGAATCTGTTCTAGAAATATTTTCTATATTTTCAGTCAATTAGCAATGTTTCTATTCCCTCGAGATTTAATCACAACCACAGTAATGTAGATGTGTCCAGATGTTCATGAAAACAGGATTTGTTTGTGATCACTCATTTTATTTCTCATGCAAACACAAGGGGAACATGGTCAACTGTTCCTATTTGTCATGATTATAGATATGGAAAAAAGTATGAGACACAAATAATACACTGTAGATTTAAATATCCATTATGCCTTTTCCCTGGACTTATTGTGTGCACTCACAAATTACATTTTCTTATCTTACTTTGAAACACATAAATTAGGAGGGCTGGCTCAGGTATCACTGATAGGTGGAAAAAAAACTTTTCCTGTAATTATATAAAGCACACAAAAAGTTCAGGAGTGTTGATATAAAGTGACTAAATAATGTACATTCTTGTATAAATGTGTAACTGGCCAGATAATATGGCCAGCAAGTGTGTGAGTTCAAAGGAACAGTTTACCACAAATATTTTAAAAATCTTAGATTACCAAAGATGCTTTCAATAGCAATTCACATTTTCTGCTTCAGCAGTCGCTCTATCAATCAAAGTTGGATATTCCGGTGTAATTTTAAGTTATGATCAAACACACCGTAATGCAGAGTTAGACACCCCCTCAAGAGATGAATGTTGCAGACTGCTTGCTTCTCTAGTCATACCAACTACAGCAACCACCGCACGATAGCAATACACAGTGGTCTATGTCTCCATGTGCAAACCTCAACCAAAATGCCACACTATAGCCACAAATAATGCTCAGAACAGCACCTAACTTCATCAACAGTACATATAGGGTCCCAGCCATAGTACTAGCCATCAAACATCTTTTTAGCTTTGCCTGGTTTCTTTAGCAAAGAGACCAAACACAACTCACCCACTCTCCTCCAGCAGCCACTTGTTTATGGGGGAGCCCTGACGAGTTGATCACCGAGTGCAGCGGATCATTTCCTTGAAGTAATAATAATCATAATAATTATTTTGCACTGCAGACACAGTAGTTCTTCTGCCTTAGCATCTCAGTCTGATTGTATTTCCATGAAGTAATAATCAGAAATGCTCCTCCTTGAGCTGCGAAACTCCACTGCACACAGTGATCGACTCGTCAGGGCTCCCCCACAAACAAGTGGCTGCTAGAGGAGAGTGGGTGAGGGGGCATCTAATCTCGGTGGTACGCTGTGTTTGACCGTAACTTAAATTTATGCCAGAATATCCCATTAAACTGTAAGAACCCTGGTGTTGTCAAACTATCAAAGAAAGGCGTATTATTATTAAGTATTATCTGAATTTGAATGCCAAGTAGGAGGATACAAGACTTCCAAAAACTTTTGCATGATCATTTTGCATCCAGTATTGACATCCTTGTCCAGTGTCAAGGTTAGGTGGAGAGTTAACATGCATGGTCTTCTCAGGTGGAGCCTCTCTGCACAGCAGCTCTCAGACAGGTTGATTACCTTATGTAAGGAGCAAAGACTTAAATCATGTCCCAAGCCATTCATATCCAATTAACCTGCCTGGAAAGATGTGCCCTCTATCGAACTGATAGATGGAAGAGAAACAAATGACAACTTCAATATTTTATCACCTCTTCAATGTGTTGGATGAATGGAGGGAATTAAAAAAGGAATTTAGAGTCCAAATCAAACTATGAATTTTAAATGCTAAATTACAAACAGGGTTGTCATTTCTGTGTTATATAACAGGTACAGTGCAGAAAAATGTGTGTTTTCCTGTATGTGTAGTTGTGTCTGCTGCTGAAAAGGCCACTCTGGGGCATGTATGCCGGAGCTGTTTTAACATGATTACACATGGCCTCTTCCTCACCTCTCCACCTCTGTTTCATCATCATTATCCCCTACACAGCACTTCTGAGAAAGAGACAGGAGGAGGAAGGAGGTAGGAAGAGGGAAAGAAAGACGGAGATAGAAAGAGGGTTGAGCTAAAGGGCAGGAGCTGCACTGGGAATCATATACAGAAAAACAAAGACAAAAAGACTCAGACAGAGTATGTAGCCATGAGGCTGAGAGAGAAAGAGTACACAGTCGTATGAGTCAAAGAAAAGATCTCTCCGCACTGGGCTTCAGTGATTTAATGTTGTGTCTATTTTGGCTTTCATTCATCTGACTGTTACCTCAGAGCCACCAGCACCTCCTGGATAGGTTGTAATCCTCCTTCTGCTGTCTGAAAAACGAGCTGACTTTAGGCAGGTTGTCTAATCTGTTGGCAGTAGCAGAGAGATTTTCAAAGAAATAGTCTGAGATGCTGTGTGTATGTGTATGTGTGTGTGTGTGTGTGTGTGTGTGTGTGTGTGTGTGTGGGGGGGGGGGGTACTGCTGATGTTTTTGTCTCTGAATGGCTTGACAGAACAAGATTCCTACATGTAAAACATGATATGCAGTAACATAGCGCTCTGAAAGAAAGACAGCAATTCAACAAAATGGGATATCTTTAAAAATTGTGTCTGAAGCTGAGAAAAGCTGAATCTTTACGATAGCATGAATGTGCCGTACATGATCAGACCTTCACAAAGCATGTGAAGGACTGCGACCAACTGTTCCCAAAGATGTTAAACATGTCTCTCACTTTTTTGAATGCCACCACAATTTCGCAGCTTTTATGTGAAAATGTTAGTGAGACTATTATATAACAGGAAAGGCTCTTTGTTTATCATCTCTCCTCCTTTTTCTATAAGTAAGCATCAGTTACCAAATGAGGAAAGAGTTTCTTTGTGTGCATCCATCTGTACGTCGCTGTTAGCTCTCAAACAATATTGTCCCAGAATTTAAATTTCAACCAACTGCTTATGATCTGTTTGCAGAGAAATCAGCGGCAATCAGTGCCAACTGTCTTTTTGCCGCCGTTCTACATGCAGTGGAAATTGGGGGTTAGTGTACCTGTGGACGAAGCGGTTCCATTCCCTAATTTGGTCCAAAACATCTTATCCTGCTGTGTTTTAATTGTCTAATGCATCACTTACATTGGATCTTTGCTGTGGAAGGCTGTAACTGTGAGGTGCTCTTTATCTCCTCATTAGACACCCACCAATCAGCAGCAGTTACAGGCATAAAAAGTAACTTGCCTTTGTGGGTTAGGTAGAGGCATCAAAATGAATTATGATCTGCTATATGACACTCCATAAACGCTTTACAGTCTTTTTAAGTCTCTTTTTGTTGGTGTCTATTATGACATGCATTTAGGAACAAATCTGCTTCTTTATGTATGATGAAATAAGCCAAAAAATAAAAAATAACGATTAGGGGTAGACTGGGTGTGTGAGCTCCTCTGTGAAGTGTCTTTCAATGTGCCGTATATCTCGAGCAAACAGAGACGGGTAACTGTGAAAAGATGATCAAACTGAAATAAATTGATGCTGCAATTTTAGCATTACCTGAGTCAGAATTTCTTTGGTTCAAGTGTAGACAGTTGTACCGTCAAACCTAATCAAAATGTGAAATTTAAAGGAAAAAAGATTTGTTTTCAAAACATTTCTGTCCAGGCAAAGAAAGGAAAATGGGTCATGGAGGCTGCAGAAAACTGGTCACTTTGTCTCAAAAGCACACAAGAGATGAGAAGTAATCACAGTTCATTTCCAGAATATTTCCAGGGGGTTAGAATTGTCCACTGTGAACACGAATGGGGATGATAGCTCCTTTCACAAAACTGTAGTATGTGAGTAGAGTTTATGTGTGTTTATGGAAGGATAGATCACAGATGGTATTTCCTTCCCTGCTGAGGTCTTGATAGACCAATCATAGTTGGATTTCAAGTCCTCCTCAACCGTTTATTCTTGAATCCTTCAGGCTCATTTACCAATCAGAATTGACTTTTGTGGGTATTGGCCAATCAGAACTTGATCTTCAGTGTTTATTGATCAATCAAAACTGGATTTACAGAGATCACTGACCAGTCACAGGAGGATATACTGCAGTCAGATATTGCTGGGATTTATATTCAGTTTGGTTCAAAGATTCAGCCTTCACGCTGCATTTATCCGATCTATATTTACATCTTTAAAAATAGACATTCACTTTTTTTAGGCATCATTTATTCAGAAGGGTTTTCTGTGACTCTTCGTGGACATAATTAGACCACAGGACACCCACTAAACCTCTCAGGCCTCCACTGCACCTGCTCAATAAAACATTACCGCTCCCTCTTCCTGTCAAACCCACACAGCCAGCTGCTGCACAGACACTTCTCTATAAACTTACGAAGAATTAGCTCAAATCTCAGGAAAGGCTTTCTTTTAAAGGCCAATAAACTGTCTCTGAAATGATGTTTTCTCTTCAATACCACGCCATTTTTCACGCTGCAACAAAACCAACTCACACTACTTGGTTATTGATCCTGTTTACTTTGAGTGGATGGGATGATAGATTTCTTTGTGCTCAATTTAGAGGAAGAGCAGCTGAAGCCAAAGGCAATTGTGATTGAAGCAGCACACAGCGCATAAAAGAAGTTTACCTAAAAGGGATATTCTGGTGTAAATTTATGTTATGGTCAAACACACTGTAACACTGAGTTAGACAACCCCTCTGAATGTTGCCGACTGCTTGTTTCTTTCATTATGTCAACTTCAGTAATGATCACACGATGGCAATTCACTGCAGTCTAAGGGCCTGATCTACTATGATCCAAGCACTAAACTGCATGTGCAAACTGAAAAATTGCACGTACTATTAATGGGCATATTGCAGGTGATCTACTATCATTGCGTGCTCTATTGAAGGCAGGAGCAAAAGAACCGCCCTCTTAAATGAGGTTTTTGCGTGCACTATCAGCTGTCACCATGGAGGGTTTGTGAGAGCAGAGTGTTTGAAACTATGGAGTTGTACATATCATTTTGGGGAACTGTATAGAGGCAAGGCAAGTTTATTTGTATAGCTCAGTTCATACACAAGGCAACTCAAAGTGCTTTACAGATGCAAGAAGATATACTGGAAATCAAAAAAGGGATAAAAATTATTTAAAATCAATTAGACAAACTGATATATTTTTTCCGTCTGTTTCGTGTTTGACCTTTTCGTCATTTACCAGAAAAACGAAATAAATCACAAGCTTTTGGACAAGGATCATGGCGTGTATCATGGCACTTCTGCATCCTTCTCTTTACAATGACCATGCGTAATGCTGCTCCAGTTTGCACGTGCCTTTCAAACATGCTAAATATAGACGCAAAAAAGCGACCGCATTCGGATCCCAGGTTTGCAAGTTCTGATGATCTACATACAATCTGCATATTCATGAAGTCAAACACGCCAAAACTTTATTGCACGCGCTGTTTTGCTCATTTGACGGACGCAATCCTCGGTGCACCCGGTTAGTTAATCAGGTTTGACTGCACTATTAAGTTTGCACGTGTTTTTGCACACGCAAACCTTAAATAGATCAGGCTCTTAGTCTCTAGTGCAAACCGCAACCAAAAAGCCACTCTATAGCCACAAATGATGCTCAGAGCAGTTCTTCTGCCTCCTGGAGAACCTCATCATCACCCAAGACCTTAAGAGGGACCTGAACATCAGTTCCTTTGTTTAAAAGGCCCAGCAGAGAATGTACTTTTGTGGAAGCTGAAGAAATTCAACCTGCAAATACAATGATGGTGCACCTCCACCATTGAGTCCATTCTCACCCCAGTCTGGTACATTACTGCCACTGCAAAGGACAAGAGCAGGCTGCAGTCAAGAGTCCACTCTGCAGAGCTGAGAGGGTGATCGGCTGCAACTCACCACCTCTACTGGACAGTACACCTGGGTACACACTGGGGCTGAAGAGATAGGATTGTTGCCCTCTCACCATGGACACAGACTCTTTGAGAGCCTTCCCTCGGGCAAAAGGTCGTGGTCCATCAGGGCCAAAACCACATCCACAAGAACAGTTTCTTTTCGTCCACTGCAAACCTTGTGAACACTGCCCTGGCCTTGACTCAGGCTTGGGCCTTTGGACGGGGCAAAGCAGACTGTACAGTTTAGAGATCCACCCAACAAAACAGAACAACACCACGTTATAAACTATGACAATGCTGCACTAAAACCTTACTCTCGAGCCATGAGAGATGATGGCATCAGATTAGGTTGGATATGTGTGTCGGTTGTGGTTTATAAAGATAACAGTGAGTGAAACAAAAACAATAACAATGTATAGTAAGAGCTGAACAAGTGAGGAGAGGGGTGGATGATAAAATAAGGAGAAAGCAGGAATGTGGGCCAGCAGGGTGTGATAATCTGTCTCCCTGCCATCCAGTCCACATGGGAGAGGGCGGGAGAGAGAGAGAGATTAAGGGGGATGTATGATGTATTCTGACCCATATTCATGCAGACATTGATGCTTTGTGACCCACATACTGCCTCATCTAAATACATATCCTTATGTGATACTGATATGTGTAAGCACAGACGAACAAATACACTGCACCAGGGCTGAGCAAATATGGTTGGAACATCAATATGCGCATGCTCAATAATCCGATTGCTGGAATATCAACCATATGACCAGAAGACATCATACTGTCACCACTTCCCTGTTGTCCAGGACTCATCAACAATAATGGCCATCTATAATCTACAATGGAGTATTATGGCCACAAAATAAAGAGATTTACGACTTTGTGAGCAAAGTCGTTATGATTTAAAAATAAACTCATTATAGAATAAGGATAAAAACTAGAATAAAGATGTTTTATTTTGTTCTTACTCTGAGATTAAGTAATTTTAATACAAGAATATGGTTATGTCTTGAGATTTAATCATTAAAATACAAGATCAAAGTTGTTATATTATGAGAGTAAGATTGTTAAATTTTCAGATTAAGTCATAATTTTAGTTGTATGTAAGAAGATTACATTTATTAGTAAAGTTTATGCAGTGATGTTGTGTTGGCCCTCCTGTACATGGACCTTTGCATGCTGGTATCAGTGCTGCTGTCAGAAGGCTGAACACTGTATGGGCAGGAGGAAGATTTGATTTAATGGCAGAAAATAGACCAAGGGGCCTTTCTTACCCAAAGTCTGCTTAGAAAGTCCAGATAAGGGACCAAATGTTTACATTGTTGCATTTTGCATTTGGTCCGGTTTGCATTCACATAGGACTTTTGCCAAGCAAACCGAATGGTTAAAAAAAGAGGGAAAATTATGAGGGAAAATCACTGTCTGTCACCTGCTCATTTTGGGCACAATCTTCATTGTCCCACAACGCACAGAAAGTAGCCGACCAGAGAGAACAATGGGTGTCTTGCTTCACGCAATTGACCAGAGGTGGTGAAGACCTGCAAGGAAATGCTGGGCATTAATGCGAAGGACTGCCTTTATTGTCAGCCTGTTTGTTGAACAGAAAAACACCCAGTTATTTCATATTTATCACCCAACTATTGTATTAGAACACAAACCCTCTGACATACATCCAGTTTTATGGACAGTCCCGTGTTTTGAACGGCTGCTGCAGCCTCCAGCCGGGCATAATTCCCCGGCTTTATTATGGTGCAAATGTGTTCTTGGTTTATATTGACATATAAAAAGTCAGGCTGCATCAGTGCTGCGCTTACATCCGCTGTGGACCGGACTATGGTTCGTTTGGAAGGGGACTGAGTCCGGCACATTCAAGAGGACCATGGCCCATTTGTTTGATCCGGACCAAGGTTCGCTTATGTGTTCATACCACCCGGACCAATAGAGTAAGGGAACCATGGTCCATTTGTTTGAGCCGAACCAAGGTTCACTTATGTGTTCATACTATCCGGACCAAAAGAGTAAGGGGACCATGGTCCTTTCAAAATGGACCAAACAATCCTGGTGTGAATGCGCACCAAGACTTGAATTATAAGTATTTAAGAAAATTTGTGTTTGGTGTTTAAGTTGCATCCTCGTCGTCGTTTTCTTCCGCTTCATCTGGGTCCGGGTCGCGGAGGCAGCAGCTTTAGAAGTGAGGCCCAGATGGCCCTCACCCCGGCCACTTCCACTAACTCCTCTGGGGGGATTCCCAGGCGCTCCCAAGCCAGGCAAGACATATAATCCCTTCACCTAGTCCTGGGCCGGCCACGAGGTCTCCTCCCGGTGGGACCTGTCTGGAACACCTCTAACGGCAGGCATCCAGAAGGCATCCTAACCAGATGCCTGAGCCACCGAGCTCCTTACCCTATCTCTAAGGCTGAGCCCGGCCACCCTGCGAAGAAAACCCATTTCGGCTGCTTGTATCTGCGATCTTGTTCTTCCGGTCATTACCCACAGTTCATGGCCATAGGTGAGAGTCAGCACATAGATCGACCGGTAAATCGAGAGTTTCGCCTTAAGGCTCAGCTCTTTCTTCACCGCGACTGATCGGTTAAGCGTCCGCATCACTGCTGATGCCGCTCCAATCCGCCTGTCAATCTCCCATTCCATCTTACCCTCACTCGTGAACAAGATCCTGAGATACTTGAACTCCTCCACTTGAGGCAGGACCGCCCCTCCGACCTGGAGATGGCAATCTACCTTTTTCCAACTGAGGACCATGGCCTCATCCAAGCATCCAACCACTGAAAATGTGCCACATTTATGGTATCTGATATAAATTTCTGAAAAATTTCTTAGTGCTATACATTTCAGCAAGAAAAGATTAGTTTTTTTTCCAGTATCATGCAGCACTACCCTTAAGGCCTGATAATCCATGATGCTCAATGACCTTATACTGGCTGTAGGACAAAGGATAGGTGAAGTCAGTGATCAACAGCAAAATACCTGAATAGTCATGTCTGTAATCTTTGAAGCAGAAACAGAAGAGGCAGTCAGCTCTAAGAACTGTAGGAGTGTCAGGATGGTCATATTTAGCGATGTTCACATGTATTTGCCATCTGTCATATCACCTTTAATTTTAATCCTTTGTATGCTCATTTTGCCAGGAGTCAGCAAACTGTGTGGCTCGTCTCGCTCTTTCCACTGCCACTCAGATCCACTGCACCTGTCAATCATTTTGATGAGCTGTCAGCCTTGGAGCACGCCTTAGGTTGAGGAAACCAGTGTGTGTAAAGCTTCTGCAGGCCTTGCAGAAATGAACTCACATCTGCATTAGAAGAATATCCTCTGAATCAGGCTTAACTTTACCTTCCTAAAGGCATTCCTTCTCTTTCTTTATGCTTTGAGGGATATCATGTCACTCTGATTGTCTAGTGAGGTTGCTGGCATCATCTGTATGTAACAACACTTAGCTCAATGCTGGCACGCACACAGCAAATTGCATTATACACAGGGGAATGCAACTTAGTAAAAACAGTCCATTCACTTGATCTAAGTACAGTCTTAATGCAGTGCTTTTGTAAATCACGTCTTTGAATATATTATCAACTTGAGTAGATTTTAAAGGCCTGACTTGCAGAGCACCCTACATAGCTCTTTTGAGACACTGAATCACTAACGTTGCATACCTAAAGTAATGGATTTTTTCACCCGGGCATGAAATCTGGTGCATAAATGGTTCTTATGGCATGATTCTAATATGAAAGAAACTATATGAAAAGAGATACCATGCTTGCACTTTGATGTGAGTTGAAATGTAATGATATAAAGCCCTGTTGGCTAGCAGAATCCATCAGTGCACCTTTGTTGAAGACCATTAGGATCACGATGAACCAAACTCTAAACCTTTAGTAAAAAGTCTGATAAATGGTCTGATTATTTCAATTTTATTAAAAAAAAAATCATTCTGGTTCTCCGAAGCTTTATTTATTGGTGTCAGGAAATTGCTCGTGTCCACTTGAGGCTGGTTCCAAAAACCAATGGAACCCTCTTAAGCCTAAAACATACAGCTTACAGCTGAGACTGTGTTATTGGTTTTTACAGCCTTTGGTTGAATGAGCTCATTATGCCATCATGTTAAATGGAAAATCAACAAAGTAACTGTGAGTATAAGCTCGATTGCTTGATTGCAAAGTAAGTAAATGACTGTCAGAGTTATTTGCAGACAAAGTTCATAGTGGAAAATTGCAGTCCAAACTAAGAATCTAAGGCCCAGTTATGCAGTACAGAACTCCTTTAATGAACAGGGACTTGGCCATGCATTTTTAACTCAGCCCAGTCTTCATCTGGACGGATGGCAATTATTTACCCCTTCACACCTCTATCAACTGTAGTTAAAAGTTGCACCTGGGCAAAACAATTTCTTCAAAACATGAGAAAAAAGCATCTCAAAATGCATTTCACACCATCAGTTTGGAGGTGGCAGCAAAAGAGCTTTGTACCATTGGTTGAGATATGAAGATTAAGATACGTAGGAACACAGCAAATAGCAGTAACTCCCTGTCTCAACATGAGAAAGCTAACAAAATGTAGGACAACTCATTAAAGTTCCTGAAATGAAACCCATTTGAGAGATCTCTGAAAATAATGCTGTTTTAATGGAGATCCTGGCAAGAGAAGCTGAGACTTAAAGAGCTTGGACTTGATGAGAGGGTAATCAATAGCTCAAGAGCTGGTTCACAAAGAGAGCTTGGCAAATAGCATATAGCGATGCTAATACCTTACTTTGCCTCCCCTATAACCATTTCCAGATATCTGTCTTAGACCCAGCACAGATTCAGACTAGTATGACTGATTTAGTCATCTCAGAAATAAAGTTTTGCATGTCAAGTGCTATGTCAGTTCAGATGGGCATAAACCTATATATGTCCTCGTTAAATTTAATTGGGTACACAGGTGCGATATCTGTTGTTGCACCTTACGTGTATTGAATGAATTTGGGATTTTTTAAAGTAAGTCGGCCCCTTTTTTTCTCATCCATCTCTTCTTCTCTCTGCTCCAGTAGTAATACAACATGATGCTTTAATAGCCAGTGTACCTTCTCCCCTCCAAAAAACAAGGCACTTGTACCGTCTGCTTTATGTGACAACAGGAAGCATCAGAGGGAGGAAAGGAAGAGGGACAGTGCGACAGCAGTGAGAGAAAGAAGAGAGGAAGGACAGGAGGATGTGCGTGTCAGAGGAGATGTCCTCTCTGAGGCCCCTGTTGTCCCTTGTCCACAGTGGACGAGGCTTTTCCAGCACACTACACAAGTGAGGAGATAATTTCTGTCACATAATGTCACAGCCATAACTACATTCTCACCAAATAAAGACTCAGTGTGTTTTGTGGGGAAAGTTTATTGAGTGATACTGTGGAGCCCTCCTACACAATGAAAAGTTATATGTTTCAATTTCTTGAAAGTAAAACAAGTTCCTGCAAGTTCACAACATTAGATCAAGTTTGCATATTATCAATTTTTTGTATGTTTTTACTAAAAGTCAAATGTATTTTTTTGCTGATTTAGTGTTTATGACTGTTTTATCTCAAGGCTGCATTTAAAAAAAAAAAAAATGACTGCATGCTGAGGCAGAATTTTTGTCGTCAGTATGACTAAGTCTGATTGGTTTAAGACTCCAGCTGTGTGCTCGGACACTTCCTCTGATGTTTATACATCCTAATGAACCTCCTGCTTTAACTTCGTCAATACTGATTGTTTTGCTAATTAGCCTTCTGTGTCATATGTGATAGCTATTTTTCATGAGCTGGTTAGGTTTTGAGTTGAATTTAATTCCCTTCAAACAGGTTTCCAAAACTGAGACCATATTGATATTTAAATCTTTAATTTATAATAAGAAGAATATTCTTGTCCATTTAAATATCTTTTTAAAGTGTTTAACTGGTAACTACAAGAACTGGACAGAAAGAGGAAGCTGTGAGCCCCTTTTGGATCATGTTTTGTTTCCTTGGCAACAATAACTCCTTCTTGGGCCTGTAAGAGAAAATATGCAGAGTACTGCCCAGATAGTGAATGAGAGAAAAAAACAAATGCTCACCAGAGGTCAGTCAATCAGATCATGTTCAGCTCCATAGCCAACACACATGCAGCTCCAACATGTTCAAATCACAAAAGACAGGAAAAGACAACATTCAAATGGGGAATCAGACACGAGGGGATTTTTCTTAAATCTACAGCCATCTTGTCGTCCTTTTTAAAAAAAAAAATTGTGGGGATAATAAAAAATTAAGTTCTTCTTATCTTTTTGCTTTTAGTGCCAAAACTGAAATTGAGTTTTTGGCCTAAAACATCTCATTTTTGTCAATAAATGACTTCGGCCATTATTTTAATAGAGTGACAAAATATTAAATCAGCATACCACCGGACGTTGATTAACGTAGACGCCCTTCAATCTTCCTGTCTCCAGCCAGTCTCCAGTGGGTTGGGCAAATCCAAAATAGTGAAAAAGTGTATCCTGAGACAGGCTGTTAGCTGTGAAACAGGGTTGCTCTGAAAACACCCCTATTAGCACTTGGTACGTTCCTCCTGATGAACTCAACCATAGACTGTAAACTGATGCGGAAAAAAATCGAGTCAACCAATCAGAATTTTTGTCAACTCAGCACGTATCGACAAATAAGTCGACCAGTTGACTAGGACATTTCAGCCCTAGAACAGTCACTTGGACAGTCTGTACACCATAATTTGACAGACAGTGAAAGTAGGTGTTGGTGCTCTCTGTGAAGTCAAGATGCACACTGTGTTATTATGTATAGTTTGGTACCAAATGAACAAACAACTCAACTATAAAGTGATCATTAATGTCTCTCTGTTATAGCTTTTTACATTTGGCTTAAACTATACCTACAGTTAAATAACAGCTTTACTTTTCTTCCTGCATTCATCAGTCTTTATTAAATATGAGTTTCTTATTTACTTCTATAAGACACAATCAGTTTGATATAACTCTGGTTTCTATGATGCAGAAGAGCTTTAATGACTGTAATGACTAATTGTAATGACTACAAACAGAGCCTGAAGAGTATCCTGACCTTGACAGAGCTGTAGTCTCAAGGGAGATACTGTATGTGTGTGTGGGAGGATATCGGTCCAGCTTTAGCTACCAAAATAAAACTGGTCCACAGGGGTTTGGTGATTGGCACTGAATGGTCTGTAGCTACTAAAGCAAGCCTGGAGGAATGTAGAAAGTTTGAACAATGTAGGATTGATGCACTGCTATTATTCTGTATCTAACATACAATACAAACTAATTTTAGCCTGGGTTTGCAGCTAGTTATCAAAGTTTCCCCATAATCCAGCCAAACTAGTGACCTGTAACTCTGCCTTTTTCCCTCTTTTCTCATGACTAGAGCTCATTGTTTGTTAAAGCTAGTAGGAAAATATTTGATCAAACACAGTAAAACATCCAAAAGTCAAATCAAGATAAATATTTTATTGCTAGTGAGTAAAATGAAAAAGCTGTTATAACCATGTAGAGTCAAACCATCCCATGTATTTTTTTACATTCCAGGGCACGGCCATTCGAACCTCAGGGTCTCCACTGACTCTTGTTATTAGTTGTGTGTTTTCTCCTCTACAAAAGATAAATAGAAATATGTATGGCTCTTTCATCAAGTCTCTGCTTATCTTGTGTATTAAAACATCGTGTTAGCTGTAGGTAAGCTATATTTACTGCACATGAATATATGATCACAGGAAATATTGCCTCTTTTACGATCTCCTTTTTGTGCCTCTACCTGTTGGCCCCTCTCTCTGCAGAGAGGAAGTAGAGAAAGTCAGCTTCCTTTACCGACTAATTCGGCCTTAAATTCATACAATGACTAAAGGTGGAACTAAGTTGTCCATAGTATATACAGCTTTTGGTCGTAATGCTCTGTCATTTACTTAACCTGCACCAGTAAGATAGCATCAAAGCATCTTTGTGTTTTAGGGGATGGTTTTGTGACTTTATTTTGGTAGGAAACATTAAAAATCAAGCTAATCCCTACTAATTTCTCTCAAGTCTTCACCAACTCTTCAAAACATGTGTAAAAACCGGTGCAGCAGGGACAGCAGTAAGAGGAATGACAAAATTTGAATAGTGTGTGGTAGACTAAAAGTAGTATCAATGCCTCTTTGACCCCTTCACAAAACTGACCACGATGCAGCTGTTGGCTTGAGTTGAGTTTGTTGTCCTTCATTGAGTGTCCTGCCAGGAGTTACTCCTTCGGCTGCAGTGCCTGTGAATGTACTGCCAGTGTATGGTATATTTCATATTGAATGAAAGCTGGTTGTAACTCATAATGACAAGCTGTCAGATTGAATCTGAGTGGCTGTTTGATGCCTTTGTATAATGTATGCAGCTAATGTACAAAGTGATGCAGAGTACGCAGCAGCAGTCAATATCACAGCCTCTTAACCTTTATGGCTTATGACACCCAAAAATAAATGACTGCTAGTGACTCCCTGAGCTTAACACACAAATGCACACTGACATACACACATGGGAGGTACGGTTGGCCTGTGACACAAAGTCATTTTTCCTTCCTTGTGTGTGTGTGCACCTATACGATGGTGCCTATGGGACATCTAACAGACAAAACTTAAAACAACAATACTAGTTGAACATGATCTTCTTTACAACATGATTTTATGTCATATTTATCATTAAAAAGTGTGCTTTAACTCCCTTGACAACCTTTGCTGGACCTCAAATAAGCTTCATTCAAACTCCAGGCTCAGAAAAATCCACCCTAGTGTTTGATTTATCCCTTTACGTGTTAACCTAAGTGACCTGTGATCGAACATGACCTGTAAATGACCTGTGATCAAACACAATAGTTACACTGTCACAGTCAGAAAAGCAAGACTGCACACTGAACCAACAATGAGCAGACAATAAGGGCTGCAGCACGTTGTTCCTCTATCTCTTTATTGCTACCGCACACATACACACTCAGAAACATAACAAATGCATGTTAGCCCCTATTTGTTACACCCCACGCTAAGGTGGCCATATGGGGCTAACAACTTTCTATATATTGACCCATTAAAAGCCACAAAAAACACCTTCAAAAGTGTAACAAGAAATTTAGTATAAAAAACACAGAATTAAATGATTACCAAATAGGGTTGCAGGATTAATTGATAATAAATTGTAATTGGATTATTGAATTATGACAATGTTAAAAAAAAAAATTAAAATTGTCAAATCGATTTTCCTCTCTATCACGTCTCGTGCCTCCAGGCCACCATAGGATCCCCCTTCCTGCAGGAGTGCTCCCTAGTTCCTGCACACACCAGTGTAAACAAACATGGCTTTTGCAAAGGAAAGGTGTGGAATTGGTACGGCTTCACAGTTTTGGATGAAGAGCAGACCACTCCCCATTGCAAAGTCTGTCTAAAGACAGTATCAACCCGTCCACTCGGAAACAAGTTCAGGAGTAAATGCAAAAGTTTTTTGTCGTATTGGCGTTTCATGAACACTGCAACAGCATTTCGGGGGACAGTAAACGGTACTTTTTGAAAACGGGTCAGAGAGTGCATAAATCCGTAAACGACCACCATTTCATCTCCGTGTGGTTGCCTATCTGCATCTCTTGAAACGATTATGTGACACACAGCATAACTCTTTTATGGCACCAGCGCGTGTCCAGCCAGAAAAACTTATATATGCGAACTTTTTTTTGTAGCATGGTAGGGGAAGGTCCTGCCCTCCTTTGCCTCTGATTGGCTGGAAGTGCTGGGCTCCAAATGGTTATTCCTTATGGCTGTGAAACGTCAGCGTCTGTTGGGTTAGGATTAGGATAAATGTAAGGGTTAGGGTTAGGAGACTCAAAAGTGTGATAATGTTCTGTAATGTTCTGTTCGATGTACAGAGGTGACAGCCCGTGTTTGGCTTGAGCGTGTGATGACATTTCCAGCTTTTCTAGCCAATCAGAGGCGAAAGAGGTGGGACTTTCCCCTACCATCCTACAAAAAAAAAATATCACCGTTTATACGCATGCTCTGTACTCTTCTTCTGTCTTTTGTGCATTTTTTCGACAGTGTTATAGCACCATTTACTGACTTGGCATATTTATTACATCGTTTTCAGGGGTTTTGTTTTGAGAGATGATAGAAAAACTTGTTATAAAAATAAAGTTCGGTGAAGTTGTCACAGAATAAAATCTAAATCGAAAATCAAGTTTTATTTTGTTTTTGGCCAGCATGTTTGTAGAGAGCAAAAACAACCTGAGTTTTAATCCTATGCACATTTAAATGCAGTAAATAACATTCAGATTAGAACCTGTGTCAACACAAGGATGATGACCTGGCTTTTTTGAAAACACGGTAATATACAGCGCAGGGCGGGTGCATGTTCAACAGTAAACCTTAGTGACAGGCTGTCAAAGGGAATCACCTCTGTGCTCTTTATTTATGGATGAACATATTCCACATACTCTTTATGAACCTTTAACACACAGCTGTGTGTTTCTCATGTAGAAGGCCTGCAACATGAGAGCCTGCTGATAAACAGAAGTCGATGCGGGGCGGCCTCGGGTGAAGTTTCACTTTTAGCTAATTAACGCAGGAACTTCTGTTTTGAGGATGATAAAGAAGCATTTGGTGCATTTTTTCAGACACTTTCAAGCTTGTTTTTTTTTTGGTCAGATCGGTTTAGTTTTGCATCACAGCCAACACTGTGTTGGTATCTCTGTTTATCTTAGATCAAATGTACCAATTAAGAAAAATTGAATTCTCGCTTGCCAAGATAATGGTTAACAATACTTCAAAAAATCCTTGCATTTACACTTCTCTCAAGGGTTGGATGTTGACACAACAAAGAAACAAACAACATGCGATGCTTTAGTACAAAGATTTATGACATTTTGTGGATCTCGGATGTTCGAAGATTTATAGGATACTTGTTAACCTGCCCCCCTTGTTCATTTAAACTGATTTATTTCAAGCGATTTGCTTCCAGGGATAATATTTCAAGACACACTCTGCTCACATACAGTCAGCGACACACACATAAAGATGCAAACAAAATTTCTCTTGTTTCTGTGCTTTCTCTCTGCAGCTGGGTCCAGTCCCCTCAGGCTTTTGAGATACGACACTATCACCATTTATTACAATCTTCCCCTTCTCTCTCTCCAATTTCTGCCTCGCTCTCCCAAAATTATTGCGTGGCTTCCCTCTCCTTCCATTGTAACTCTTTTCGCTGTTTCTCTTCATTTGTTCTCCTCTGTCTTAAATCCCACTGACGTACAAAGAAGAAATTTGCTTTGTGTTTCTGTCCTGTGTTACAGGAGGATGAGCTCACACAATAATGATTCTTTTTTATCATGAAAAAAAAAACAAGACATATGAGATTTGGCAAAAAGACGGTAAAAAGGACAGCTAACTCATGCCTATTCTTAGTCTGACTGTCTGAAATTAAATGGTATCTCTTGATTTGGGCATAAGACAATTCAGCTACACATTGAAAGCAAACAGTTTCTCAAGAATTTAAACACAATACTCGATGTCTATCCCATATCATAGAGGAGTATATAATGTCAAACATCAAACATATCTAGGAGTGCAGGTGAAGCTCACAGTCTGTGCACTTACTATTCACTCTGTACAGGGGTTTAAAAATAGGAACAACTTTCTATTTCAAATACATCAATTTTGGTTTGGACTTAGGCTGCGCTCCAGTTTCCTCGGAAGTTGGATGTCGGAGCTGGGAATGACATCACACCCAAGTTGATGGTGTTCCAGTATACAAGTCAGAAAACCAAGCCATTGTTAGCTGTTGTTAACAATTGTTAGGTGTCGTAAGCTGCTGTCAGCTGTTGTTAGCTGTTCCAGTTGTCAACAACTGGCATAGTACAGTATTTTACTCGTGTTCGTTATGCAGTACAATATATACCACTTATTTTATTTCACAAAAACAAAACAGAAGTACTGATAAATAATACATTACTACAGCTTCCACTGTTACTATTTACTGATGATGCACTGCGCTGCCATCTTGGATTATGACGTTGTCGTCAAGTCAGGGTTGGTGAGGATCGTCCGACTTTCCGAGTTGGAAATCCGATTTCAGGGGGGCGTTGCAGATGAATTTCTGACTCAGAGTTTGGAAAACCCGACTTACTAGTACAACTGGAACGTAGCATTAAATGGTAAAGAATTAGGTTTGATCACAGACAAAAAAAGTTGATGTTGTTCTCAATAAATTATTTTTAATCTAAGTAGCCCATATCGTGATATCTCAAGACGTTTACATACAAAGAAGGTCAAGACCATACTCTTGTTTTATATAATTTGTATTACTGACATAAAGATAATTTTCCAACCCTCCTGTAACCCTGTATGAGCAGAGAACTTTGCAGCATTTAGCAAGTTTCACAGGCAGACATCTCGAGCAGAACTAGACTTACATTGACCTTCTCAAGCTGACAAGCTGACAGACATGTTGCCCAGCAAATTTAAAAGCCCGCAATTAAAGGTGCTCATCTTTGCAGTATAAATATCACTGCATCACTGTGACTGACAGAGATTGCGGAAAATAAACTACATTGGTTAAAGGTTGTAGTTTGAACAATTATATTATATTTATTATATATATTAAACACATGAACATGAAGGCTGTTAGGAAGGAAATCAAAGTGGCAGACATGGTTTGGTCTATGAAAAATTCAGTATGAATGACAACCAAAATCATTCAATGATTCAATGAAATCAATTTGATCAATCATTTAGTGACCATCACTGACTGCATAAAGTTTCATTGTGAACCATATCAAAACTGTGCAGATGGTTTAGTTGGGGCCTAAGAAGTGAGCCAGGACAATGACGCCTTCCTAGAAGCTGTTTATGGTTAAGAAACAAACTAGATTATGAGAGTAATCCATGAATATTATGAGTTTTTTCTGCTGCAAGTGTGTGTGTGTGTGTGTGTGTGTGTGTGTGTGTGTGTGTGTGTGTGTGTGTGGGTGTGGGTGAGTGGAACGGTGGGTGAGTGAATGGGTGGGTGGGTGGGTGTGGGTGTGTGATGAAGTGTTAAACTGGAGTCAAGTTCATATGAATTAAAATCTATATAATTATAGATTTTTTTTCATGTGTGCTTTCCTTGGGGAGAACAAGAGAAAATTGAGTTTATGAGGAAGAGATCCGAAGCGAAATGAAGAGAAAATCATGTTAGGAGAGGGAGACAGAGGAAATAGAGGAGTGTGTGAGGGAGGAGATGTTGCTGAGAGAGGAGAGAGCTCTGTTGGGAATCGTCTGCAGCGAGAGAACATTTTCCTCTTCTCAAGAATCTGTGTGAAACCAAATTACTGTAGACACCAGAATCATAGACGCAGACATTCAAGAGGAGGAGGAAGAGACCAGAAATGAGCAAAAGAGAAGCACTGTGAGTGAGAGGATTGTGAGTGTAAAACCATTTAGTGGTTTTGACAATTACTTCTATGTATTTGGAGTGGTGATAATCAGAGAGAAACAAAACTAAAGATAGAACATACCCTCAGCCCTGAGCATGTATTCAGTATGAAAATGAATCCATTTTAGAGTTATGGTGAAAAACAAAATTCAGATATCATCCACACTGTTCCTCATATATTTGTACATTCAGTAATGCAACACCAAGAGCCCAATACAAACGCTTGTCATAGTGCAAAATACTGAAGATCAGGTTATTCATTTGTTCTAAAATAATGTACATTCAGATTAAAGAGGAACAGTTGGGCACCTCTCTGCTTTGAGGATTTTATTTTTTTTTTAACATTTTTTAACATATATATATATATATATATATATTTTTTTTTTTTTAATTAGCAGGCAAAGTCTGTCCCCATTTGATGGACTGGGTTGCTACTTAAACCCCTTAAATAAATTTAACTCTTTTTAAAGCATTGATAAACTCCTACTTTGAATACCAAGAAGACTCATCTCATTGGCTGCCACTGTTGTTACATTCAGATGGGGCGTATAGTGCCAATAAGCCAGTACCTGCATGACCTTTGGGTAAATATTACTAGAAAGTTCTCAGATACAATAAACTTTAGGTTATTGCTGTAAAACCCCCACTGGTTGAGTTGACTCTGGCACTAAGACTAATTATCAATAAATATCTACTTCTTGGAGTGAAACTACATCTTCAGAGACCAATAGACAGTTTTTATAGCTTTGTGCTTTTTGGGTTTCTCAGAGATTTGTGACCTCACACAATAAAGAGGGACAGAGAGAAGCATAAGTGCGACGTATTTACACCAAAAAAGAAAAAAAGTACTCTAAACTTTTTGTCATATCTTTGCTGTTAACAGACAAACAGAAGCAGACAGACACACTTGAAAAGGCTGAGCAAACAGACTGATGAGACATTAAACAGAAACAAAGAGGAAGGGGATTGTCCTGTAATCTAATGATGATAACTAACAGAGAGAGAGAGAGAGAGTGTGTGTGTGGAAAAAGTCCTAAATGACACAGTATACTGTATGTGTAGGGCAAGATAGTTGTTATGTAATTCATCTCCCTGGTGTACTACTTACACTGAACAAAAATATAAACACAACACTTTTGTTTTTGCTCTCATTTTTCATGAGTTCCACTCTACAGGCCACCATCAACAACCTGATCAACTCTATGCCAAGGAGATGTGTTACACAGTGTGAAGCAAATGATGGTCACACCAGACACTGACTGGTTTTCCAATGCCCCCGGATGCCCCCAATACAGTAAAACTGCACCTTTGAGAGTGGCCTTTTATTATGGCCAGTCAAAGGCACACCTGTGCAATAATCATGACGTCTAATTAACATCTTGATATGCCACACCTGTGCAATAATCATGACGTCTAATCAGCATCTTGATTTGCCACACCTGTGAGGCGAAAGGATCAGTGTTCCTTAACAGGGATTTAGACAAATTTGTCAATAATATTTGAGAGAAATAAGTCTTTAGTGTACATAGAAAAGTCTTACATCTTTGAGTTTAGCTCATGAAAAATGGGAGCAAAAACAAAAGTGTTGCATTTATATTTTTGTTCAGTGTACTTACTTTACTGTCATGAGACCTGGCAAAGAGAAAGACACAGACAGACAGATTGATGGACAAGCTTTTTCATAAATGTTGGCTTCATTTCAGGATCCGTTACTGACTGATACTCGTAAATAGTCGCAGTGATGCATCAGTTTGTTGGTTTACAATTTGTGCTCCATTGATGATCACCAAAAAGAAAATACTAACATGGCAGTGTTAATTTTAGTAGAAATGAAATGAGAATTTTCTTTAAGTCTTAGTCATTGTCAGAAAATTGAGGTAGATTTTAGTCCTATTTCAGTTTTTACACCTTTTGTCATGAAGATTTACACGAGACAGAGTTTTTGTTCTACTCCATTTTTGGCGATATTTCAGCCAAACCCTCAGACAGTTTAACAGTTGTTTTTAAAGACAGGAGGAGGAAGAGGAGGAGGCAAGAAAAGCTTAAGTCATGTTGGTTGAAAATTGTTTCTAGTCAAAACATCCTCCTGTTCAAATAAGACAATAACTACGTAGAAAATGTCATGAAAAGTGTCATGCTTTAAAACAGCTGAAGATGGAGATCATCCCATCAGGATGTGGGGATGACTATAACAGTACAATAAATTTACAGTCACTGTTCTCTCTAACTGCTGCCCTCAATTGGCCTAAAATCAATTTGTGTGGTTGACTGACTGATTGACTCAGTGATGGGTCAAAGGCAATATCACATTTTGTATGCTGTTTGCAGTTACTTATCGCCATCCTTCTTTTCAGTCATTTACAAAAAAAAAAATCTGACCCAGAATTATTTGATATAAACATACAAGTTCACAGGCACTGAAACACAAATGCTCACTCAGGCCTGACCTCCATCTGTCTCCAATTTCCCTGCAGTGAGCTCCAACCAGAGCCATGGGGAGTACCCAGACTGCCGGAGTGAGAGGGAGTCAGGAGGGGAGGCGTCCCTCCTGGTGTCTCCATTGGTGGTGGCGGGGATCGTTATAGGTTTGGTCCTCTTTCTCTCCTGTATTACCATCATTGTCGGCAGCCTGCGCAAGGACAGTCGACTCCGTAACCCACACCTCAGAGCGAGCTATGGTAAGTCTGCGGCCAAACTTGAAACATCACTGCAGGATCTGTCTTTCAAAAAAAAAGCCTGAATTATTGCAATTTCACCAAATGATAAAAGTCCCATTCAATTGTTGTCTTCACCTGCAGGTCTGGACGGTTTTTCATATGGAGGTTCAGTAGGGGAACTAAGATCTACCTGCTTAGAAGACTTTCCTCCTGGTTTGGACTTTGATTCATTCAGAGAGTCTCTGTCACAAGTCAACAACTTATACCCTGACTCACCGCCACGGTAAGTGCTTGTGTGAATCAGAGGTTACTGTGTCTCCACTATGAAGTCAGGCGACTTAGAGGAAAGTTTTGGCATGTATTTACTTCCTTGATGTGACTTTGGCTTTGTTCCAACTGCAGGAAAATAAGGCTTTAAATCAGGAAGGATAAATGCACTGTCATTAGCATTAGCATTAGTTCAGATGAGGTTAGTCTGTCCGGACATCACTCATGGGCAGCTGGAATCAAGAAATACACTTTATGATGTACCTGTGTATGAGAAAAACACATCTATTTCTCTCTTGGACCATGTTGTCCATGATGTGCTTCGCTGGAAGTGGCATAGGATTCTTCTGCTCAGCCACACTACTGCATCTCAGTCAATCTGGAATTGACTTCATTGCTGCGAGCAGTGTAATGAGTAACCACAGACTGTATATAGAATGGACAGTGTCTGCCTCCTTGCTGGGTGAAGCCACTGCGAGAACAGCACCCTCTGGTGATGGGCTGCAGTATAGGTAAAAAATCCCGCCTCTTCCAGCAATCCCTATGGAGTTGTGGAATATATGTTGTTGACGATGTTGATATGTAGTTACTGGAAGACTGGTTTGTGCACAAGTCCTCTTTTTTTCTGTACAGCTCCATTTTTAAAAGTTATTAGGGGGTTCATGTTTTCTATGATTGACACTTGATACAGCCTATAGGCATACGAAGATTGTGTAGCTCACCTGGGGGATACGCTGTTCGAGCCGAGCGTCATCACAGTGACTCTCTGCGACTCTCCCGCCGAATGCGTGCAACGCTACTGCGCAAGTGTTGGTTCCAGGAAGTGGTGAAAATCCCAGAAATACCGAGCAATTCAGCTTTAAATTTGTATAATGATGGAAGGCAGGGCCAAGTTGTCCATAGTATATACAGAGTCTATGTGAGTGACGCTTAACACACTTTCAAATTCAGTCTGAGGATAGCTTCTGAACTAAGAGAACTAACACATCTGTAGATACACAAGTGGAATCAGGTTTGAATCAAGCTATTAATGGATATTGGAAAATATCCATTAATTTAAGTTGGCAGTCTTAATGTTAAGCAGAGTTAGCTGGCATGTGCAGTAGCTTTTGAATAATAAAATGATTAAAATAGATCTCATTATCGAACCTCTGAGAGATTAAAATCAGAAGCATGTATCCAGGAACATCCATCAATAAAACATTTTTTTTTTGGCCATCATGCCAAGTAAACAGAAAACTTGTTTGTTTACATTTTCATGCTGGTATATTTTCTACAAAGGTCTTCAGGCATGAGCTGCACAATGTCTTACATTCTGGTGATGTTGAACAAAGATATTCAGAAACCTTCTGCTTTTATTATCCTCCATTTACTGCTTAAAAAAGCAAGAAAAATGTCTTTTTTAACCAATTATATCAAATGTCAATAAAAAAAGTATCAGACTGTTCAGCCTTCATCTCCCATTACTCTCAGTCCACAGGGTTTGACCCTTCCCCAGTGGTCATTTATTTATTAAGGAGTACTGCTAGCCTTGGTGCCCTTTTTAACAGTGCAAGAATGAGTGTTGGTGCACCTTGTGCTACGTGTGTGTCTGTGTGTGTGTCGAAGGAAGAAGGAGTGTGCGTGTGTAATTGTGTGTGAGAGAGAGCGGGAGAAAGAAAGAGCTTTCTAAAGGCCAATGTCATGGTGTTTTTGATCTAAATGTCAGCTGGTCTAATTGGCAACTTTAATAATTCACATACATCTCTCCCCTGCTGTTGTGTGTGTGTGTGTGTGTGTGTGTGTGTGTGTGTGTGTGTGTGTGTGTGTGTGTGTGTGTCTCCATCTCTTATCAGGCTGAGAAACACTCACAGACTTCCATCTTATACAGGATAGTATACTTTCCTTTCTTTCGTTCTCTAAACAAGAGGTCTTTACAGACTCGTTCAACTGTATCTGACTTCCTGGTGTGTCTTTCATGGCTTTTGGCATCAGTACCGTACTTTTTTTTCCTATAGTCCATTTCTATTGATCAATACTTTTATCCTTTATATTCCTAACCATTGAAAACAGGGTTAATTCACAGTATGAATTGACCATTTTCAACTACTTTTTCATGGTTTCAACCTTGTTATATGTTTACCCATCTTCTGGCATTTTTCACTGCTCTTCCACTACGTGCATTATACAAAAGGCTACAGATCCAATGTATCACTTGGTCTTCTCAAGATAATATCATAGATTAGGATTATGTTTGATGATGTTCCTGTTTATCCTGGAAAATCTTAGCTAATTAATGCTTGTTCACACTGTGATCGTTGCAGCCATAGACATAAAATACTATGACGCTCAATGACTGACTCTTCCTTTTGGAGCGGATGCCATCTTGGATGGTTCCCCCATGTGCCCCCAGTGCATTTTTTCCTACTGAGGAGGGTAGGTATGCCCAACAAAATTGATCATAACTCCCTGAATTTTTGCCCAATTTTCACACGGTTTGGTATGTTACAAACGGCAGAAATGCATGATTGGTGTTTTGTTATTCATGAATGTTCTGCTGAGTAAACGACGTGAATGGAATCACTCCAAGACCTGATTCGTTCCTTTCTTAGTTCAGTTGAGCTCAGCTCGAGCATGGCGTGCAAGTCGAGAGTGGAACTGCTGCCTTTGACTCTTTGGCGAACGACACACAGCCAGCCAGCCAGCGGCCGGGCAGAGTCTCGTGATTTGCTCACAGCGAATGAATGACATATATCAGTCAGACTGTGAACATGTATCAGTGAGACTGTGAACGACATACAGTCAGACTGTGAACGAAAGGAACAACTTCCAAACGACTTGAGGCAGGCAGAGGAGGGAGGGACGTAGCATCATTCACAAACTGCCGAGCACCGGTTCGTTCACTGTGAGGATGAATGTAGGCTATGATAAAATAGTGCATTATAGTGCCTTTACAGTAACACACATCTATAAACTTTCCCGCAAAAAGGATTTAATTTCAGCCAATTTAAAGCAATACACCATTTGATATCTTTAAAAGTAGCAGAATCCCTGCTAAAGCTGCGATGTTTATTTATTTTTAATCTTTCCACTTTTCCACGATATAAAAGAAGGATGACTTGCACTTGTTTGGCGGGCATGCTACTTGCTGCTGTGTTGTTTCACCTCTCGTCATGATGTGAATATCAGCGGCACACAGAGGTGACTTTTTCAGGAGTGATTCTTCCTTCAAGACTGGGTGAATGAATGACATGTGTCACCCAGTGAACGGGAGGGGTTCGATCAATGAACAAACTCCCGTTCAACGACATTGTGTCACTCACTCGTGACCTGCCCCCACCAGGACGGGGCTCCGAAGCACTGACTGATTCTGTGTTCGAACCTTCTGAACAAATCATTTTAATTACGAGATTCTAAAGATTCAGTTCAGTCAAAAGAACTGTTCTTAAATAAAATAAAATAAATATTATTGAATTATTTTTCAATCTTAATTGTGAAATGTAATCCTATGTGGTCTGGTTTCAATACTGCACCACTTTTTGTAACCGTAGGGTGCACAAAATACAGGCATAGTTGCTCATTCTCTGTTGACAATTAGGAATAAAAAGATGCTGCTTCTCCTTCACAATTCCTGTGCCTTTACAAAAAGGCAGAGTTGGACAGTTAGTTTTCTAACTGATCATCCATGCCCAGTTTCATACCCATCATAGCTGCCAGACAAGGGCTCAAAATGCCAGCCATCCAACACTGTTTATGCACAAACTGACTTTTAGATCACATTTTCACAGGCCTCAATGGGTTTAGCCCAGTATTGGAAACACCTGGATCCAGATTCATGCTGACTCTTCACCATTGCACACTCACATCTATCATGTAGAACCTGAGGCGTCAAGGGGCGTGCTTGAATTGTGATCTGGGGACTAAAATAAAGCGTCTGTCATGTTCTTGGGCCCCAGAAAATACATCATCAAATGGTTAGCAGAAGGGTGGAGGTATGCTAAAGCTTGGTGCTTCTGGCCAAGAATACGTGCCGTTTCACCAGTAAAGCTCCCACCAGACCTTTGATGAATCTGTTCATAATGTTTGTCCTTATTTGAACCGAAGCACAAAGAACAACAGGACAAGGAAAGAAAAAGGAAGAAAGAGGGGAGCCGGTCAGCTACGTCAGCGCTATGGCAGGGAAGCGTTGTGTTCTGGACAGCCTGTGTGTGAACCGGACAGCAGCCAACACACAAACAAACACACACCCTCTGACAAACCCACATACAGGTTTTTTCCCACAAACACCCATACACACAGAATTACTCAGATTAAAAGTGCATTTTGTTTACCATGATCTGGCAAGTCATTGTTTTGTACGCTGTCAGCTAGGAGGTAGTTGCAGTCATGTGATGATCCTGCAGTGTGTGTGTGTGTGTGTGTGAGATTGTGTGGGCCACAGATGGTCGAGGGAAACTCAGAGAACTCAGATCAACAGCTCACCTACCGAGTCTGTGAATGCTACACTTCCGACACAAACACACACACACACATACGCTCTCCCTCTTCCAGAAAGGCTCACACACATGGATCAACATTTCACCTGTGGAGACTGAAAGCCTCTGCTTCCTCTCAGAGAGAAGAAGCTAGGCATGCTTTAGCACACACACTAAAACACACACAGCAACGCAATATGTGTTGCTGAGCCGATAGAAACAAGAAACAAACTGTGATCACATAAGATAAGACAGGATAGGAAGAACTTATTTATCCTTGAGAGGAAATCTGATACAGAATCATATCAGCATTTACACTGAGTTTGTGAGCCCAGTCCATCATCCTACCCTATAATAGGGCTGCTCAATTATGGCAAAAATCATAACCCCAATTATTATGAATAAAATTGATATCATTGTTATCACACGCATTAAAAAAAACTTGTAAACCTCTTTAGAGAGTTAATTTAAAAAAATAAAAATAAAAAAAAACACAAGTGAAAACTGTTTTACCTTTCTGTCCGTCTAACTGCACTGAAAGAGACCATGCATCAGTTCTTTACTTTGACAACTGTTACTTAATACATACATACTGTTCTTAAAAATTGAAGGAATTCTAGCTCTTTCATTACTTATATTTTATCACAGGCTCTCAGTCCAACAAACAGTTCAGTTCTTTCATGTAATGTCCTTCGTAATGTCAAGACTTGGGTTTGTATTTTATAATGATTTAGCCCTGCAAATATTTGCTCATTCACACTTGGGATCAGTGCAGCCTCTTTTTTGTCATGCTCGTTCTGCCCCTTGCCTTATCAGACACACAAACTTCCTCTGTCCATGAGCCATGAATGCAGTTTGAGCCAATAAAACTCTTAAAACCTTCATATTAAATAACTTTTAAATAAATCCTTTTTAGTGATGAAAAAAACCTCAATTACAAAAAATGATTGAGGAATTTTTGAGTGCTTGAAATTCAAAGCTCAAATTGTCATTGTTTTGCACAGATCATTTTTGTGACACAACGCACTCACGTCACCACGGTAGAAGGGGGAGTGAGCGCAGTTTTGGTTTTGAGGAGCGGAAAAAATGAATGATGAGTGGGTCTTTTCTTCTGCAGCGCTTCAGAAGCTCATTAGCACTTTGCCTCTGAGTCATGGGCGGAGACAGTGCTGCTCTGCAAACTCCTCTTTCTGCTAGCTTGCAGCCTAACATTGCCGGTGGAGTAGAAGAAGCAGGTAACATAGGAGGTCTCAGGGTCGGATCGGGTGTTTCTTTACACACTTCTAACTCAGTAAGTCCACACAACACAAACTCAAAACTTCCATCCAAAACCTAGGACTTTTGAAGGATTTTATAAACTCCCCCTGACAAAGCCGGACAAGGACGGACAGCCCCCAAAAAGAGAACATGCCCATATAATGAGGATGCATGGTCACCCTATGACAGCTAATATCATAATTAGCTTTCTGACGAGCATTGCAATCTGCTACTGTACACGCTTGTTCTGCAGTTGTTCTGCGATAATTGCACTTTAACTAAAAAAAAAGATAATTTTTTTCCAATTACTCGAATAATCAATGGAATATTCGGTGGAATACATGATTACTAAAATATTCGATAGCTGCAGCCCTACTTAAAATACCGTTTAAAACCCAGATAACATGGTCTTGATACATAGGTTGGGGTTTTGTTCTGCATAAGCTTCTGATTACATTTTTTATACTTTGGTTTTCAGTAGGACACAGTGCACAAAAGGTTTATTTCCTGAATATTTGCAAACAATCTACCTGCTCATAAAGGCTATGGGCCAGAGGCCAGAATTTCACTATTTGGTACATCTCAGGGTGGCAAAGGTTCATCATGATTTTTGAAAAGACAGATGTCTGTAGATTATATTTTTGTATGATAACCTTTCCAGGTGCCCAGCTAAATATTGGTTTTCAGATCATGAAGTTAACCACCCCTTAAGATAAATTTGATTTTTTTACACTGGTGTATATCTGGTTTAGTCTCACGGCAGGGACATTTCTCAAAGGTTAACAATACTGTGGCTTTCATTTAAGCCTATATGTGTTCATCTTAGACCAACATGGGAGTCACTAGAGCTCTTTAAATCACAAAAAAATACACATTTTCCTGCAATTTTCGCCTACATGATATAATTTCTTTTGGCCATATGTCACCCAGGGACATCAGGGATACAAGAATTACAAACTGCAATACTCTTGGGACTCATAAGATTCAGAAAATGTGTAACATACCCAAACTATCTCTTTGTGGGAGGTGACTGTGTGGAGTTTTGAGAAGTCAGAGGTTTAGGCAAGAATCTTGGTTCTGCAGGGAAGGGTGGGGGGCATCTCCTATCGGGGATATTAGTCAAAACAGAAAATTGAAAAAAACCCTTAGAATGCATTGATTCTGTAGGATTTTTTTGTGTTGAATCCATTTCTGCTGGTTGCCCAGGTGTAAAAGTTACAGTTTAGTCATAATTATTGATTAATAAGCGTAATTATTAATATATCCCCCAATGCTAGAAATGGCTATCAATTTCCTATTTGTTAAGAATTTACATATGATTGTTTGGTATCATTGTAAAGGGGATCTTGTTGTAAAGGTCGCGCATGGTCGCCGAGGTCGCAGGACACCAAGTCGCGTCGCTCCCAAAGTTCAAATATTTGAACTTTGGGAGTGACTTGATATAAACACATTCATCAAATAAAAAAAGTGTTACCTTACCAGAGTAGAGGGATACCAACAAAGTATTGAAAGCTGTCAGCATGCGTGTTGGCCTCTTGTTTCCGCAGTAACTTTCAGTCAGGTTCCAGACTCACAGCAATCCCCCAGATTTTAATAATATGGTGATGTTATACATTTTCTGAAACTCCATAGGCAAGTCATTATTGCAGTATCTGTTGTTTGTGTCTCAGGTGTTCCTAGGTACCACAGAGTTAAACCAAAGAAATTACCTTTGGCGGAATTTGTGAAAAAACAAAAAAATATTGTTTGAGGTTTAAGGAGCTCTACTGACCTCCATGTATTTCATAAAGGTTCATAATTGGATTTGAATGAAAGCTACAAATGTTCCATTTAAAATGACACCAAACACAATATTATTAAATATTGGGAGGTGCCCTAACTATGAGTCTAAACAAGGATAGGCAACAGCGTCTAATGTCCAATTTACCATGGGGAGGGGGATTAACTTGGAGGAGGAAATATATAAAACCAGGGGTTTTATTTGAAGGGCAACCGGTGGATTCTTGTTTGGGACACCTTGAAGTTCCAAAAAATGCTGGTTGCCCACTTTTCCTCAAAAATATCTACAGGGTCACATGAGTCTAAAGTTACAGCCCAGTCTAAGATGCCTGTGAGGAGCTAGTGACCCTTGGCTACACAACTGGATGCAGGACAGCCTAACGCGGCTTTAAGCCAAACCCATGCACTGTAATGTAATGCACTGAAGGGAAAAAAATACGATCACAAAAAACTGTAATGCTTTTTTGATTCCATCATTACTATTCATATTTGTAATTAGTTGCCATGTTCAGTGAATTTTACTGATTGATTAAGAGGATGAAAACTGTCTACCTGGTCTTTGATTATTACTGAATTAGAATTAGTAATAATATCATTACCTCTAAACAATTGGTGTGGTGATTTTTTACGTAATGCTGGTCCAAAGAATGAACGGAGGTGGATGGGCCTGAGCCGGTTACTGCTATTTTAAGGCTCACAGTAACCTCTCACAAAGAAATAGAACGGGTATATCATGCATTTCCTGAATCCTCAAAGTCCAGTTGATATTGGGATTGTTGGCTTTTGGGTCCTTGATATCCCTTGATCCCATAGGGATAAAAAAAAAACTGTATAGTTCAGGTGAACACTGTGGGAAAATGTGTGTAATCTATGGTTTAAAGAGGTCATGTGACCTGTGTTTTTCAGACAGATACAAGTATGGGCTTAAATGAAAGGCTAGAAGGTCCCCTTTATAATGATACCAAACAATCATATGTAAATTCTTAACAAATAGGAAATTGATAGCCATTTCTAGCATTGGGCAATATATTAATATTTACGCTTATTAATCAATAATTATGACTAAACTGTAACTTTTACAGCTGAGCAACCAGCAGAAATGGATTCAACACAAAAAAATCCTACAGAATCAATGCATTCTAAGGTTTTTTTTTTTAATTTTCTGTTCTGACTAATATCCCAGATAGGAGATGCCCCCCACCCTTCCCTGCAGAACCAAGATTCTTGCCTAAAACTCCACACAGTCACCTCCCACAAAGAGATAGTTGTATTATGTAGTTGTGTAAATGTGTATTTTTTGTGATTTAAAGAGCTCTAGTGACTCCCATGTTGGTCTAAGATGAACACATATAGGCTTAAATGAAAGCCATAAGGGTCCCCTTTAAAATGATACCAAACAGTCTATTGTTAACCTTTGAGAAATGTCCCTGCCGTGAGACTAAACCAGATATACACCAGTGTAAAAAAATCAAATTTATCTGGTTAACTTCACGATCTGAAAACCAATATTTAGCAGGGCAGCTGGAAAGGCTATCATACAAAAAATAATCTACAGACATATGCCTTTTCAGAAATCTTGATGAACCTTTGCCACCCTGAGGTGTACCAAATATCTGTCGGGCCCATGGACTAATATGCCTTTGACTGATGGCAGCTAACAAGATTTAGTTGTATTCAATGGTTCTGTGCCACACTGTATGTCTCAAATGGTCACTGATGCTGACCAGTGCAGAAGAGGGCTCAGGGTGTCCTCTCACATATTTAGCACTGAGTCAGGAAACAGAGAAATCTTTGGAATAAAACTAGCACCAGACATCAAGGACAAGGACTTTACAAGTACTACGAGTACAAGTGAAGGAGGAAGAGAGAGAGAGAGAGAGAGAGAGGGAACAGATGAGGCTGGTGATGGAGGCTCAGTTATCAAATTTCAGGAACAGCACTGTTCTGTTCTGTCCAATTCAAATGTGCCTGTATGTACTCTGAACACATGACCAACAATACAATGCCATGCCATGTAAAGTGGATGTACTTTTCCAGTCCAGGAGTACAGTGAAAGGAGAAGCCAGGACAGCTTGTTTTTGTTACGTGTGAAATTAAATCTCACACTTTCCTTTGAAAGTTAGGCACACAAATCATACAAGCTTCAGCATATCCAACATGAAACACATACGCCTGTGAATATAAACTCCAATCTCCACAGGCAAGTACCTCTCACAGTCATGGAGGGGTATACAAGCTTTGTACATGCTCACACTCACACACAGAGACCATATGGTCCATGCTGAAGCTACAGTTGTCTGGTGTCCAGCTCTGTAAGAGCTGTAGAGCGTCACAACCAGTTCATGAACAAATGCCAGAGGTCCTCCCTTTCTCCTGACCTGTAAGCAACAGACGTTGACTTTCACCATCAAATTAAAAAAAAAAAAAACAGTGGAGGTCACGCCACAAGAACTACTCTGTATTTTTAGAGGGAAATGCTGTTGTCTAAAATAGGATTTCAGCTGCTCAACAGCTCAGGGTCTCTTTTATTGTGTGTTTCGTTTTAATGGCAGCTCAATTTGCAGCAGTCACTCACAATGATGGAGTGTTCATTGACTCTTTTGTCAGGTTTGTTGCATTTTACCTCTCCAGTCATCCTCTACTCTGCTAGTTCTGTAAAGATCACTGTAGAAATGGCAAATGGCAGAGAGAATATGTTTTCATTTTGAAAAGGTATCTCATCCATTGCTTTACATAGATTTTTACACTTTATGTTATCTAACCTCAGCATTTTACCTAATCATATTTACAATGGGAACTAGAGGGCACTGCTTTACTATGAACTTGAGTCAGTTTTTTAATTAGCTTTACAGTATGAAAACCATAGTGAGTAGTTAACTAAGTAAAAACTAAATCAAATGAAACTCATTTTATTGTCATGTTAGGGTATCAGGGTTAAGACTGGTCTCTAAAAGTGAGTCTGTGAAATGATAAGCAAATAAAATTTGCTCCATCTTGCAAGTTGCACTGTCAATCCAACAATTATTAAATCTGAAGAAATGTGTTTACTCATATATAGACCTGTGGGTGCACTTAAACAAGAAATACCGACTTAACCTGCTCTCAAATTGGAGTAAGAGAGGTAAGCGGTCTGCGACTATAGGACCAGACTTTTTTGCATCCAAGCAGGGAAATTATTGCATTACTAGGTTACAAGAGCGAAAAGTACAGCATTAATGACAAAGAAATCTTAAGATTGTTGGGAAGAAAAGGACAAATTGGCTGGAAACAGCCTGATGTTCGTTTCCTGAACTGAATAACTAATTAACACATTTTATCAACACTGTGTTTTACATGATGCAGCTGGCCCTCTAACAGAAACAGACAGCTGACAAAAACACAGAGGGACGTATAAACACAAGCAGTTGTGCAACTCCAAGCATAAGTCCCAGAGGGCACAAATTATTTTCACTCAGGCACACCTTTGTAACACTGGGGAGCTTTAGCAGAGCACACGAGTGTTAAACAACACATTCATTATCGAGGGTGAATTTTCTTCCTTTTCAGGAACACGTAGAGCAGAAGGCCGCAGGGGAGCAGAGGAGCTTAAAACTCCTGAGAGACAGAGGACACAGGGACTTACAGAGTGTTACAACACTTCCAAAAAACACCCTCAATCTGCCAGGCACACACTTACCCCATGTCCAATTTTCACCTCAACATGTTGTAGCATGAGGTCAGTTTTCTCAGAGCAAAAGAAATCAGTTAGAAGAACATTTCACTGACTCATTGTGGTGCACAAGTGGATTTTTACAAGAGTGTGATCAGGGTTGTTTAACCAAATAACCTTAAAGGGATATTCCCGTGTAAAATTAAGTTAAGGTCAAGCACACCATAACACCGAGTTAGACACCCCCTCCAGAGATGAATGTTGCCAACTGCTTGCTTCTTAGCTTTGCCTGGTTTCTTTACCAAAGAGACCAAACACAACTCACCTACTCTCCTCCAGCAGCCCCTTGTTTGTAGGGGAGCCCTGACGAGATCACCAAGTGCAGCGGAGTTTTGCAGCTCAAGGAAGAACATTCATGATAATTTCTTCATGGAAATGCAATCAGATAGAGATGCTAAAGCAGAAGAACTAAGGCATCTGCAGTGCAAAATGATTATTATAATGATTACTACTTCATGTAAATGATTTGCCGCACTCTGTGAGATGTAGACCACTGTGTATTGCTATTGTGCAGTCGTTGCTTAAGTTGGTATAACTAGAGAAGCAAGCAGTTGGCAACAGGCTGTCTAACATGGTGTTACAGTGTGTTTGACCACGACTTCAATTTACGCTGGGATATTCCTTTAATATTTCAATGAAAAACTTTTATCGATTCTTATGATAGAGACAGCAACTGATAATAGGCTCTTTTTGTTTTATTTTCTCAAAGCTGGTTGTCACTTTTAAAGTTTGGCGCAACCAGCTTAAGCTCAGTGTGTGTCTACACAACTCCCTATTTTTTCTTTTGAATAACTGGAAAATAAAAATCTTTTGAATAACTGGAAAATAAAAGGCTCCAAGATTTTCAAACTGGGTGCAGCGATTTTAATTCTACCATGTTTGTTTCCTCCAGCAGGCTTTGTCAAACAGCCAACCATGAACATGCTAAAAAACAGACACAGCTTTAAAGTGAAAGTTTCAAGAAATGTCTTTTGATCGTGCAACAAACACAGTGAGGCCTCATTTCAAGTACTATTTCAGGCTCGACAAAAGACTGCCTGTGTGTGTGTGTGCATGTGTGTGATGCCAAGCAGTGGGTGCAGTGGACATTAGGTCTTTCTGACTGAGCCTTGTATTCACATCAAGGCAAGAATAGCTCTCCCTCTCTCACCATAGACAGAAAATTGTAGATACACTCAAAATCTCGAACACTGCTTTAAAATAGCTGGCAAGTGGGCACACACACTCGCTGAGGGTACAGAAGAAGACAGGGTGAGAATAGGAACAAAAAGAAATGTAACAGAGAGAAAAGAAGAAGAGAAGGTAAAAGAGACAATTGTGAGGCTGTGGTACCAGACTGCTGAATTATATAACTGGGCTGATGGAGTTACATGGATTTAAAGCTTCCTTTATTCCCAAACCAGTACTATCAAAGATTTTTTAATAATGGTTATTACTGAATAGTCATCGTTCATTGTGATTAATCACATTTTTAGTGTGTTAATTTAAAGAGATCCATTCTGTTTTTAGAAACATATGATTTTAAGGCACTGTGAGGAATTTTTAACTGCTGAAAACCAGACTAAAACTGATGATGAAGTCTCTTTATGACTGTCAAAAGCAAACAAGACCATCAGCAATGAGACATATAATGTCACTGTCGTAACTCTGAATGCTTTAGTGCAATAAACAGTCATTGACTGGTGTTTGATAATGTATTAGGTATTGTAAATATAGTATGAACAACAATATCAGCCATGTTCATCACGCTAAGATCAGATGACTGATAGTGAGCTGAGAAAACCATTTTTGACTTTGTGTACAGCAAATACTCAACAGGAGGAGGTACTCGCCTAAATACACTACTTTCACAGGTGCAAGACAAAAGAAAAGACGTATCACCTTGTCCACAGGGGGCACCAATACCAGCACAAAACAAAGTTCCTCACAACAGCTTTAAACGTCCCCTTTTTTGTTTGGCTTGGTCGTAAATGTGTGTATATAAGCTCTTGAACTGCAGGAGTTCAAGCTTTTGGGACTCTGCCAGAATAGCAAGGAAAACAATAACCAGAAACAGACTGCTGCGTTGAGTGTTACAGGAAGAGATTAAATGTTGATGGTGAATTATGTTCAACTTAAAGCTCCTGTGAGGAGTTTTTTGATATTTTTGAAACAAACTGAAATTTACATTTATGACTTTTATGGTACCCAAAAGTAGAAAGGATCATCAGTGATCATCATTATTTAAAAACTTTTAATCCATGAAACCAGTGAAATGGGGGTCGGTTACAGGTGCCTTTCTATTACAAATTCCATAGTAATATTCATAAAAATAAAAGCCACTAAGATGAGACTTTTGTCAGGAGACACAGTTCAAGCAAAAAGGAGACAAGATAGACAAGGACTGCTTTGACCACAGGGGGGCACCAAAATGGACACAAACCAAAATTCCACCACAGGACCTTTAATGCACAGTTTTTACAGCACAAAAACCTCATGAACCTAAAGCCAACCTGTAAAAGGTCCGTAAGTTTTTTGTGTTTTGAGAAGTATTAGCTATATTAATATTGGAAAGGTCAGACACAAGCAGGTAGTTAACTTTAATGTTGTTATTCTATAGTAAGCCTGGTACCTGCCCTCTCTGTGTACTCTTTTTTTGTCTCAATAATCTACTTTACATTGTCTGTGTTTTTCTTTTTTTTTTTTTTTTTTGTAATTGTTACTGTAAAATTGGCAGATGCCTCACACATTTTTTTTCTTCAAAATTTTGCAGAATTTCTTTCAGCACTGACATTAGAAAACTTAACATAAAACACTGAAGTGAAATCACTGCCTGACTTAAGAAAAACCTTTTTTTCTTTTCTTTTTAGTTTGACATGGAGTTGGACCCAATTGGTCAAACTCAGACCGCTTTGCTTTCCGTCATTATACAAATTTGAGCTGAATCACTCTCGGTGTTTACGGGATTTTCGCCACTTCCTGGAACCACCACTTGCGCAGTAGCGTTGTACACATTCGGCAGGAGAGTCGTTGTGATGACGCTCAGCTCAAACAGCGTATCCCCTGGTTGAGCTACGCAATCTTCGTACACCCCATAGGCTGTATCAAGTGTCAATCATAGAAAACATGAACCCTCTAATAACTTTAAAAAATGGAGGAAAAAAGAGGACTTGAGCACAAACCAGACTTACAGTGACTACATGTCAACATCGCAACCAAGGGGGAGAAAAATGTATATTTTGTGTAATTAATTTCTAAAGTTTGTCCACAGCTCCATCGGGATTGCTAGAGGAGGCAGGATTGATGACCTATACTGCAGCCCGTCACCAGAGGGTGCTGATCCTGCGGTGGTTTTACCAAGCGAGGAGGCAGACGGCATCCATTCTATATACAGTCTATAGTCAAATTCAGTCATCTCAAAAACTTATTCAGCTGACTTTGACAAAGTAGATGACTGAATAATTGACCATTGTTTTTGAGCTGCAGATTGCAGTGCAGTGTGTGCAGCACTGCATTTGTTTGGCCTACATACACTTGAGTTTATTTCTGCTGTGTGTGCTGGTGGCGTCTTACAAATATCAAAAACACAGATTTCTGCAAATGTTATGATAGATTTGAGCTGTTGTTTTCCCCCGTGGAGTTACATAAGAGAATATTCAAAGTACGCTTTCTCTTCCTTTTACTTTCTTTTCCAAGGTTGAGGGAATGATAAAACTGGACAGCTGTCAGCGAACAATGTGTCACAGAGTTTGTTCTGACATAGCTCACAACTACAGACAGTCTGGGCCATGTACAGTGGGATTATACTCTGAGAGCTGCAAAGTAGAGGACATATAAATGGGATGAGCTGTTGTTTTTATTTAAAGGTTTCTTTCATTCCAAGATAAGTATTACTTAAAATAGAAACACAAGGGTCTCCCGAACTGTCTTAAAATACTAAAAATGTCAGCTAAAAAAAATGCATTTTGGAGCTTTGGGGACATAGTCTCAGTCACTGACGGTATGCAGACAATACAGTATATTTTGAACAGACTCCTGTGTTGCAGGTGGAAAATAAAACTCTGCCTCAAAGTTGCCAAATCAAGTAATTGACCCAAATCCAAAAGTGACCCAGTTTAAAGTGCTGACTCTGTGTCACATACCAGGAGAGATGGTCTACCCCTATGGAGAGTAAGACACTAGAGACAAAATACAGCAGCTGCTGGGAAAAAAAAAAAAAAAAGAAAACTTGCTCAACCTGTGCAGAACATGAACAAAATGTTCAGGTGTACAAAACCAGTTATACAACATGATACTTAAAAGATTTACAGTATATCTTCACTCCCTTCTAATTTAAATGTAAAAATAAGGATGTGAAAAAAGAGTCATTAATCTGAGAAGGATTGATCTTCTCTGGACTGGGTGATTTTTTTATTGCAGTGGTTAATTTAGAATTTATAATCTCTAAAAACTCACCTGAATCATTTTAATTAACTTTTGGGTTCATGACCTAAGATTTGCAGCTCTGGGTGTGTTTCTTGTTATTCTGTTGGAAAAATATGACTCCACAAACCAAACCTATAAAGCACCATAACTTTGAGTCGATATGGAGTGATGTAAACATGTCACTTGATAGACAGTACAGACTCTTGAAGCCATAAGATGTCCCTTGTTTTAGGCTTTTTTTTTATAAATTCATGCAGCTAAAATGAAGCAAAATACTTTATCTTATGTCAGTCTGGTAAAGAAAACCTCCGTCTTTAACATGGTATAACGGTAAAAACGACTAAAGAGATGAGACAACACACATGAAATTGATCAAATTTGTTGTCTGGAAGAGGAGTAGTTAAAGTGGGAGAGAGAGATGGCTTCATGTTCCTATTTATGATTAATGTTAGATTAATTTTTTAGCCTTTAATTTCACCTTAAAAGTGTAACAAGTTTTAAAAGGATTTAAAAAAGGCCACATCTCAAAAAATGTTTAGGATCAAACCATTTTCCTCGTATGCAGAGAATGTATCTTTGCTGTGATAATTGCTCAGACTGGTTTAAGTACATGTGACTCCCCTAAGGAGACGAAGACGAATGGACCATAACAGACTGTCATTATGACTGGTATCTAAAACCAGAGATGAACATGTGAACTTCAAAAATGTATTAAGGCTGACATGTAGACAGAGGAAAAGATGCAGAGGAACCTGCTTAAAGGTGATTTTCTTACACTGCATTGAGATGGAGGCATACACTATAATTTCTACAATTATTGTGAGTGTGAACTTCAGCTTTGCATTTAGACTCCTTTGAATGACACCTGCCATTTTAGCAAAACTGGTTATAACTGCTTTAAGTTCTCATGTTCAAAATGTCATGAGAACAAAGTAATTAGAACAAATACCAGCAGACACCAGCTCCAATATGAAGACACGAATATTCAACTGCAAGGAAGAACATTTATGATTATTACTTCATGGAAATGCAACCAGAGTCCTTGTGTAACTTGTATGTGCACTGCAGACATGGAAGTTCTGCCTTAGCATCTTGGTCTGATTTCATTTCCACAAAGTAATAATCATAAATTTTCCGCTGCACTCTGTGCAAGTTGTGTTTAGTCTCTTTGCTAAAGAAACCAGGAAAGCTAAAAAACATGTTTAATGGCTAGTACTATGGCTGGGACCCTATATGTACTGTTGATGAAGTTAGGTGCTGTTCTGGGCATTATTTGTGGCTATAGAGTGGCTTTTTGGTTGAGGTTTGCGTGTGGAGACATAGACTGCTGTGTATTGCTATCATGCGGTCGTTACTAAAGTTGGAATAACTAGAGAAGCAGGCAGTTGGCAACATTCATCTCTGGAGGGGGTGTCTGACTTGGTGTTATGGTGGGTTTGACCATAACTTAAATTAATGCCGGAATATACCTTTAATACTGAAACCCCACAATAAATAAAAATAAGTGGAAATAACCACAATAAATAGAAATAAATAACCGCTAAAGGTGATAGAAGTATGCCCTTACATTACCGAACTGTCTGGTAAATCGTCAATGGAAATATTAAATTTTTACTCAGACTGTCATGTGGCACTGATTGCAAGAGTGATCTGCATCATTTTACTGTACTGACAGCCCAGTTTTTCATACAATTAGCTATGGCAGACTCATGTGAACACCATGAAAACTCCCTTATGAGAGTTGCCCTAAATTTGTGATTAAAGTGTCAGACTAACAACTTTTTTTTTATTATTATTCTTTAATCTTTCACATGAGATGTATTGATTTTGGAGTGGTGACTTGCTGTCCTTATGTTGAGTTAATTATTCGTAGATGCAGGTCTACTAGTGTGAAAGTACAGTTTGGACAGAAGCAGAGCCTTTGAGCCTCAACTTCTGAGCTATTGTTATCCGGGCCATCGAACAACAGAGTATTCAGGCCACTTTCATTACAAAGTTGCTGTGTTACGATAACAAATTGTAAGAAAAAAACTGTTATTAAAGGAGATTAAAGTCATATTGTTACTGGACAAAGTTGTGATTGTTAAATTCGTACAAAATTGTAGTAAACTTAATGACAAGAATGAAATCATAATATCATATTACAATAACCACAAGTCTCAACTTTAACACAATAGTTTCAGAGTCATTTAAACAATGTGGTGCCAATGTGTTTATTTTGGGTGGGGATTTTTGCCTTTTATTGATAGTACAGGGTGAAATGTGGGGAGATAGAGAGGGGGGAGGACATGCAGCACATGGTCGGGGCCGGACTCAAGCCTGCGACAGCGAGGACCGTGGTCCCCATATATGGTGCACGTGAACCCAGTCGACAATCTGCGCGCCCCCTACAACTTTATTTTTGTTAAAAAATGCCTCTAACCACAATTTTATTTACATTATGTAATGACTTTGCTTAGGTTTTATTTTGTTACATAATGACTTGATGATTTTATCCTTGTTGCATGACTTTACCATGATTTTATTTGATAAGATTTTGACTTGATCACTACTTAACATGACTTAAGTCCTGTGACATTATGACCTGATTTGTTTACAAAAGAAAAAAAACTCTTTCATGTGACCTCCATACTTACTTGAACTTTAGTGAACTGGTCTGAAACGCGGGGGCTGTGGAAAAAACAAAAAGCTTGTGTCAGGGAGGGATAAAATCTCAATATTCAAGTATTAACTGTTGAATCTTTGCTTTTATCTCAATAGTTATGATGAGTGCGTTGGCCCAGGTTCAACCCAGATCTACATACCTACAGATGACCCGCCCCCTTACTCCCTATTGGACCCCTGCCAGGGAGGACAAGAGCAGGAGGATCAGCCTAACTACACCAGCCTGGACCGTTCTTCACCATACTGTGGAGAGACCTCAGCCAGTGCCGCCTGGTTCTCCCCCTCCCATTACCCACTGGGACTTCCTCAGCAGGAGCACCAACACATCGCATCTATCTCCTTCCCACTGGAAGCAGCGCCGCCTTATGAGTCAGTGTTGGCTGAGCAGGGACAGCCCCTCCCTCTCATGCCATGCGACCTTTATAAACACCAATCGGAGGGTGGGGATGAGAGCAACTCCCGGCAACCGGGGACAAACCAGATCTTGTAGGACAGTCCATTTGTGTTGTTCATCTGCCCTGTTGGTTGTCCCTAGTTGAATTTTACAAACACTTGTTACGTTGGGCACAAAATGGCTGTTTGGACCAGCTGTGACACCAAACATTGGACACTTAATGAGATGTTCACATCTTCCACACAATTTCTAACATCTCAGTGAACTGAGGAGCAGCCAGGACTCCAGTTTTCAACAATTTACTCACAGCTTGTTCCTTAACAAATAATAAAATAAAATAAAATAAAAAAATAAAAAGAAGAAGAAAACACTCACTGATTGTGTTGTAATGTAAATTTTCCAGAATGACATCTTTGCTTTTTGGTTGTTCTGAAAAGAAAAAACTTTTTTCAGTTCAGAAAGTTGAATTTAATAAGACGTTTCTTCATTGTCCGCTTTATGTTTCTGTAGTCTGACTGTTAATCTCTCTTCCTTCGATTCACGTGTCATATTTGGAGTTGAGGCTGAATTACTGCAGTAAGAACTGACAACTGGTCATCATGTTATCGACTGAAAACTTTGTCTGTAGGGAAGAAACTGAGTGTAAACAATATTAATCTGAGATAAAGTTGTGTATGTAAGGGTAAACACAAGCACACAGAGTTAACTCCCACCTTTTCCAGCCTCTGGCGTGTGCTGTAGCTTAAGTGTGGTGGTTTCATCCTCATGGTTAGACTGATGAAACCAAAATGGAAACTGCAGGGAGGTGAGCAGTGAAACATCAACACTCCAACCTTTTCAGTGATGTGTGTCGTGCATCTGTCATCAATAGTCAGAGAGGTGGTTTGAAATCATCTACCATTGTATAAACTGTCATGAATCTTTCTATTAAGGGCTCTGGTTTTAATATCTATTCTGTAACTGGACCCAAACAGCAAACTGTAGCTCCAAACCTGCTCCTGATGAGGAGGTAGGATGATGCAACAGAAAAGTTACACATTAAACTGTAGACCTAAATGCGCTGTTTACTGAGGGAATGGATGTTCTTGCTCATTTTTTTCTTTTAGATCTCTGTTTCAAGTCTCATCAAATATGTAACTTGGCTTAAGCCTTTGTAGAGGTTGTTCTGTATTGCACTATGACTATAAACAGTTCCTCAGTTAACCTGCCTAACTGGACTGAGTTAACTAAATTCATAACTCATCAGGACAGACAACATGTTTCTTCCTTTAGCCTCCTCCTGGTTTAGTGTGTGAATGTGCAAAGCAGAAATGTTAACATTTTTTATTCAAAACTATGGTTTAAATACAAAGTTTCAATAGCCATTGAAGTGAAAGAGGAAAAGTGTTGCAGCTTAAACAGACCTGATCAGTAAGGATGGGCGATATAGGCTAAAAAATTTCTTACGATAAGATTTGCCATTCTGGCGATAACAATATAAGTCCAAATAAAAAAATATTATAATTCCAGTATCTATTTTTGAGTTGGAGTAGCCAAATAAGATACTTAACCACAAGTTTAAGTAGTAGGTTATGGAGAAAACAAATGACATCAAACAAGTCTCAATTGTGAAAACATTTTCAACATTTGTTGAAAACTCAGATTGCACAGAGTGAACAGCAGCAGCAGCAGATCCATTGTCCGATGTCAGGCATATCTGACTTCACTCATCTAAACCCCAATCTTGAAGGAAATCCCTCATGTGGAGCATCGTTCAGTAACGAGCTGCTCAGAAACATCTTCTTCGTTACCTTCAGCCATGTTTGTTTGTAATTCTGTCTGCCGCTTGCGCTTACATCATTAACTTTAGGGTGACCATATTCTGAATCCACCAAAAGAGGACACAACTACACAGGGGCAGAGTTACTGAGTCGAGCATAGTTAATTTTGAGAGTTTTTCACGTCAGGTTGAGTGTTTTTTATGCACTTCTAACTCAGTAAGTCCACGCAACACAAACTCAAAACCTCCATACAAAACCCCGGACATTTGAAGGATTTTATAAACTCCCATAGACAAAGCCAGACAAAGCCGGGACAGCCCAAAAAGAGGACATGTCCAGGTAAAAGAGGACGTATGGTCACCCTAATCAACTTGCATTTATCGTATTTATCATGGGATGGTGAACATTTATCACAGAATATTTTTCTGAACAATAATTTATCGCCAATGCCCACTGATCAGACACCTTGACAGTGAGAACAGTCACCTGTAATAATAGGGTGGTCATGCACTGGGTTTTATGTCTCTAGCCTTCACATGGTAAATTACAGTCCTTTCTTTGTGAACGGAGCTCCTCCTGACTTTCGTCAGTTTCTGTCACCTGATCTCAACTAAAGCTTTACTGTCCTTTAATTTTAAATTCGTGCAGAAATGTGTGCCATGAGAAAGAAAGCAAACATATTTTAGGAGGCATTTATGTGGCCACGAAAACAGAAACCGGCTTATTTCTGCCTCGGTGCTCAGAAGCTGAATATATCCACCATCACCACCACAGATCCCCTTACATCATCTCAAGCTCTGTGATTTAATTTACCTAAATGTGAGGAACAATGACAGAGGCAGAGGACGAGTGGTTACTGTTTGTGTGGAGGGTAACACCATGTTATTTGGAGGCCAGTAGAAAACACATCACCATTGACCACAAGTAATTGAAGCCTTTGAGTCTGAGCTTTAATAACCATCCTAATGAAAGTCATGAAAATGAAATAGGTTTTTCAAGTTGTGTTTTTAGTATTTTGTTCATAAATGCTCCTTATGTGATATGTTTTGTGTCAAATGATGTGCCTAATAGCCCTCAGACTGTTAGTTTGAACATTGTAGCCATAATATAATAATCTTGATGCAACTAATCCAGTGCTTTGCACTGTTACATGTTTGGTTATGTCCTCAAGTAATGCTTTACTAATGTGGTGTATGGGTGATCTTGACAACCCAGTTTGATGACATGTAATACCAGATTTCATAAAGGTGGAAATCAAATTTGTGTTTTCTGCTTTATTCACTTTCTTTGTTTGATGCCGAAAATTCTGATTGTACACAAATTCTCATCTTTGTATGTTCAAGCTCATGAAAACCATGAAAAACACTGGACTTCACACAATGAGAACATCAACCCACTCAGAAACATCACTGAATCTGTAAATGTGGTCCTGAAAGCTGGATGTTGAGATCACCTTGGTCTATATTGCCATTTTTGTGAAAATTTAGGAGTAACTTAAGACTCTTTAGATTAGAGGGGAAAATAAGTCAAATGTAAAGTTTTATTAGGGCTTTTCACTACTCAAGTATTGACACTGACCCAGAACTAGAAATCTATTATCCAGATTGCTCTAGTCCAGCACATTATCTATATTTTGACCTCTCTTTCTCTACGTTAGCACTGTTTTGTGGGTACATTCCGTGTTATTGAACAGTATGTAAATGTCTTACATGTGTATCATTTCCCATCAGACCCCTCTTTGTTTATTAGTTGTCTGTTAATACAACAGACTTTATGTATATATTAGGAACTGTGGTCAACTATGTTTCTTTGTGTTTGGTTTTGTCAAATACTTTCTTCTGTAGAGAAGAGTGAATAAATCTGACTCTTGTATAAATCTGAGTGGATCATTTGGTGAGGTTCTTGAATTTGTGAATAAAGTAAAGTTTTAGTGAAAGCTGAGTCGGGAAGACCATACTCTCCATCCTGATTTATCGTCACCCAGTTTACATGCCCCTTTCTAGCATCCAGGGATGTAATCAAAGCAAAGAAATTCTTGGTCGGCTTCAACCCTGAAAATTTTTAGCAGCAGGGGACGATGCTACTCGGCGGAGTGAAAATATACTGATATCAGCACAAGAAGACAATTAAACACAAATAATATATTCAGGAAACCATCGGACGTTGATTATCGTGGGCGCTCTTCAATCTTCCTGTCTCCAGTGGGTTGGGCCAGTCCAAAATGGTGAAAACAAGGGGGGTGTTCTGAGACAGGCTGTTGCCTGTGAAACGGGGGTGCTCTGACAACATCCCAATTAGCACTTGGTACGTTCATCTTGAATAAAATTAACCATAGACTGTAAATTGACGCAGAAAAAAATCGACCAATCAGAATTTTGGTCGACTCAGCACATGATGACCAATAAGTCATCCAGTCAACTAGGACTTTACAGCCCTACTAGCAATGTGCTTATCCTATTCAACTTTTGGTTCATAGCCTGGCACGTGAATTTTGGAGCATGAGCTGAATGCTTAAGCCTGACTGATTGAGTTGTGTACATGTCAGAGAAATCAATCCTCAAATGTATTAATCAGGTATATGTGTCCGACTAGTCAGCTAGATATCAATTAAAAACCGATAAAACACCTGAAAATGACTGATATTTTGGTTGAAGAGATGGAAGGCTCCTCTCACACTTCAGCTGACTGTGAGCCTTATGGGGAGTCATGCAAACAAAGCTGTTCCTGCTGCTGTGGCTAGCCAAGATGCTGCTGTCTGTGCTTCTGTTTCTACCATTTTCAGTAGAAAGAGAAACACAGGCAGGTCAATGCTAAAAATAAGAGGAAAGATTCACATTTCAAACATTTTTAAACTGGATAATATGTGATTGAACCTTGTCATTAGCTTCTGTATGTGCTCTCTGTAATATTTGACAATATTTCAATCATGGGGGAAAGTAAATAGGACATTTATTACAACAGATCCACAAATACGACCAAGCAGAGAGTCTTTGACACCCACACTCTACGGGGGAGATTTTTGTGATCAAAGGATGTTGACTCTGAGCGCCAGCATGAAAGATCCCCTTAAGTCCAGACACTGGTGGTGGTGCCTGACGACTATGCCGAGACCAGATGGGTGACGAATTGAAGATGATGATTCTATGATGGCTCGGCAGAGACTGGGAGGTGGAGGGGCACACGTAATATGAGCATAAAGGAACTAGAGGCAGAAAATAATCATATCAAACGAGAGCAGAAAGATGATATGCTAAACACTAGAATGTGGCACAATGCTATTGGATAGATGAGCTCAGCTGATGGGACATCTGATTTCTCAATGGCAGCCCAACAACAAAAGCCACAAAACTAGTGAGCATACGTTAGGGGATACAAATGAGAAATAAACTACGTCTGTGAAAGCAAGACAGAGTCTTCCTTTCTGAACTTACACCAGAGCTTCCATGGAAGTTCTACTTCTCCTGTTATAGTACCTTCCTGACTTCAAACTGCCACAGCACTACATGTTAAGGTGTCAAACACACCACACTTACTATGACATGAACCCACCAATTAGTTTCACGACAAGCAGTGAAAGTGAACACTAATTGTCATGAAAATTAATATATATAAAATAATAATGTAGTTAGGATACAAAATGTATAACCATAGAACAATTCGACCAATTCCTGGATGTTACAAGCAACAACTACCAGAGTGACATCTTTCCAAAACAATGGTGCATTCAAATGCAAGTTGTCAGCAGTCATCAGTTTCTGCCTTTACCATTACTGACAGAGTAATTTATGTGGTATGTGGAGGAACCTATGACATAAGAACTTGTGACATTTCAGTGTTGCACATCACACAAACCTTTACTTCAGGGAAAGTCCCCTGAAGTCCCCTGAAATATCATAATCACGAGTCGCTCTGCCCCTCTTTGAGTTACCTGTTGATTCGTCATGTTGTTTGCTGGTTGTTCATAACTCTTAATAATGCTAATGCTGACATTATGAATCCAGCCATTCCTACCTTGGTCAATTTGTTTTTCGTTAGTAGGGGTCAGTCACAAGGATTTTCCTGGTTAAAAGAAAAACACTCATACTTTAAAAACTGGCACCACAAGACGAAATCCCTTTCTGCATATCCAAACTTATAAAATGACGTGCATAAAAGCCTAAATGACAGTGAAAACTTTTTTTAAATGATCCTATAAGAAGCAGTTCTTTGGATTTAATGTGGTGAGATCATAGTGATAAAGACCTTCGAGATTAAAAATATATATTTTCCTTAACTCCCTCTATGGTCTCAAATAGCTTTAGAGTCCCTCAAGCTTCGAGTCTGTTATTAAATCTACATTCACTGTTTGAAAAGCATGCCATTGTACCTAGAGTATGTACTGTACTTCTGTATACAGCTGGCTTTTCCCCTGGAACTGAACAAGCTAGATTGTTTGGATTCTTTAGCTACACAGACGCACTTTGGACCTGCTAATCCAGTATTTAAGCCCGTCACAACTGATGCGCTTATCTCTGATTAGGTTTGACTTACAGACGACTGCTGCTGGGTTTCAAAGCAAGGGTAAGAAATTATTTAAAACTTCTTTTAAGATTTACTGATTGAAAAAAGATCATACATCTGCATCATTAAATGAAAAGCTGAAGCTAACTAAAAACACATTTTCTCTTGCAGAAAATGAAAACTCGCATTGTGTTCCTGCTCTTTGCTCTGTTGGCTGGGCTTAATGCGATGCCGATTGATTCTCCCGTGGTGGAGGATGAGGAAGGTACTCATGTGCATCTTTGTTGCTAATGTTGAGTCTTGTCCCCAGAAATCAGAGGCATTTTATGGTCAAACTTTTGGGCTCTGTAACTAAATTGACCTTTTCTTCAAGATGCAGAAAGCTCTGAGGATACCGCCCTGCAAGAAATTTTAGATGATTTAGTCAAATCATCTGACAATCCATCAAACCCAGACGAACCCTCAGCACTCGATGAGGGCGCACAAGATGACCCTACAGCAATGGATGAGGAATCGCAAGATGATCTCCCACTGTTTGACGAAGACTCAAATGATGGGGAGTCTTCAGAGGATGATAGCTCAAAACCCGAAGAGGACTCCTTGAACTCGACTATCCATGAGGTTGCTCCAGAAGATATTTCTCCCTCACAAGATGAAGACTCCACAGAAGATGAAACTTCTTCACCAGGAGACGGTTCTTCAGATGAGGATTCTTCCTCACAGGGTGATAATCTTAAAGAGGAGGATCTTGGTGAGGACTCTCCATCAGATGGTCCTTTGACAGGAGGTGACAATGAGTAAACAGGTGAGTTGAAAAGGGAAGGGAAGACTGAGACAGTGTTAAGATTTCAACAAAGCTGTTTAACTTTCTTGGATGACTCCATCAGGGAGATGGTCATCAAGATTTGTTATTTACTAAGCGGTATTTAAATAGTAATCATTGATGTTAGGACTGGTGTATTGTCAGATAACAGAAGACTATCCTAGTTTGTTACTGTGTTTCACTGTGAAGCCCCCAATGTGACTTTACAGTAAAGGTTTGACTGCATGGGTCAGGATTTAGGTTGTTTTACCATCAGTTTCATATGGCAGTGTTTCAGATTGAGAAGCGGACACAATAAACCAGGTTATTCTGTAAACTATTTATTCCAGTGTAGATAAAACATATTCTTAGTTTTGCTGCTATCCTTCTTTTATCATATCTTTAAGGGGAGGGTTCAGTTCAACGTGTAAAAGCACACATCTGTTAGATTGTTGAATGGATTACTGTGTAGTATTATTTGTAAATGAGAATGAGTTTTACTTGAGGATAGCTGCACTCATGCAGCTTCATAATAGTATAATCAGCACTTGACACCTAAATATGATTTGATTGTTGTGTTTGTGCTATTTTTACCTGGTGGTGGACATAATTTGTTCATCTCAGATTTTCTTTTTCAGGAGATGGTCACGGTGCAGCAGTGTGAAGAGAAACAGCTTTAAAAACATCTCTTGGTCATTGTTTAATAAACATTTTGATTCATGAATATCCTTGTGTTGATTACCTACTAATTTCTCTTTTGTATTTGTATTTATGCTGCTGTAGTTTTTGAATTTCCCTCTGTGGGACTAATAAAAGTATATCTTATCTTATCTTTATACATTTTGGGAGGATAAAGAGTATCCCTTGGTTTTGAAAGAAGATTAAATCACTAGCAAATTTTAAATGAGTTTTTACAATATTACGAACATTTTTTGGTCACATTCAGTAGTTCAGGCCATATTATTTTGTAGTACAAAAAAATCACTAATGCCAAGGTTACAGATTATGTTATATTTTGTTATTGTACTATATATATAAATACAAAAACATCCATAAAAGTCATCCAGTTTTGATGAAGACATAAATTACATAAAAGTATCATAGATTACAAAATAGTCACAATAATGTCAAAGTATAGAACTCTGTACCCCTTGTACAAAAGTGGAGTGTCCTTGTGTTCACACTTATGCAGGCCATCTTTTTCAGAGAAAACCTGAAATGATTTTTGCAAGTATAAATAAAATGCAGAAAGAGGAATTACCTTATTGTAACTTATGTTAAGTTTCCTATTTACATAAAACAGCAGCAAAACTGTAAATATTTATGTCATAATAAGCAGATAACAAGGTCCTCTTTGACACCTACAAATATAGTGAGGGGTGTGTTAATAATAAGGGTGCAACACAACACAACCATTTGCTCTATAGCACAAAACACCCTCAGATACTCTCCAGTACACAAATGATCACATGCACATTTAATGTTGCTCTAAAGTTTTTCACCACAAGCACAGCAGCTGTATCATAGTTCAGTCAGAGTGAGCTTAAGATAAAAAAAAATATATATAGCCTATGTATATCTGACCTGCAAAGAGCATGGGCCACAGAGGTCTTGTCTCAACAGTCCTGGTACCAGGAGGAGGTCATCCAGCTTTAATCCTGGATCTCACCAATGGCAACAGATCCAGTGTGGAGTGGGGAGTTCGTCTACACGGGAAATGAGGACAGGTTGCTGACTCTGGGTGGCTGACAAGGCCAAACGGTGCTCAAGGCCAAAGGCTTATTGGAAAGCCCTGCACTGCCAGAGGAGCATGCCTGGTTCTTTACCAAACTTTTAACAAACTAAACATCCTAACTTTACATTCCTGCAATTCCTGATGTCCAGCGCTCTTCTCAGACATCCACCTGTTTAATTGTCCTAACAGCCAGCCTGGTCCGGGTCTCCTGTGCAGTTAGGCAGGAGTAGAGCTCAAATTTACAGACTGATGAGCTAACAGCTCAGGCGCCTGTTAGCTCTGGTTATTGGTACTCGGCAGTTCTTATTCCATTCAGCTTTTTAGAAGTGACTCCAAGGTACTAAGGTGATGAATTCAGTGTTCTCTTTCATATGTTTTCCCAGTTACTTCATCACAGAGGAATGCAGGGTAAAAGGTATTGTGGGAGTACTTTAACTCGTGGTTTTAAGGAAATGTGGAACAGCACTGTCCATTTTTAAAACTCATCTTAAAACCCATTTTTATTCATTGGCTTTCAACCCTGCATGAGGCTCCTGTTTTTGTGTTTTATGGTTTGTTTTTAGTTATTTGTTTCTATGTTTTTAAAAACATTGAAACTATATTTTACTTTTTAATACCTGCTTTTATTTTATCCCTTAATTGTTTTTCGATATTTTTTTTGTCTGTGTTGTTTTTTTCTATTTATGCACAGCACTTTGTTCAGCTGTGGTTGTTTTAAAGTGCTTTACAAATAAAGTTGAGTTGAGTTGAGCACCACATGCAGTGGGAGGCGTCAAAAGTTTAGTGTTTTCTGATAGCGGAACATGTTATTTTCCGTCATAATAATGGATACATGGTAAAAGTTCTTAAGAGATTGTATTTTGTTGCCAAGAATATTAAGTCGGTTAAAAGTCTTGATGTTGGACTTATTTATTTATTTGCTTTTACAAAGTAATGTTAATATTAATTTTTGACTTAACATTCAATTAACCGGGATGTCCCATTGAGAAAAAAAAGCCAACGTAGCATATTAAATTCCTGATTCGAAACTGAAGTGGGCTTCGGTTCAAAACTACACTGTATTTCTCAAATTGATGTGTATTAATTCCATTTTATCACAAAAAAACTAGGCTTGGAATAATAATGAAGAGACCTGTTGAATGAAAAAGAAATGCTAGGCGGGTTTATTACACAGTTAATAAAATATAAAAAGAACTATGACATTATTTATTTATTGTTTACAATAAGTAACCCCCTGAGATTTTAACAGTGATTCATAATAGGATTCCATTGTATGGCCCTTACTATGTCGCCCTCTAGCGGCCACTACATGTAAGTACATAGACACGACCACCATATAGAACAGCAGTCCCTTAGAAGAGTTTGGTTAAATTCAGTTATTCCGTTCAGTATCTCATTTCGACCTAAATGTTGATGATATTTTCAACTGGAAATAACATTTAATAGCATGAGCCTTATCTGATATTTGTTGAAGACATGGATATCATTTCCCACAGCATTAAGAAAGTTGTTGTTGGTGACTGACTGACTGCCATGTGATCTCCTGCCGAACTCAGCCAGAATGTCAACCGTCATATGTAACCCGTTTCCCGGTAAGCGACACCCTCCACCCTTCCCTTGGTGTCGTCCAACTAAACTACAACACGTCGACTCTTTCTGTAGCCGGTGTTCCCCTGCTTTTTAAGTCGGGCTGAGAGTTTTCGCTTGAAGTTAACGAGTGAAACAGGGAGGATCAGTGGGGGGCAACATGCGCTCCTTAGCGGGACTGGCTGCCATTGTGGCCGCAGCAACTGTTTACCTCTACCTGCTGTCGACTCATCTTCCCCGGGGACCCGAGCACTTCCAGCCGGGCTCCGAGGAGGAGGACGAGGGAGCCCATGAGTACAGGTAAGGGCGCTGAGATAAAGCAATTCACCTTCTAAAAATAGAAAATAGAGTACAAACTTTACCTGATGTCTTGGTGTGCAGATATGATTTTTTTTCTGTCAATCAGGTGGTTAAATCAAGTAAGTTTTGAAGATACCAAATTAAGACCACCCCAGAGAAAAAAGTCTAAATCTACTTCATTATTGATGCCAAAGATTTCAGATATGAGCTAAAGTAAGTTTGAATACAACTGAGTATAGTTTTCTCAATAGCCTTGGAAGTACTTGATCACCAATCCTTTATATCCTTTTCGTTTTAACTACTTTTCTTGTTGCTTATATTTAACCCCTGTAGATCTTATTTTAGTATAGGTGAAAAATGTATTTTCTTTCTCAAAATTAAAATGAAAAGTCACCCAAAACTTATGCTGTATCTGTTAGGACCCAAGGAAAAAATGTGTTGATGCAAATGTTTATTTAATGTGTTATTTTCACAACTTTACAACTTTATTTTTGGTACATTCAGGCTGTTCAACACACCTTTTCATGCTCAGCCACGGAGGTACAATTTGGCTTTTATTTGATCAAGATCACTTTTACACTTCAGTATGGTTACTCTGATGTTAGTAAAGTAAGACATCTCCTAACACTATTTGCAATGACGCATTAGTTTGTGGTACATCGGTTATGTAGTAAGGTTAACATCAAGTGACTAAACTTAATTACTCACTGCCATGTTTGATAAACCAGCCTCCAGTCTGCGTCCCCCAAAGTAAGTATGAATGAATAAATGAATTATTATTGTTTTCTGTTTTGCTCCCCTTGATTTTTAATTTCTAACATTTTTTAAAAACCTCACAAACTGGTAAAAAAAAAGGAAAAACTGTGTTGTTGTGATGGCTCGTACTGTAGCTGTTCAATGTTTCACGTAGCACATTATTCATATTAGTATAATATTTGTAGTTTTAATTTTTGTACACAGTGAGTTAAGACAACTAGGGTCAAAATTCTTGACAATACACATGCCTGGTCAGTTAATCCGAGTCTTATCTAACGTGTTGTTTCTGTTGAGGCTCCCTTCTCACCCCAGATTAGCAGATTGCGCGGTAATAAACATGTTACCCATCAACAGTCTTTTTTTCCCTATGCATGCTGAGATAGGATCACTTTGGAGTCAATTTATGATAGACAAAGGTTTTAAAGAAGACAGCTCCAGTAAGATCAGCCTTACTGGATATCACTTCATATCTAAGTGTCTGAGTGTTTTGTGTGTTTCTGTGTGAGTTGTGCAAGTGGTATGTTGCCGTGTGCCAGACAGTCCAGTGTGAGGCTGTCTGGGGATGATAGAATAACGCCGACCAAGACACTCTTTGGCCAAGAGCAGGTCCAGTCTATGCATGTGTGTGTGTTTACACCCACTAAACTGATATTGCTTATATTATAGTGTTACTTATCAACTCCCTTAAAACATGGCGTGTGTTCACCAAGTGAACATTTTCTTATGTAGTGTGTCTTTTTGCAACGGTGAAGTCACATTTTTGTATTACTGAGGATGGTTTAATGGTTAACATATCGGGATAAAAATACTGAACTTGTTACAATAATCAGAGAAAAAGAAGAAAATGAGATTACTAATGCATTCATGACCCTTCAGAGCAAGATGAGATCCTTTGCTTCCTTCTGTTGAGGTTTTGCTCAGTCCATCTGGGTTTCAGTTTTATGATCCCATCCTGGCTGTAGTACTGTAACAGATTATCCCTTGAAGTCATGCTAAAGAAATGTTTAATCATGTTTGATGTCATTGATTTCCTCCAAGATGCACTAAATCAAGCAATCTGAGATTACTTTTTACAGATTACTTTTAGTACCAGATGATCAGTCTCTTTTCAGAAAACTAACCTGGAATTATCTGATCAGTTATTTCTTTCTTTTTTTTTTGCAATATTCCAGCCCCTAAGTGTGCTGTTTTTCTTGGTTTTCCATGTTTTGAACTGCTGGTTTGACATCACAAACATTGAAGATGACAAACTGAAACTGGTTATCTGTCACGATTTTCCAGCTGTCATTAACCATTTTTAGAAAGACTCCAATTCATGATGAAAAAAGAAATGATTGCAGCCTTAGTTGCTTAAAGATCTCTCTCAACAGTAAACCTGATACAGCAGCTTCATATTAGTTTGTAGTTTTGATGCGGTGACTTCATGGTTAAAATCCCCTTTCCATGGGGACTTCTTTCCCTGTGTATTTATACCAGAGTATGTGTGCATGTATGCACATTTGCAGGGCGTTTCTCTTAGGGTTATGTGCAAGCAAAATTAAAAAGTGCCCACGATGACACATTTCCCTCCTTAAATACTGTACATACGTTCATGCAGTTTCATGTATCTGAGAACTCACGCATCAACATACAGCTGACCAGTGAGTCAACAGCATGCTTATCCACTAACCAATAGAAAGAGAGAATGGTGGGAGACGAAGCAGGTGGTTGAGGAAGTCAGCATCTTGAGTTTCAAGAAGGGGGTTCCGTGTGTGTGTGTGTGTGTGTGTTTAAGAGGAGCACTCCTACCCTCTGCCCAAGTCTGCAGGCAGTGATGCTATTTCTGTCCCTCAATCAAATGTATCACATTACTGTTCCCCTTGCAAACAGAAGCATGCGCGCACACACACACATGCACACACATATTTTATTGTCTCTTTTTTAAATTTTTGTACATTTTATTTCTAAATTTGGTTACATAAATAAAATCGATGTTTGTTTCACACAAAGTAAAAATACAGACTTTTCTCTTAGATTGTTTTCTGTTTCATCAAAGAAATAAATCCTTTTGGCTTTTGGTTTAACAATCCTATAAAAGTTCAAAAGTTCAAGCAATTAATTTGACAGGAGTTTGCCTTTCCAATTGAAGATTTTCCCATAACTCTGAGCAGTCCATACATTGACTTTCAATCTGAAGATTTCTTATTTGATTAATCAACATCAACTGTCATTTGGCCTGCTCATCTCTTGTCATCTTCTGTGAGCAGTCCCTCTGTGGTAGATCTTCCTCTCATCACTTCCTCTGAGACATACACCAGACAGCAGCAACATTATAACTACTGACAGGTGAAGAGTATATCATGGATTATCACTTTACAAAGGCACCTGGCAACAAATGGGATATGTTCAGCAGCATATAATCATTTGGTTTCTGTGGCTGATGTGTTGGAAACAGATAGGGACTTAGTTTAAGGATGTGACTGACTTAGACAAAGGTCAGATTGTGATGTCCAGATGTCTGGGTCAGAGAATTTTTTATCCTCAATCGCAGAGGTCAGTACCGACCAAAAGTGTTCACAGGAAGGAAAAACCAGGGAACTGATGACAGGGTCATGGGCAGCCAATGCTCGCTGATAGGGGTGTGTCGATACAACTTTTTGACTTCCAACACGATACCAATATTGTAACCTTAAATATTGACTGATACATGCTGGATCCGGGCGCTGCTAGATGGAGGTGCCAGAGAGAAGTCTGGAATATACCGCTTGTACCTTAATGCTGATATTGGAGATTTTAGATGCGGGCCAATATAATCTGATATTCGTTTTTTTGCTGATATCAAACCGATATCCAATATCAATATTGTATCGGGACAGCCCTACTTACTGATGCATGTGGGGAACAGAGAATGGCCTGTGTGTTCAGATACAACAGAAGAACTAACCTTTGAATTGGTTCCAATAGAAAAGGGTCAGAACACATGGTCTATCACAATTTGTTATGTATGGGGCTGTGGAGCTGCATGCTAGTCAGGGTGTTCATGCTGCTGACCCCTGTCCACTGCTGAAAGTACCTACAATGAGCATCAAGGTTTGATAAAAGAGCAACGGCAGAAAGTGGCAGAGCATCACAACTCAGCCTCCATATTCCTCAGATCTTAATCCAATCAAGCATCTGTAGGATGTGCTGGACAACCAAGCCTGATAGGTGGAGTTTGTCCTTTCAACTTCCAGACTTTAAAGGATCTGCATTCTGTATAGTGGCATTATTGTATGGGGGTCTGCTCTAAAGTGCTCTAAAGTGTATAGTTTCTCTATTATTTAGGGGCCAGTGTCTCTGTGCTTTTGCCCCATGGCCCTAATAAGGATTGTGATTGAGAGTCAGCGTATTATCCTTGATTAAATAGCTTTCAAAGTGATTCACTGACACAGTGATGTCAGAGCAGTGCCTGATTAGTCAATTGGTTTCAGCTGTGGGCCTGGCCTGAGGCTCACAGTTTGCCACAGCAACTTTAGCTGGTCGCCATGACCATAGACGCACTGAGGTCAAAACTTCCAGAGAAAGAGCGATTTTCGGTGAGACCTCGGCTGTGGTCTCACATTTGTGCCTAGTCTGACAAAACAGTAGCTCCTATCAGGAGAAAAAAAAGACTGTGGTCATCGTAAGGACTTCCTGAACGCTTTGATGTGATTGTAGTGTTTCTACAGTGAATAATTTGGACATATTTTGAAGTAATAAACAGGATTCCCTTATGCTTCTCTCAGAGAATCTTAGTGTCAGTGAGGCGCAGAGAGAGACATTGCCTCACTTTGAGGCTCAGTGTTTAAATGCTGTAAGTCTCTGCCTTGATAAACACAGCACTAGAGACAAAACAAGTGTGTCTACAACTGTGGGAAAAAACGTGTGTGTAGAGTGTAATTTGCTGCCAGGAAGAGCCTGAAAAGAGAAAAGTTTGAGACAATATAATGCAACTTCTCTCACTCCAGCAGATTATGTCACCCTCTCTGGCACAAAAATTCCACGCAAAACACACCCATTATAATCTCTAAATTTCTCCAAAAATGATTGTGGTCATTGAACAGTGAATGATCAAAAACTACAATACCTATTGAAACATGGATTAACATACCAATAGACCAGACCCATGTCTGCATTTAATAGTTTAAATGGAGTCTCTAGGTGAAATTATGCCAAGTTGGTAGATGTTTGAAAAATTCCAAGAATTGCTCTTTTTTTTTTACTTGTACCATTGATGTCAATACAAAATTTTTTGAGGTTTCACATACAAATCCCAATCAAACTGCACGTTTTAATATATATAATTTGTCCTACAACTCTACAAGCTGTAGAACTAGTAGTGAATCAAAATTTGTCCGGAAGAGGAATAAGATCCACAGACACTGACACAATCCACAGACACTGGCCCCTACACTTTTGTATAGGGGCCAGTGCCCAGGTGCGTTTTCCCCATGGCCCTAATTAATCAATTTATGTGCACTGATGCAAAAGTCAAGTGTAAAGTTTCAGTACAAAGAGATACCAGACAATACAGACCGGTGCTTAAGATATTGATTGTACTGAAAAATCCTTTTGTTCTTTGTCTGTCCATCCAGGCTAAAATTCCCGTCAGATCTGGATGAGCTGCGGGAGCTTGCTGAAATGCTTAAGTTTTACAAAAGAGAACACCACGGCTACGTCCTGCTGCTGTTCTGCAGTGCCTACCTCTACAAGCAGTCCTTTGCCATACCCGGATCCTCCTTTCTGGTAAGTCATACCAATCAATCAATCAATAATCTGAAGCACTCAAGTTTTTTTCCAGATTTGAAGTCTCCTGATCATTTAGAGGTTTGTAGCTGAACAAAATGACTTCAGTCTTTATTCTATATTTTAGTGGAAGCCTTTGAATCACAGCCCTTTGACTAGTTCTTGTCAACACACACACCCCTGCATTTTGGACCAGTTGAAGAAACCTAAAGGACTTTATAGAGCAGCCTGATAATAGAGAGTTGCAATAACCCATCCTGGTGATGAGAAATTCATGGATTGCTTTTTTGTGTCATTGTGAGGCAGGGGGTGCTTGATTTTTATCATGTTGCTCAAGGCTGCTCTTGAAATATGTTTTATGTAGTCAGTGCTGATCAAAGAGATTCTTCAAATGCCTCACAGTGGTGCTGGATGCCAGGATCATGCCATGCAGTGAAGCTTTATTAGATATCTCTCATGGGTGTTTGTAGGGTCAAGCACAGTAACTTTGGGAGTTTCTTAATTTAAGTCACAGAAAACTGCTGGTCATCCATCTTCCTTAAGGCATGCTGAGTTAAGTGTTTTATCATGCCTTATCAGGCTTCACACATTAATACAATTAAATTTTGACTTCATTACAATAAGGGCTGCTCGATTTTTTTATTCAGTGACAACTTCACCAAACTTCACTTTAATAGTAAGTTTTTCTATCATCTCTCAAAACAAACCTACTGAAAATGATGTAGTGCATATGCCAAACCAGTAAGTGGCGCTGTAATGCTGCCAAGGAAATGAATAAAAGACAGAAGAAGAGTTGCTTTGGCCGGACATGTGCAGGTGCCATAAAATTCCACAAATTCCACACGACTGACTTGCTCTTGCCCTATTTAGCCACAAAATTATTGCCTATTTTTGCAAACACCATGTTTGTTAACACTGGTGTGTGTGGGAAGTAGGGAGCCTACAGTGCCCTGGAGGCACGAGACATGATAGAGAGGAAAACTGATTTGATTATTTTAAGTTTTTTAACATCGTCATAATCAAATAATCCGATCACGATTTGAAATCGATTTATCAAGCAGCCCTAATTAGCATAATATAGACCGTTTCCTTTGTAGATTACCTTAAAGTTAATTTTGCAGCTGGACAATCAAAGGAGGAAAAGTTTTTCAAGGCAAGATCAATTTGTGTATGCTGATGGTGTGAGATTCATTCTATCACTGTATACCTCTAGTAATAATGATGATGATGATGATAATATATTTTAAGTGTCATGTTTGAAGGAAGTGTACAGACATAAATTGAATACTAAGTTGTGAGCTTTATAATTCATTACTATGTGATCAACTTTGGTTTAAAGCAGCTTAAATACCAATCCTGTACATCCCTCAAATATACCAGAGGAGGAAACAGACTCTGTGCTCAAGAAAACTGTTCTGTTTGGCCTGAATAAGTCATTTTAAAATGTAGCTGTCAGGTCATGTTTTTTAAGTATTTCTGTATTTGATGGTCTTCTCCTTCAGAACATGTTGGCTGGTGCAATATTTGGACCTTGGGAGGGTCTGATGTTGGCTTGCCTGCTTACCACTTCAGGCTCCACATTCTGCTTCCTGCTCTCCTCAGCTTTTGGAAAGCAGCACGTGGTGCAAGTCTTTCCTGAAAAGGTGGCCCTGCTGCAGCGAAAGGTACTGTCAGCATCAGTCTTCACACACTAAGAATGTGTGCCTATCGTAACAACAGGGTCCGTTATGTCATACATACTTCAAGCATGCTTTCTTAAAGAATGTCTTTTCATTTTGAGGACAAATATTGATATCATCTTGTCATCAAATCTTTAACATTTCACTCTACCAACCTCTTGACTCTAGCTACTATTAATACACCTATTTATCAGCTCACAGAAATTCACATAAAAACCCACACTTTACAGGAGACAAGCTGCATGACAAAACAGGAACACTGTCTTGCTTTGTTACAGCTTTTGTCCTTTCCCCTGATTTCTTTCACATCTTTGTCTTTTCGATATTCCTCTTCTTTTGTCACCTTGTCAGGTGGAGGAAAATCGTAGCAGTTTGTTCTTCTTCCTCCTCTTTCTACGTTTCTTCCCTATGACTCCTAACTGGTTCCTTAACATCACCTGTCCTGTCCTCAACATCCCTATGCCTATTTTCTTCTCCTCTGTGTTCATAGGTGAGACTACACAGGCACACAGAACCCACTTACACACACACACACACTGCAGTGACAACCAAAGACACTGATCACTTAGCTGTTGCTCTCTTCGTAGGTTTGATCCCCTATAATTTCATCTGTGTCCGCACGGGCTCCATCCTCTCAGAGATCTCCTCCCTGGATGATATCTTCTCCTGGGGGACACTGGCACAGCTACTTGCCATTGCTCTCATGGCTCTAGTTCCCGGGGCGCTGATCAAACACTACAGTAAAGGACACCTTAAAGTGGACGGCATGGACAGTAATGGACCCAGTCAAGATGATATCAAGCAGGACCGGAAAAGACGATGATTTTGGGATGAAACAGGAAAATTAGTTTGGAGTATCCACTGGTAGGCATGTGACCTTCTGTTCACCAGCCCCTTGATTTCTGTAAGGACACACCGGAGGCTACTCATACTTCAAGTATGACCTGTCTTGAAAGTTTGGAAGTGCGATTAGGTCATGTTGCGCCAGCCTTAAAGACTGTGTTTCCTCTCTCTCAGCATTAACATGCAAACCGGGAGTTTTAGGGGAAACGACTGACATGGGCCCTAAAAACACCTAAATTTACACTGGAATGAGGTCTTAAGTTAGAGGTTGAATGGTTGCTCTTAAAAGCTGTGTTGAATTTTTGAGAACAAAACTGTCATAATGAATGTGGATGGTGTTTCAGCAGCTTTTAGATTGTTGAAATCACTTTGATGATCGTAAACATACATACACTGAGAAAGTGGCCCATGAACATGACGATCAGATTAGTTTATTTCTTCAAGCTCCATGTAAAACTTTTAGAAGATTTTGTGAGATAGTAATTTTGCTCCTGAGAGGGGCACCGCTCTAAGGGATATTCTGACGTAAATTTAAGTGATTGTCAAACACACCGTAACACTGAGTTAGACACCCCCTTGAGAGATTAATGTTGCCGGCTGCTTGCTTCTCTCATTATACCAACTTTAGAAGCGACCGCATGATAGCAATACAGAGTGGTCTACGTCACAAATAATGCTCAGAACAGCACCTAACTTAATCAACAGTACATATAGGGTCCCAGCCACAGTACTAGACATCAAACATCTTTTTTTGCTTTGCCTTGTTTCTTTAGCAAAGAGACCTCCAGCAGCTGCTTGTTTGTGGGGGGAGCCCTGACAAGTCGATCAACAAGTGCAGCAGAGTTTCGCAGCTCAAGGAAGAACATTTATGATCATTACTTCATGGAAATTCAATCAGACCGAGATGATAAGGCAGAAGAACTACGGCATCTGCAGTGCAAAATGATTATGATGATTATTATTACTTCATGGAAATGATCTGCTGCACTCGGTGATCAACTTGTCAGGGCTCTCCCCACAAACAAGCAGCTGCTGGAGGAGAGTGGGTGAGTTGTGTTTGGTCTCTTTGCTAAAGAAACCAGGCAAAGCTAAAAAGATGTTTGATGGCTAGTACTATGGCTGGTACCCTATATGTACTGTTGATGAAGTTAGGTGCAGTTCTGAGCATTATTTGTGACTATAGAGTGGCTTTTTGGTTGAGGTTTGCACATGGAGATGTGGACCGCTGTGTATTGTTATCGTGCGGTTGTTACTAAAGTTGGTATGACCAGAGAAGCAGGCAGTCAGCAACATTCATTTCTGAGGGGGTGTCTAACTCAGTGTTTCAGTGTGTTTGACAATCACTTAAATTTACGTCAGAATATCCCTTTAAACTTTCAGAAAAATTTGTGAGAGTAATTTTGCTCCTCAGAGGGGCGCTGCTTAAACTTGCTGTAAACTGTCCTTAGATGTCCTCGTAGACCTTCGTACTTTGTTTGTAGCTAAATGTACAGTCTGCTGTAGGTTAGACGATTAACCTGCTTGACAATCATTTTTCTTTCATACCTTTGTTTACTCAGTAACTAGGTCTCCTGCCAGTACTTTTTATTGTGAGTTTGGACTGAATTTGATTGTTTTGTGTATTTAAACATCTGGAAAGATTTTTTTTATTCACTAATTTTCTCAAAGCTCTTAAATATTTGTCTTAATGTGCTGGAGCTAACGCTCTGTGTGGATCTCCTCACAATCTAATCCAAACAGAGAGGACATCACTGTCTGGAGAGGGTGTGACAGACTTCAGGGGGGGTGACGTAAAAGTAAGTAAAGGACTCTTCAGCTAAAAAGATCATCTTTCACTCCTGAAACTGCCTTTCCTGAGAGTGCTGTTGCATCTTTTGTCTTTTGTTGGCAGTTAAATTGGTGTTGAAGTTTTTAGTTTACATTTTGTTTTAGTGACTTTTTTTTTTTTTGCAGAGCGCAATGTCAAAGTGACTTTTGAATTGTGGCTTTCATTTTAAAAACAAGCATGAGTTTGAAGGTAAAATTCTGTCAGCTGATGACCCTAAACAAAAAGGCCTTTTACAGACATGGTCATGTGATGATTCAAGGGATATCACAGCTTAAGATGACCTTTTTAAAAATGTGTTTGTAGAATCACAAGTATTAAACCCTTTATTGTAGCGTTATAGTATTGTGAAGTTCTGGGTTTTGATTACGACAGACTGGAGCCACTTTTGTTAGTGTTGCTGCTTTTAACTTGCACACTTGTGAGTCTCATGAATGTTAGAGACACCAGAGTGCCAAAGAGACTGCACTGGAAGTCTTAATAATAAATTATAAATTGTGAAATGGTATTTATTGCTGATTTTGTTGTGCTAATTTTTAAAAAGCATTGTTCAAGCTGCAGTGAGAAACTTTCAGTTTGTTAGTTTTGGTGCCCCCTGTGGACTAAATGATGCCTCATATCTGTAGCTCTGTACATACATGTGAAAGAAGTCTTCTCAGACAAATACCTCATCCTGTGGTCTTTTAACACTGAAATGTATCACTCTCTATAAAAACCATGGAAGAAAAAGTTTTGAAAAAGCTGTCTCTTTAGTCTGCTGTCGATCATCTGGTCTGTCCCCCCGCCCAATGCAGTTTCCAGCATAAAAACTGAAAAATAGTCTTCTTTGTTAATAATGGTCTTTCTTTGCTTTTGAATGTCATCAAGGAACATCAGTAGCAGTTTCATTGTTTCTCCTCACACTGCCTCAAAGGTAACAGCAACAGACCGATTATTCTCTGATTTTTGACCGAAAGGTATAAAGATCAAGATTTGACCTGTTCCTTTCTGCTCAAAAGGGACAAGCACATAAAAATTCTAATATTCAAATTCTGCTGGATTTTTCATGGACTGTGTACTGTTGTTTTCATTTTTTATACTGTTGCCTTTACAGTGTTATTTTGTAGCACTAAATTATACACATTTTGGATGAAAACTGTGGTTTATTTGTACCTTTCTTGTGGTCACAGAGACACTAACCTGATTGATTTACAGCAACACACTTGAAATAAAATATTCCAAATGACAGTGATCCTGTCAAACAACTGCACAGTTATACTTCATGTTAAGTCTCTCTTATTCTCTTTCAGTACGTTTCTACACTTAAAACATACCACACAGAAACTCAAAGACATTAAAGTTCATGCAAACAAACACACACCTTCACATTGGCACAGGCAGGCACTCAGCTTTTGACAACTTCATAAAAAAACAAAGAACTTAAAGGGATATTCTGGCGTAAATTTAAGTCACAGTCAAACATAACATAACACAGAGTTAGACACGCCACTTGAGAGATGAATGTTGCCAACTGCTGGCTTCTCATCATACCATCTTCAGTAACGACCGCACGACAGCAATACACAGTGCTCTACATCTCCACACACAAACCTCAACCAAAGAGCCACTCTATAGCCACTAATAACGCTCAGAACAGCACCTAACTTCATCAACAGCACAGATAGGGTTGAAGCCTTAGGACTAGCCACCAAACATCTTTTTAGCTTTGCCTGGTTTCTTTAGCAAAGAGACCAAACACAACTCACCCACTCTCCTCCAGCAGCCGCTTGGTTGTGGGGGAGCCCTGATGAGTCGATCACCGAGTGCAGCAGATCATTTCCATGAAGTAATAATCATCATAATAATCATTTTGCACTCAGACACAGTAGTTCTTCTGCCTTAGCGTCTCGGTCTGATTGCATTTTCATGAAGTACTGATCATAAATGTTCTTCCTTGAGCTGTGGGACTCCGCTGCACTTGGGGATTGACTTGTCAGGGCTGCCCCTGCAAACAGCAGAGTTTCCCAGCTCAAGGAAGAACATTTATGATCAGTACTTCATGGAAATGCAATCAGACCGTGATGGTAAGGCAGAAGAACTACTGCATCTGCAGTGCAAAATGATTATTATGATGATTATTACTCCTTGGAAATGATCCACTGCACTAGGAGATCGTGTCAGGGCTCCCCCACAAACAAGCGGCTGCTGGAGGAGAGCAGGTGAGTTGTGTTTGGTCTCTTTGCTAAAGAAACCAGGCAAAGTTAAAAAAGATGTTTGATGTACTATTAGTACTAGTACTATGGCTGGGATCCTACATGTACTGTTGATGAAGTTAGGTGCTGTTCTGAGCATTATTTGTGGCTATAGAGTGACTCTTTGGTTGAGGGTCGTGTGTGGAGACGTAGACCGCTGTGTATTGCTATTATGCTGTTGTTACTTAAGTTGGTATAATTACTGCAATTACTTGCAACATTCATCTCTCAAGAGGGTGTCTAACTTGTTGTTAAGGTGTGTTTGACCCTAACTTAAATATACACAGGAGTATCCCTTTAAGCCAAACATATGAGCTTTATATGGTTTTAGTTGATAGGAGATGAACAGATACACAAATGCTCAAATAAATTTAAAGGTTTGCTTGTGATGATGAAAATGGACCCAGAAAAACAACAGGTATCCTTTTCTCCTTGGGGTAAAAGGTTCAAATAATATTTTTTAAGATTTCGGATTTGAATGGAGCTACAGCCTGTAAATATGATGCTGGATATAACAAATCACAGTTTTGGCTTAATATTTGTATGTGCACATATTACAATCTGTCCATCCTCCACATCAGTGCCAACACATTAAACTTCACAGTAACACTTACACAAACCAGCAGCAATTTTAACAGGCAAACAAAAGTAGTAGTGACGCAACTGCTGCCAGTTGCTTGATGGGAGTGAAACAATCTGTAAACATATTGGTAGTGGTTATGACCTACAGCAGACACTTTAACTCAACATTTTTTTCAGTTTTGGGCACAACAAAGGTAATGGCATAGTTTGGGACTGTGATCATGACTCTCACAGTCCAACATAAAAACAACAACTTTAAAGAAAGAATTAGAAGGTGTTTCATGGAAAGGCTTGTGATATCTAACAAACTTAGTTCAATTCGTGTTTTTGAGTCAGTTGACCAACAGATTTAGTAAGTAGTGGCAGGACTGCACCAAAATTATACTCATATTAGTCAACGGTCCAGTGCTAACTCAAAGTGTGACTGGATAACAGCATCAAAGGGACAATTTAGGGTGAATCAATATGATCACTGTTTTCATCTTTGTGCCCTAACCACACCATGAAAAACACCCATAGTTGGAGCTTAATAAGCTGTAATCCTTGAAAAGAATAATAAAATTATTTTTAAATTAATTATTATTAATAAATAATAATACTATAATAATAATGACATTTAGGTCTGGCCAACATCTGAGTTTTAGATCAAACTAGTGCCAGGTTTGATGGGAAAAGATTCTGAGCTAACATTATACTTTTATTAAATTAATACTATTTGTAATTCGACCATAATCAACTCAAAGTACAGAGCTCAAGTTCACAACCAATGACACGATTTAAATAAAAGGTAATATCTTATGCATATCTTGTCACAAAGACAGAAATCCAGTGAGTTGCATAATTCAAAAATTAGAAGAATGCTATTTTTCAGTCAGTGCAAGCGGTTCAGTGCTGAGCGGGAATCCTTCCTGCTCCGAGTCATGCAAGTTTACTAGATTAGACCAGGGTTGTTCAAACAACTGCGTGCAAAATATTAAAATGCCGATGACAGGCAGATTCAAGATGATGTGAAAGTAAACAAAACAACATGAAACAGAATAAGCAGGCAAGAATGCCATTGGCTTTCAGTGAGAGCTCTGAAGCTCATTGGCTAAATTGACTAACAGAGTCACATCAAGTCTTTTGAACAGAACTTGCTGACAACAGGCTGATGGATGGCAACTTGTATGTCCTTCAGTTTACTGGCTCCCTGAGATCCAGGGATAGAAGACATCCTTTGAATGAAATAGCCAGTGATAAAAGCCAACTCACTTTAGAGCAATAAGAAGATCAGGTCCAGAGCCAGGAGAGGGGGAGTGATGGGGACAGCTTGTTTTTCTTGATTAATCTTCTTCTTCTTCTTCGTTCTTTTGCAACTGGCTTAACAAGCCCTTCAACAAGCCAGTGACCACCACCACCGGTGTTACCCAGGGGCACATATCAGTCAGAGCACACACATTTGCAAATACCACCTGAAACTAAAATGTAAAAAAATATAAGATTCAGCAAACAAGCTTGATTGCACCACAAACTACTCAGCCAGAGTAATGGAGGAGTTGCGGGTCTGCTTCCCAACCATCTATGAGAGAAAAAAGAAATCAAAAACAAAACACCGCACAAGGCACTTAAGCTTTGGCTTTGACAGTCACTAAGGTTTCTGCCTCCCCCTCTCTTCCTTCAACATGTACTGGGACTATTCCTCCCCCCTCTCTCTCTCTCTCTTTCCTGTGTGAAGTGGTACAGCCGGCTGGGATCTTCAGTAAAGCTGCACTGACCTCCCAGGTGATCAATCACTCCCCCCAGCTGAAGCTGACCACAGTAGAGTTTAGCCTCAGCTGGCCCAGCACACAATCCTCGCTCTACCAACCAGTCCATCAAGTCACTGCCCCGAAACACACTTTCTGAATGGGACAGGTGATGCTGCTGGAGGTGAGGAGGACTTAAAACAAGATCATGCTGGTGTGGGTGCTGAGGACTGGCTGGGTCATGAGTTTTGTGGTAATCCTCAGGGTCAGACTTTGGTCCAGATGGATCTAAACACTGGCTGCTGAGTCCATTTTGATCTTGAGTTTGATGCAGATTCTGCGGCTCGTGGTTAAGTTGCTCCTGAGGATCGTGATGCAAGTGAGGGTCCTCCAGTCCTCTTCCCTCTCCTCTCCTAAACCTGTTGTTATCAGAGGAAGGATTCACCTGTGGAAGCACTCACACTCTCCCCTGAGCCACTAGAGGAAGGCCACCAATCGAAGGAAAGAGGAAGGGCAGGCAAAGGTAGCATTGAAGGGGGAAAGGAAACATGAAAAGAAAAATTTAAGAGAGGGAAAAAAGAGACTGTGTTAGAATCAAAGAAAAGAGAAGAAAACAGGAGTAACAAACATCTCAAGACAAAGTTTAAGTTAGTCAAATTTTTGTTTCTAAGTTTGAAATTTTAACAATCTAACTCTCCCAAATTAGTATGTACAGTACAACTGGAGTAAAAGTGAAACCTATCAGGTACAAAAAAAAACTTTCTCAAACTAATCATCATACATTAGTTGTAAGAAAAATAAATACTTGATAGAGGATGTCAGTAAAGGCAGCTGAACAGTTACTTAGACAGATAACGGGCAAAGAAGATGCAAAGAAAGAACATCTGAAGATTTGAGGGAATCACGCTACAATCTTATAAGTTGAACAGTCAAAACTGGAATATAATCTTGATGGTGGTGGGCTTTACACATGCTCAGTTTGTGCACTTTTCCTCAAACAGAAAACTGAAGCAAGAGGAAATAATGAGACGAATTCATACAATTTGGAGTATTTCAACACATAGTTACATTTTTCTCCCATATTAATCAGATATAGTTTACAAATGAAGCATATTGCATTCACCCAAAAAAAGGTGTTTTTCAGAGTAATTTTTTTCTGTTCTGTTCTTCAGACATTTTTTTCTTTTTTTCAGACAATTTTTCTTTTTTTCAGACAATTTTTTATTTTTTTCAGACTAATTGTTTTTCCTATTCTTTGGGATCATGATCATTTAAAAAACAAACACTTTCATCCCCCTCTGCTTGATTTATTAGAAGCAAACATGGCCCGCTTGTTTAGTTTAATCAAGTTTTCTTTCTTTTGGGGTTGAGACACTGGGACATGCTCCTTTCTTTTAGTCAGAAATCATGATGTAATCATCATAAGTTTGTCTATTTTGTGCAGGCACCTCAGGATTTGCATACCCTATGTTTAACTAATAACATCCCTTACTATTATTGACCCTGTAGTCAAAGTTATCTAGGAGCTGGAGAATCTGCTTATTTGGAGCAGCTGCAGTAGTTAACTTTATCTGATTGTATGAGATTCTCACAGGATTTTGATGTATCTTGTTTAGTCAGGAAAAAAAAAGTAGTCCAAAAAACAGAAAGACAAAAGAAAAAAAAGTATGAAAACAGAATAAAAATTGGTCCGAAGAACAAAAAGAGGAAAAAAATTAACTACAAAAAAACAGAGGAAAAAAAAGAGTCAGAAAAACAGACAGGTAAGTAAGTTTTTGTAATTGAATGCAACACGCTTCTGTAGTTTACAACCTCAATCCCAGTAAAAGCTGAGACACTGTTTCAAATGCTGACAAAAAAACTGATTTTGCGGGTTTGCAAATCATCAAAGCCTTTTTGTTTATAGTTTTTGAAAAAGCAGCATATTGAATTTGAAAACTACTAAACTTTCTTGTTTTATGAAACAGATACAATATACTTGTTTCAAATTTGATACCAGCAACAAATTGGTCTTTGCCTGGTACAGTTTTATGCATTCATTGGTGCAGTGACAAACTGTGCTTACTTCAGGGGAGGATTTTGAGCCTGTGCTCATGCAGTGATTTCAGAGTCATAGCCATTCAGTACTGGTGTATAGACCTTGCTCCTTTTGGACAGATTCTTACAAATTTCTGAAACTCTTAATTGTATTGAGATGATGATCACTTTCCCAAATTCTTTGTGATTTAGCACTAAGACACATTGTAGTGGAATTGGTGAATCATTTGCTCACACAGTCTCTCACAGAGTGGTGAACATCTGCCCATCTTTGCCTCTGAGAAACCTGGCCTCCCTGAAATGCTGAAGGCACATCTTAGTTAAGAGATGTTCCCTCAGGTGACTTTCAGCTCTGCACTTTTTCTGTGTCTGGTTGTTCCTTTTTGAAAATGTGTTGCTGATCTTAAAATTAAATTGAGCATATTTTTTCTAAAAGCAATATAATTTTTTGGTCTTTGCACAGTTCACAAATAATCATATCCTACCTGCGTGTGTGCACAATGTCTTGAACACACTGGTCTTTGTGGTAGCGGACAAACTGTGTACAGGTGAGTCTGACCTCCTCTGGTACACTGGAAGGACTTAAATCATCATCGTTTCTGCTCTGCCACAGGCCCTGAAATCTGAAATTCGCAGAGAGTGTTTCTGTTTTGTATGATGTAAGTAGTCCATCTCAAAAGAATCAAGGAATCATGACAAACAAGTAATACAATGCTCCAATTATCTCGAAGTCTCACCTCTTTTTAAAGGGTAGGATGATAAGGTGTCGATCCAGACCAAAGATCCCAAATGAAAGGAAACCCTGGATCCAAGAAAAACAACTGAGCATTAACAGAGGAATGATAGTTTTAGGTGTAAGTATCCACACAAACCAGATGGCGCCTGATGGTACCTGTCCATAGTTTGCCACAGCACAGAAGAACTGGAGTTCAAGGTAAAGTCTTCCTGGATCTTTGTTGAACAGCCACCATAGACAGCTGGACAGGTTCTACAGAGAGACAGAGAAAGAGAGAGACAAAGAGAGAGTCCAGTTTTACCAGTGACAGACAGCCACCGTTGGAGGGCTTGTTAATAGAGGTGGGTGCAATTCATTAATTTGTCGATGCATTGCAATGCTTCACGTGACAATTCGGCATCGATTAATTAACAGTGATGCTTAAGATAAATACATGAATAGATGATAACGTTGATGCTTTGCTGCAAGGCCGGAACAAAAAAACACATAACCGGAACTTTAATGCATGCCGCCCGGACTATTTAGTGAGTGGGACCACAACAAGCAGAGCACGTTAGTTTCTTGGCATAATGGCAACAACCTCATCAGCCTCCAAAGAGTGGCCGATTCTCGCCACCAGGGTTGACTGCAACCGTGTGGAAGTACTTTGGATTTCATGAGAGAGCAAACAAGACAAATGACAAGACCTACGCGATTTACAAGATTTGCAAAGCAAAAATGAGGTACCTCAGCAACACCACAAACATTAGGCAGAACCATGTACACTTTCATCCCAAAACAGAGAAAGCCCCTCCAGTTGTACCCATTACACAGAGGACCGTCCAGGAGACTGTCTCCAAACCTCCCAGTTTAAGTTAAGCAGGTCAAAGTTCAAATGTATACATAACAGTGTAAACTGTATTTACTTATTGAGTGTAGTTTTAGAGAAACTGAGTTCACTGATAGGCTATTAATTGACAAACGTAACCACAAATGAAGACAAAATCAATCTTGTATGGAAATAAGCATGAAAAATGGCAATAATCGGAATATTGTGGCACCAGTAATCGAATCGAATCGACAATCATTATAATCGAAAAATCAAAGCTCCCATAATTGAAATCAAATCGAATTGTGAGGTACCCGTGTTGGAACATGTCTACTTGTTAATGTAAATTTTCACTGTGTATATGCGAACAGCAAAGCCTGACAACTTTCATTTTTTCAAAGAAGATGAACTTATGGTAGATCATTTTGTTCCGTATGATGTTGGTGAAACTAGGGGGTGTGTCCCTGTTGTTCAGAAAAAAGACAGTTCATGCATATTTTTCAAAAGTTTGGTTTTACAAAGGAGACTCCAGTTTACCTGATATGTACCAACTAGTAAACTGTAGAAAACCTGGCAGTGATGATAACACTGTCGTTTCATTCACACCAACATGCATCTAGATGTGTCAATGTGTGGCATCTCCTTTTTCCCTTCCTGCTAATTTGCTTACAACTCTCAGATCTTCACACAGATGGACACACACACACGCTGTTAATGGATACTGCAGTCTCACCGCCAGCAGGCTGACACTGAGGAGCAGACAGAGAAGGACGTGTCTGACTGTCTGTCTTTCATCAGTGGTTTGGAGCCCAGGTGGTGGAAGGTCCAGTGGCTGCTCAGAGCAGGAAGAAGCATGTGTTTGCCCATCAAACAGTGCCCCGCTGTGGCCTGGATAGAAAATTTTACATGGTGATTGATCCGGTATGGCTGGAATTACTAACCTGATATTTTCATACACTTTAACTTCAATACCCAACAATAAAATAGATGTTTTTGATTATGTTATCTGTAAAACAATGAGGGTGCCAATAATAAATGTGACAAGTAATCTTACTTCCCCAAAAATTTTTTGATGAGGAGCTTAAGTTTATACATGTTCATTTACTTTTGGTGAAACTTTAATGACCGAAAACATGTAATGGAAATAAAATGACACTTAAATATTCACCACGTCCTCTACTTAAAGGGATATTCCGACGTAAAATTAAGTTACAGCAGCAGTCTACGTCTCCACGCACAAACCTCAACCAAAAAGCCACTCTGTAGTCACAAATAATGCTCAAAACAGCACCTAACTTCATCAACAGTACATATAGGGTCCCAGCCATAGTACTAACCATCAAACATCTTTTTAGCTTTGCCTGGTTTCTTTAGCAAAAAGACCAAACACAACTCACTCACTCTCCTCCAGCAGCTGCTTGTGTGTGGGGGGAGCCCTGACAAGTCGATCACCGAGTGCAGCAGATCATTTCCATGAAGTAATAATCATCATAATAATCATTTTGCACTCAGACACGGTAGTTCTTCTGCCTTAGCGTCTCAGTCTGATTGCATTTCCATGAAGTAATGATCATAAATGTTCTTCCTTGAGCTGCAGAACTCCACTGCACTTGGTGATCGACTCATCAGGGCTCCCCCACAACCAAGCGGCTGCTGGAGGAGAGTGGGTGAGTTGTGTTTGGTCTCTTTGCTAAAGAAACCAGGCAAAGCTAAAAAGATGTTTGATGGCTAGTACAGTCCCTGACAAAAGTCTTGTCGCTTGGGTACAAGTTGACCATAAGTGCCCCTCAAATATATGTGCAATACAATTTTTTTTTACAAGAAATGTCTAATTTCAATCCCAACAGTGTTTGAAATAATGTCTTGGTGCCAAATGAAACTGCTGAAAAGCATTCTAATGTTCACAGCTTGGTAAAGCCCACTAAGTCAGTTTTTGCACAGACAAAAGTCTTGTCGCCTTGTCATATGATGCACCCAATCCAAGATTACAGCCTCACCTGTGATCAGTTATTGACCAATCAATTAGTGGGTGTATAGAAAGAACCACAGCACACCAGACCTTCACATCAACTGCAACTTAACCTCTGACAACATGCCTAAGATTCACCCTGAGACCAGAGCTTTGATCATCAAGAGGCTGAAGACCAGATCCACTGCTGAGGTGGCTGACACCTTCAATGTGTCTCAGCGTCAAGTACAAAGGATAAGAAAAAGATTTGAAGAGACTGGAGATGTTTATGACAAGCCCAGGCCCAGCAGACCCCGAAAGACAACTGCTCGGGAGGACCATTTGTTGGCTTGAAAATCCAAGGCCAGCCCCTTTTCCACTGCAGCAGAGCTCCACCAGGTCTGGTCACCTCAAGTCCCTGTGTCAACCAGAACAGTTTGTCGAATTCTGTCTCGGCATGGCCTCCATGGTCGAATCAGTGCCCAGAAACCAGCACTAAACAAAAAGAAATTAAAAAAACTTGTGGCATTTGCCAAGGCCCACAGCCTGCTAAAAGGATGGACGCTGGAAAAGTGTCAGAAGGTGGATTTTTCTGATGAATCTTCGGTTGAATTACATCACAACCGCTGCAAATATTGCAGGAGACCTACTGGAGTCTGCATGGATCCGAGATTCACCCAGAAAACAATTAAGTTTGGTGGTGGAAAAATCATGGTCTGGGGTTGCATCCAGCATGGAGGTGTGCGAGAGATTTGCAGGGTGAAAGGCAATATCAATAGCCTAAAATATCAAGAAGTATTAGCTACCTCTTACATTCCCAACCATAAAAGGGGTCAAATTTTGCAGCAGGATGGTGCTCCATCGCATACTTAGATCTCTACAGCAAAGTTCCTCAAGGCGGAGAAGATCAAGGTGCTCCAGGACTGGCCAGCCCAGTCACCAGACATGAACATCATCGAGCATGTCTGGGGTAAAATGAAAGAGGAAGCATGGAAGACAAAACCAAAGAATCTTGATGAACTCTGGGAGGCATGTAAGACTGCGTTCTTTGCTATTTCTGATGACTTCATCAATAAATTGTATGAATCGTTGCTGAACTGCATGGATGCAGTTCTTCAGGCTCATGGAAGTCATACAAGATATTAAATATGGATCTCACAGCACCACTACTTGATTCACTGATGTTGTGCAACATATTTTGTATTTGAAGTAAATTATTTGTTCAATTTTCACATTACTCTATGTAGGCGACAAAACTTTTGTCTTGCCAAAATCTGACCTTTCTGTGTTCATTAAATGATCAATCTTTCTTCAGTGAAGGAAATTTATTTTAGATTTTAAATATAATTTGGGAGGGTTTTAGCTTTCATATGAGCCATTTCTAAAACCAATGGATTAATGACAAGTCAGGTTATAAGCTGTTGTTTCTACAAAATGGATAAGTGACAAGACTTTTGTCAGGCACTGTACTATGGCTGGGACCCTATATGTACTGTTGATGAAGTTAGGTGCTGTTTTGAGCATTATTTGTGGCTATAGAGTGGCTTTTTGGTTGAGGTGTGTGTGTGGAGACGTAGACTGCTGTGTATTGCTATCGTGCGGTCGTTACTAAAGTCGGTATGACTAGAGAAGCAAGCAGTCGACAACATTAATCTCTCGAGGGGGTGTCTAACTCGATGTTGCAGTGTGTTTGACGATAACTTAAATTTATGCCGGAAGATCCCTTTAAGTGCAAAATCACATTTCTTTGTTACCTGTGCTGTTTGTGTGTTCCCTCTGCGTGCTGGCTATCATGTCTGGTAAAGACTGAAGAGGAGAGAAACTGTGGGGATCTAGCAACACAAAAGACACAGCACAACTGTCAAAGATCTTCAACCTTGCCAACGGTGTAGCTACATAACCACACGAAGATGCTTTGACTATGTCCAGATTTTTGTGTAAAGCTAAAATAGAACACTGCTTTCAATCAAATCAATAAATCCAAACGAATGGTAAACACCAGCCCTGCCTGAACTGATGCTGCATGCAGGTGAATTTGCTGTCAGCTGTTGTTGTTGTTGTTGTTGTTGTTGTGTTTGTTGTGACTCCTCCGAACCACTAGGGGGCCTTAGCTCATCATTTAATCCTGTTGCAGCAGCTCTACTTAGAGCCTCATAGCCTCTCTGCTCCCGGTCTCCTTGGCTGAGACCCATCAGAGATATTGCACCGAGCCCCAAGCTTACTGCAAGCACCACCGCTGAGCTGATTATCTGTAATGATAGACACAGAATAATGAGAGTGATATTTATGGATTTATAAGTGTGGTTTTTAGGAGTAACTCATGGTAATATGCACAATTAGACACCCCTTTGACATACATGATTTCTAAAAGGAATGATCAGATAATGGGAACAATGAAAGACAAGAAAATATCAACTTATTCACCACAAAATGACAAATGTGAAATAAAGAGTACAAAGTGAAGAACAAAGTGAAACAGATATTTTTCAAACCTGAGCCCTGCCGTAGAAGAAGGCAGAGTCTATGGCATCAGTCCTTTTTCCCAGTACCAGAAGGCATCCAATCATTAGAAAGGGTACCCTATACACACAAACACACAAGCACACACTCATACAGAGATCATCTTGATATCAGACGAGGTGATCAACAATGTAATGTTGATTACTGTTGTTTTGGGACAGTGTAATGTGAAAAAGAAGGGCTCCAGAGGGCGCCCTTTAGTGTTTTGGTGGGCTGACCTACCCCCAGCCTAAAACCATGAATACTCCTGGTCGGAGTCTCAGCAGATCATCTCTGTCAGTCAGAGCCAGACAGAGGGGAATCAAACCTTCAAACAAAACAAAGTAAAACTTCAATTCAATCAGAGGTTCTGCACAACCAAAAGCACCTGTCCCAGAGTAAAATGTTGATGCTCACAATTCAAAGACTTACCAGTCCAAATATAGGTGCTGTACAGAGAGCCATAGAGCAGCGTGAAGGTGATAATTTTGCCAATCAAGTTACCCTCCTGCTTTACCAAGAAGTTCCACAGGATCATACTGACACACACCAAAAACTGGAGAAGACGGCACGGCAGGTTAAGACAGTGTGAATGCAAAGGCTTATAGTGCTTGGATTTATATTTCTGTTTATATGAACACACACTGAACAATAAAATGAGCTCTTGACTTAAAGATAATAAAATGTTCTTTCAGAGATTCATTTTACATGTGGCAGGAGACTGACCTGAGCCAGGAAAAGATTTAAGGCAAATAGATGAGGAAGTCTGTTGAATTTCCTGCTGAGCAACATCACCACTATGGTCCACACCTAGAAGAGAAACCAGCACAAATGTATTTGAATCAACCCTGAGTAAACTCATTCAGTGCTGTGGGGCACTGACACCAAGCACAAGTAAAATCATCTACTCGCCATCAATTTGCGCGGATCTAGACACGTGAATGAATTGTATTTACTTGCTTCATTTGCACGTCAACGGTAAATTCAATTGTAATCCCTGCCAATTCAACTGGCGGGATCAAGTGATATACAAAGGTTTTTTACAATTTACCAGGTAATCTGACCTCCTCACTCACTCACTTGCCTACCGGCAAGCTCCTTTTTGTTCCGGTTTCGGTAATTGAAAGAAAAGGTATCATATAAGTGGTGGCACCCACACACCGACACGATCAGTTTGTCCTCCATTTTAGATACCAGTGAACAGCTGTCTGTTTTCATACGTCACCTGCGACGTTATTGCGACGTGAATATCCACACAAGTTGAGACATTTTCAGCTCCCGCCCAATTCACGCCATTCGTGCCGCCAGAGTAGTACTAGCATCTAATTATGTCTTTGCATTGACTTGCCCTGTAACTCATTCACCTGAATGATTTTACTCGCACTTGATGTGTGGTGACAGTTGGAACAACAGATCAGAAGTGTTGAGGAACATTAAACTGAAGCATACATACCAGTGCTAAAAGGCTGACAATGCTGATGTTGAAGCTGACATTTTCAAGTTCAGTCACCAGGGGGGTTGGGTCCATTAGAGGGATTGTTAATAACCAAGCTGACACGTACATAATAGGTGCAGACAAAAATGTACTTATCACCATCCCTGATGTTACCTAAAGAAAGGAAAGATAGAGAGAAATCTTCATCCATGAGGAATGACATGAACTAAAGAGTTCATATGCAAAGAAAAATATGATTTATGTAAACTTTACAGACAACTTGGCTTTAACTACTTCATTTTGACAACTGCCTGAAACAGTTTAAATGAGTCTAAAAAAAAAAAGATTCTCTAAACGTGAATCCGCAAATTTACTCCACAGTCATTTCACTATAAATTAATATCGACATTCAAGAATGAATGTAACAAAAGCATTTCAGATAAGTTTAGTTTATTACAAAAACAAACTGACATCTTGTAGAGTCTGTTTTGTGTTTTTGTGTCTAGGAAAAAACAGACAGTTCTGACGTCTGTGTAGAGGGTGCTTTACTTAAGTGAAATGATATCTACATTTGATAATGCAATGACTGCGAGTTTCAACTGATACAGAAGCGTGTGACTATGCAGTGACATACTAAGTACTCTAGATACATTTGAAGTTTAATGTTGGAATTCTGGGGTGAAAAAGAAAGTCTCATGATTTTTGAGTGCCTGTGTGAGAGAGATTCTTTTATGGCTTATACTTGACATATGACTTGACCAGGGTCCAATTGTTCGTAGATCACATTAATATTATTAAGTTTGGTTTAGATCTGACACATTTTAAGCATATACTTAAGTGTCATGGGGTTGGGGTCTTTTTGTCCAGAAAATAATCATGAAAACTTCACTTTAAGTCGCCCATGCAGAAGAAGGATTTGAGGGAAGGTTATGGGGGGAAAGTGAATCAACTTTTTGACTGATCCAATAATTTATCATTTGTGGCATTTAGTATACTGTACAAATCTATTTTCATTCCTTGGCTTTCAACCCTGCATGAGGCTCTGCTCCTGTTTTAGTGTTTTACTGTTTGTTTTTTGTTGTTTCTATGTTTGTTTGTTTTTTTTATTAATTTTTAAAAACAATGAAACAATTGTTAATTGTTTATTATCTGCTTTGTTTTATCTATTGTTTTCAATTGTTTTAACTGTTTTATGTCTGGGTTGTTTTTGTCTACTTATGTACAGTGTTTTGTTTCAACAGTGGTTGTTTTAAAGTGCTTTATAAATGAAGATTACAAATAAAGCATTAGATTTGTTTAACTGTAAAATCAATTTTTAAAAACAATGAAACAATTGTTTTAGTGTTTATTATCTGCTTTGTTTTACCTATTGGTTTGAATTGTTTTAAATATTTTTACATCTGAGTTGTTTTTGTCTACTTATGTACAGTGCTTTGTTTAATGTGGTTGTGTTTAAGTGGTTCATCAATAAAGATGAGTTGAGTTGAGATGAGAATTTATAACAAGCATTGGATCTGTTAAACTGTAAAATGCATTTAGGTTACACAGGGACAAAGGAAACACAAGTAATTAAGAAAGCAAGAAAGAAAGAAAGAAAGAAAGAAAGAAGAAAAACACAAAATCTCCACAACAACTTAATGAAGTGGGTTCTTCTTCCTTATTCCAGTTATTCATTTGATTAAGCATGTTTGAACTTTGACCTTAAATTGACTTTTTTTTTTGTAAATGTAAATTAAAAGCAGTACTCAAAACTTAAAAGGTAGTTAGTACATTAATAATATACTTACCACCTCTAGCTCCATATTGTAGTGTCCAGCATAGATGGCCACACTGGGTGCAGTGGGAAAGACTCCATAAAGGAAAGCAAAATTAGACAGACTAGTGTGGTTTGCACTCGTGCTGTTCACTCCTACATCCAGAATATCCACCATGTCTTTACAGACCAGAGGCATGACCAGGCTGATAGGAGACAGATAACATTAAACACTGATTAATATCTATTCTGTTTATGTGTCTGCTTTTATGATAAAGAACATTTTTGTCAAATTTAGAAAAAAAAATCAGTCATATGCAGTACACAGACAGAGAGGCTATCCCAGCGATATGCCAAACATGCACTATTCCTCTTACAGTTTGGCCGTAATGAGAAGAATCAAGGCAACCCCAGTGTCTCTGGTTAGTTTCCTCAGCTGACCGACCTGCCACAGAAACAGAGGGATCACCCTTCAATGATAACATCGTTCAGAAACACAGGGTTAGAATCTGTTGAAGGTAAGCTTTGTTAAACTTCTAAGCGTCAAAAAAACTCACCATAGTAAGACCAAGGTAAAACAAGGCTGCCCCTCCAAAAGAGTTTGCCAGACCGTCTATAAACTCTGACAGTATAGCAGGGATCTGCTGACCAAGGGCAAAGTGGGCTATGATTCCAACTATCACCACGAAGACTACTGGGTTCTTCAACACCTGTGGGTAATCAAGAGTAGGTTTGTTTAACCCAGTGTTTAATATCATGGGGTTTAGAGGTGGGTTATGTTTACTAAGTTCTTATTCACCTCAAAGACAACTAATAACTCACCTGTAGAACTACAACTCCCACGATGCCAACAGTGCTATGATGTGAATGGCTGGCCTGCCTCCACTTTTGCACCTCACAAAGAGCAAAACCGATGGGATTGAGGAGCATGAGGGAGACTGGGGCAACTAGATAGATGTACTGGAGGTACTCTGGGTATGTGCTCCGGTACAAAGCATCGACTGAAAGCATGGAGAGGGATGGAGAGAGAGAGAGAGATGGATACTTCTGGGTCAAAGAACCAGTGTTTTTCTCCTGTGAATATTCAATGTGGAAGGAACAAATCAAAATTTTACACTGATCTTACCTATAGGGTATCCTAAGGCAAAGTCATTGCTTTGCGTAGCAAAGATGGCATACAGGCCAGCTTTGCTGTATCTGCTGTCTGGACTGGCCACCATCAGAGTCAGCACACACACCAGTACAAACACTGTCACCTTCACACAGGAGAGAAACCTCAAAGTCAGGTTCAAATAGGTGACGTTTACATCATTAACCATAGTTTCATCTCATGTCTTCAGAGATTTAACTAAAATCTGACTTTTCTTCTTCTTGTAACCAAGCCATACACATGATTAGGGCTGGGTGATAAAACGATAACAATATATATCGAAAATTAATTTCCCTCGATATCAATGTGAAACATGGTCAATATGCTTTGCGATAGTCGCATTCTGACATGTTTTGGTTGACTATACGAATAGCCAATAAAAAGGGGAGTTGCTTTGGGTCCTGAACCAATCATGTACTGAATTAAAACCAAGTAGCAAACAAGTGCAAAGTAGCAGGCTGCAGCTACACGCAACCATAGCACTTTAACACATAAAGCCGACAGCACTGTTGGTGAGAAAAAAGAAAAGGAGTGCTACCCCTGTGGTGTGGAGGTATTTTGTTTTTTTTAAGGTCAGACATGAAGCAGAGTAATGTGCACTGCAAATTATGTCAACTACATGTTCTCGCAAAGTCAGGGAATACCTCAAATTTTTTTCACCACCTGGACCATTCAGTCCGCTTTCTCAACGAGCATGCTAACTTTATTTAGCACAGTGGTCATCAAATAACTATCAAAAAGTAGTGATTCTCGAGAGAATTAATATGATGATAATAAATAAGCACAACACCTTGTGACAAAATGTCGAAGAGACACAAAGACCTTACAGATGCAGTAGCTTATTATACTGTAAAAGACATGCTACCAATAAGCACTGTTAAATTTCATTTTTTATATCGTGATATATACCAATATTGACTGATAAAAATATATTGTGATAAACTTTTTTCCATATCGCCAGGCCCTACACATGATATGAAGGACATGCACAGACACTAACCTTAGCAACCATCACACTCCAGAGAAATGCCCAGATGACATCTCCAAAGTCCAACAACACCATGTTTTTAAAAAGCAGGGCTGGTAGGGCAAACTTGGACACAAAGTTCCCCAAACCCTTTGCCTGGCTCTCCGTGATGATATCTGTCCTGTAGATAAGGACAGATGAACAAACGATTAATGCACAAAAAAAGCCATGGTAGTTAGTCTCGAATTATGTTCATATTTTCATTGGATAGTTTCAGAATTCTTACAGTAACTATAGCAACATATTCAATCAGTCCTAATGGAGAAACAACCTTACTCGGTTGCTAGCTTACACTGAAATAGTGTGTCCCTGAAAAAATCCAAAGACCCTAATACAGCTGCCTTCTTTTAGCTTGCCTTGTTCAAGTAGTTGCAGGTTCCATGCATTGCTCAAGGGCAACTACAACCACTAAAGCACTTTGACCTCACCTTCATTCATCTTAATGAACCAGCAACACTAATTCTAACAAGCAGAAAACTGATCAAATAGTTGCCTTTATTTTACCAAAACATGTGTGGGTGTTGTTTTCCATCTAATTTGGCCTAAAAATCATCAATTCAATTGCTCTGTATAGAACTGTTCCTTCACAAAACTACCTGCCAGCGATGTAGCCACATAAGATGATGCCAAAACACTCAAGGAGAGCCGGGAAAAGCTTGTCGATGGACATGTGCGGAACTGCAGCAGAGCCCGCCAAGGTATTGTGAGATATGTTCTTCCCATGGATTAGCACGTAGTTGCTGGCAGTCTCCATTGTGATGATGGGATAAGGTCAAACAGGTCAGGTGATGGCCAGGAGATATCAGCTCTCTAAAGGAAGGATGGGAAGGAGAAGACGGTGAGAGAAGACAATAAGGAACAACAACAACAACGACAGTTAGGGTGAAACCTAAGAGGGAACAGAAAAACACTGGGACAGACTGTAGTCAGTTGAGTCAGGGTCTCAGGGTCCTTGTTTATGCCTGTGTGTAAGAACTTCACGTTAGCTGACTTGGACAGCTAAATCAACCAGTTTCACTACATGACATGAGATTTCTGCTTTCTAAACACAATGTAGCGAATTCAAACAAACACAATGTCACGTTAAACCCACCATGGGGCTCATAGTTGCCCTGACAGAGCAGCTGTCCCTGACAGATGACCATTGTCGTTAGCTAGGCAGGTACATGCTAAAAACATCATCACAGGAATGTTAGATAAAGCCAACCAGCTATAACATCAACAAATGGCAATGATTCACGACTTAAAATGACGCTCTAAACCAGTCCGTTTTACCTCTTTCATTCAGAAAATCATCTTCGCTCAGAACTGGACGAGATTCGTGTGTCCCACAGGATAGCCAAGCTCGTATTTACCGTTAGAGCGTCAAGCTCCGGCATCTGACAGCTGCCTTCAATGGCGACGCCCTGTAAAGTTGTTGACATGAAATTCAACCAATCCCCGCCGAGATATGCTTCAAACGTTGGCTCTGATTGGATAAAACCGCATGATGTGATGCCGCATTCACATCACAAACGGAATGGTTAACCTATGGACCACTTAGCTCAGTTATACTGAGGGACAAAAAACGACACATATATACACGCGCACAGGAACGTACACTGTCCTCTTTGCTCTCTCTCTCTCTCTCTCTCTCTCTCTCTCTCTCTCTCTCTCTCTCTCTCTCTCTCTCTCTTTTTTTTCTCACCCTAATTAACCCTAGATCACTATCGCTAAAATTAGTAACACCATCACTATCGCCGGGTGAATTTTACCTGAACAACAAAATAACTGAAATTAGGCATTTATCAACAAAAAATTCCATATTGTAAACTTAGTTTCTTTTCCATCCATTTCTGGGGCATGTGAGTCTTCCCTGGTGAAGACCCAGGGTCCTTGCCACAATAACAGCTGCAGCAGAGAGAACCAAAATATGGCAGATTTTGAGTGAGTGAAAATGGCCAGCTGACTAAAATATTTCTTATCACCATATGAATATCCTTAAGATCACTACTTTGTGATAGTTATTCATAACCACTGCGCTAAATAAAGATAGCATGCAAATTCCAGGATCACTCTTACTTACGTTATTCCCTACATGCAGCTATCAAATCCACCCAAACCTACTTTACCCTCCATCACTACTTCCAGTTGACAGTCACCCTGTGAACACCTGCCTGTAGGAAAAAAGCAGGTTTGGGATCAGGATCAGGATCAGGGAAACAAATTTGCCTTCAAAGATGTCAAAGGCAATGCTGAAGCTACCCAGGGACCCATGATACTCAGAAAATCACGTAAACATGTTTGGTCGGGTCAAAATCACCTGACAATAGCATTCTAGGGTTAATTTGACGTCACTTTGATAGGCACCTTCAAATTTAACGCTGAAATAAAATAGAAATATGTGAAGTAGACTGGGAAAATTGGCCCGGCTTAAGGAACACTGCAACCTCGGCCGAGAGCTCCCACCTGTATCAAGGCATTTACTAGGAAGCCAAATCTATATATACAGAGGGATGTAATCTGACCTCCCAAGGAGAGTAGGCCTGCGTGGTTGTCGTGCAGTCTGATCACTGCGGACATACAGTAGTTTGTCAACATGTAAACATTTGAGAAAAAGTAATATACCAGAATCAGACTTACCTTACGTATTGTCTTGTTACTCTAGAAAAAGCACAATGATTTCCTGAAATCTGATTAACTTTGAGGAAATAGTTTGTTTACATGTTTTGTACTTACAGTATAAAAAGGACTGTGATTTGGTTACAACCTATTAGCCTAAGTTTAAATGGAAGCTGATCAGCTTTAACAACTTTTATACTGTGCTAGTTATGGTCATATTTTTTCTTTTGTCAAGGAAACTAATTATAAAAAAATTTAAGGTACCCTTCGTAATTTCCTCCTTCCTAATCCTGTTGTCTCACAGAGGGATTTCTAAGCTGCTTTGAGCATTGAGGTTTATTCTCATTTCAGGCTCATCAAGGGCGTCCTTCTTGGTTGGGGCCCTAGGTCTTTGGTCTTGTAGGATCTTGTGCTCCCTGGTGTAAGGTCATGCTTGATGAACTAAGTGTTCTTTGTGCTTTGAGAAATATTCCTGTAATTAAGGATATTTGTGAGGAAGGGAAGAAGACATTTTAACAATATAATGGATCATAAATGACTCTTAAGAACATTTTATTGCATAATAAAAGCCAAAGAATGCAAAGTATTTTAATGCTCTTATTGTATCTGAGAAAATAAAGTAGTTTTTATGGAACATTTTCTTTAACAACATGGTTTATTCTTTGGTTCTGTAAGTAATTCCTTGTATTACTTCTCTGTGTTAGTATTGGTAAAAACTTTTAACTTTGCAGGAAGTCAAGGAAAACATCTAATTACAAAACAAACAGCAAAAAATAGCAAGGGATTACAACATAACCTCTTTGTCTCCGGTTTAACATTTCTTTTTAAAAAGACATTAGAGTCTGAAAGCTTTGGTCCTTTGGTGTTCTTTTTTTTTTTTTAAGCCTTGGAGTCTTGCATCCAACACACAGACATGGCACAGGAGGCTTGCAACAACTGCATCTTTCCTTAGTCTTTAGTGAACCCTCCTTTTTATGTAGCAGGTGGAGGGCAATCTTTCAGTCATATGATGCTGTGTTCAGCTGGAGCAGAAGATGAGTTAGACCTTTTCTTCGAGCAGTGTTTGACTATTAAAGCAGCTGCTAAGACCGCAGAGCTGATCATGAAAGATGCTCCACTGATGTTGAAGGTGGCTGCGTAGTTTCCTGTCTTGTCCACAAACCAACCTGGAGACAGAGAAACACATAAGATGTGTTAAACATAAATGAAAAATGACTCAGTGTTTTAAACATATAAGAATTTAGGGAAACTAAAGGTTCATGACTGACAAAAAATAAATCTGGTCATTTTCCTTGTTGGGAATCAGAGGAGGAAGAACTCAAGCCATTCTGAAATTTTCGATTCAATGTGTCACTTAGTAGTGAGTTATAAACTGCACTGCTGTCCGTATCACAGTTAACAGCTAGCATATTCATGAAACATTAACTGAGATGCCCTTTTGGGTTTTGAAAGCTACAGTATAATGCTCAAGAAGGCTACTGTGACTTAAGAGCTGGTGTTATCAGATTGTAGAGCTCAACTACTCTTACATGTCCAGCACCCAAGTTTTTCCTGTCATTGAGTCATAGAATTTATTGTACATTTTTTCCTCATCCAATTCTGATCGTTTATTAGGTTTTTATATTGACCAAATAAAACTTCTAAGGCATTGAAAAACAACTATAATTTGGGATGACATTTGATTCCCATACAGCTTGGTATTGTTTTTGTCATATCTCAAGCCAAATTCAAAATTTGACAAATGTAGATTAAAGGGACACTTGGCGTGAAATTAATTTAGGGTCAAACACACCGTAACATCAAGTTAGACATGAGAAGAATGTTGCCGACTGCTTGCTTCTCTAGTTTTACCAACTTTAGTAATGACCGCACAATAGCAATACACAGCGGTCTGAGGAGCCACACACAAACCTCAAACAAAACGCCACTCTATAGCCACAAATAATGCTCAGAACAGCACCTAACTTCATCAACAGCACATATAGGGTCCCAGCTATAGTACTAGCCATCAAACATCTTTTTAGCTTTGCCTGGTTTCTTTAACAAAGAGACTAAACACAACTCACCCACTCTCCTCCAGCAGTTGCTTGTTTGTAGTGAGACCTTTGGCCAGTTCATTACAGACTATAGCGTGGTGACGCAGCTCAAGGAAGAACATTTATGATCATTACCTGACTGATTGCATTTCCATGAAGAAATGATCATAAATGTTCTTCCTTGAGCTGCGTCCCCCTGCTGTAGTCCATAATGAACTAGCCCGAGGTCTCGCTACAAACAAGAGGCTGTTTGGCATTCATCTCTCAAGGGGGTGTCTAACTCGGTGTTACGTTGTGTTTAACTTTGATTTTACGCCGGAATATCCCTTTAATGTCAGCTGTCACAGTTTTTGTTATTGTTAGATTATGACAAATGCAAACTCCAGTCGGCAGGTTTTAATCTAAATGTGAGGTTACACAGCTAACCACTGTGCCATCAGTCTAGATAAATTTATGAGCTCTCACCTCCTATTGGTGGGCTGACCAAGTATGGAGCAGCGTGCAGGAAATAGACCACACCCAGTGCACAGGTCAGGTAGCTGGAGCCCACAACATCAGAGGTTACAACAGGAATGAGTGCTACATAGGCCCCGTCAAAGTATCCATAGAGTGTGGAAAATGTGATCAGTAGGGAGAAGGAGTTGAGGAAGGGGAGGCAAATACAGCAGATGCCCTCCATGCCAATTGCCACCATGTAGGTCAGCATGCGATACCTCTTCAGACACCTAAAGTTAAGAAAATCAATCAGTGTTGGGCTTTAATGTCATATAACACATCTTCATCCAGTACTTACTTCCTGTCTGAGATCCATCCAAAGGTAATGTTACCCACAATACCACTGACTCCAAATATGGACATGAGGAAGGCAGCCTCCTGATACCCCACCCCTACACTGAGGGCATAAGGAACCAGGTAAACCACTGGAGCACTGCAGCCATAAGCAAGGAACAGGAGGGACACCGACAGGAACAAGAAGTCTGGTAACAGAAGAAATCCAAACTCCTCAGTAGACTCCAGGCATAAAAAGCGGGCACTGGGTGGAGTTTCTGTGTTCAGTAAAGACTCAGTGGAAGGGCAGGCCAAGTCATCCAACACATGGGGGCTCATTAGCTTGGCCTCTGAAAGTCCTGAATCCTCTGTTTTTGCTTTGACGTCAGCTGCCTCATTCTTCAGATTCATAAATTCCACCATTTTGAAGTTATTAATTCTGTTTCCATTTCTGAGGATGGGGTCTGACTTTTTGATGCCCCCTTTTGCTTGGTTTTGTTTGGTGTCTTTGGGGTCCAACTTTGTTGTTGAGCAATTTTTTTCCAGGTTTGCAGCATTATTTTCCCATAACCTTCAGATATGGTAGAGCAGAATAAAAGAGATTAAGTGAAAACAGATCATGAATTTTAAGTGGGTAAACTTAAACAGTTAGTGAAAATGGATGGCGAAAGGTTGTGTCCAAAGTTTAAACATAAGAATGCCATCACTTTTTGAGCTACATGCAAACGTTTCAATTGGTCTTTTTCATTTTTGCTCATGCTGATGCAGAATGACACATGACATGCATGACATTTAACATGCAGCCCACATATCCTCTCAGTCAAGCTCCATGGTCAGGGAACTGACATAAGTAGTTGTGCTGATGATGTTACTAATGTTTTGATTTTATCAAACAGAAAAAGCAAATCGATAAAGTTGCTCTGATTCTTCTTATTATTATTTTTTTGCCTCTACCCAATCCTCTATTTTTGGTGCATCTGTTTTTAGCCATTTTCTGGTGATGATCTTTGTAGCCGCCACCAACATTATTCAAAATATGTTTTTTCTCCTGACCTTGTTATCTCCTGTTTCTCTTTTTCCAAATATAAAACTTCAAATGTAAGTGGAAATTGCATTTTCAAAATGTTTTCTTTACTCTTCTTTAACACCTGCCAATAAGGTACAATACCAAAAATATGAAAATGATTGGCCTTATTTTCCCCACACAGTCTCTTACCTCTCACCTCCTTTGGGTACCAGTGGCCTCATGAGAGCACCACAGACACAAATGTTTGATACGAATCCTCCCAGGACAAGTAGAGCTCCTCTCCAGGAGTAACGCTCAATGAGCAACTGGACTGCAGGGGCCAAAACAAAGGTTCCAATGCCATTACCTGTAGATGGGGTGAAGTTGGATTTGATGGGATAGAAGAGAGGCACAGGTAGAAGAATGTCCAACCATAAAGCAAAGTCAAAATAATAAAAGGGTAAGAGTCAAGAGATGGGAGGATGAAGTATGAATAATGAGACAACAAACAAAAAGGTAAGCAGGGAGGTTGTTGCTACCAGACAGGGCGATTCCATAGGCCAAAGCTTTCCTCTCATTGAAGTATCTCCCAACCATTGCTACAGCTGGAGTGTAGCTGAGAGCAAAGCCGAGACCTGTGGGGACAGATAACAGGATATAGTCTGGAAAAATATCCACATGTTGCTAAAACACTTGAATACACTCAGCTTCAAATGCAAAATGCAGAATACAATCAAGTTGGTTCACCAGTTGCTACAAGTTTGAATCTTTTCATGGTGGGGATGGCAATGACTCATAATTTTTTTACAAAGATGTTGCAGGTTTCTGGTACAGAGACAATCTGATCCGTCATTGTCCTCCTTCCTTGTGTCATATTTCATGGATATAATTTTCATAGATGCGAAAGCTGTGTACCTGTAAGGATGCCCATAGAGATGTACAGATGCTCTAGACGGGAGGCGAAGGAGCTGAGGACTAAACCAGTAGAGGACAGCAGACCTCCCAGGATGACTGTAGATCTACAGGAGAAGCGGTTGCCAAGGAAACTCCCCAGAGGAGCTGGAAAAACAGTGTAAATAGATTGCTCAGGTTGCAGTGGTTGACAAATTTACAATTGACTATAAACCCTCTAAACTTGAGCATTTAAACTTTACATTTGACTTTTAACTTTTATCTTGAAGACAGAAAAAAAAACAAAAAACCTTTTTGGTCATTATAGTCATTACACTTAAATACTTGATTTTTATTTGCTGCATTTCAATAGTTAATTTAAAAATTGCAAAAATACTTTTGTACTCGTTTCTTTCCCACACCATTTTATTTCTATTATATAAACTTGTGCGTCATGTACACCATTTTGTAATTTCTTATCTGAATCATCATCATAATAAAGATAAATCTATCAGCACAAGTCAACTTTGCTTTGTAAAATCTTGTGTTTGATCCACCCTCTGATACTGATGGTGCTGAAGGTCTTACCACAGAGCATAGTGGTGGAGTCCACCAGACTGTGGATCCAGGCTGTTGTTGAATAATCTCTCTCAAAGTGCAGCTGAAACTCCACAAAGAAGATGGAGACACATCTGGATTCAAGGACAGGGAAGGCTGAAATTAGTGTGTTTATCACAAATAGATTTAGAAATTGTACTGTATATATCATATAGATAAATATTTATGTAAATTGAGTTCCTCATAAGGAACAAAAACAAGATCTCATCATCAAAACTTAAAAGTTTAGTGATAAAATGCAGTCACTTGCAGGCTCTGAAGACAAAATCCTCTGCCTGATACACATGATGAAGTCTCTTGTTTGTATTGAGTGTAAGAGGGTGGATAACAGGGGCTTCAAGCTCCTCAAACAGAACTTATTTTAGAGAAGAAATGTATCTCATGCAAAGACAAACTGCTCTTTACAGCCTTTTAAAGTCTGTTTCATTTGGTTTACAACACCTGACTCTATATGTTTCACATTTAAAGCCTCAACATCAAAGATAGGATTAGAGATTAAAACCTGATTGTGGTCAAAATGATCATGCATCTTAGCGTAAGTCGATATAAATCTTTAAAAAAAAAACACTGTCAGGTGACTTGGATCTTAAAACCCGAAGAGGAATACCGTCATTACAAAAGGAAAGGAAAAGTTAAGGATGGATGTTCATAAAGATTTATCAGTTTATGGCTGTCATTCATGTACAACAGTCTAAGAGCTTTGTCCTGTCTGACCTTTATTTTTATGAATACATTATGTAATAAAGACCAGGTTACACCCTGGTTTTTAAAGGCATCCAAGTAGAGCTGTTAAGTCAGCTGAGGTATAAAAAAAATCTCTGGTAATGGTCCAGTTTCTCCCTCCTGATACTAAATCAAATACCAAGACTTAAGGATCAGCGGAGACCAAAACTGAACACATATTTTCATTATCGCTCATTTTTAGTTGCTTTGACGAACATGAAAAAGGCTCAGATAACAGGAACTTCTTCATACCAGTTAGAATTGAACTTTTTATGATTTGTTAAAAATAGAATGGAAAAAAAAACTTTCAAAGTTTTAGTTAAACAAAGTGTTTATAAAGACCAAAACTAATTTAACATCTACCGACACGTATGTTTTATACCTTTTATGTGTCCTACTGTAGAATCCAGATCTTAACAAGAGGAGTCAGAATTTCATCACCTCTATAAGACTTACTGATCTTTCAAAAGAGATTTCCCCATAATCACAAAAAATATATAATAATAATAATAATAATAATAATAATAATAATAATAATAATAATAATAATAATAATAATAATATGAAGAAGAAGAAGAAGAAAACTCCCTCCTATCTGCACCAGCGCAATTTTATTTATGGGAGCAACAGCTAATCTGTGTGATTACTGGGGCAATCTGTCAATGATGCTATTTTCTTTTCTTGCAAACTCAAACGGGTGAAATTAAGCAATTACACTCTAACTGGTATGTATTAACCTGGTCACAGCCCGGATGCAGATCATGGCAAGAAAACATCCAGCAACTATCATCCAACCCCAGCCTCCTTCTGGTGGGGTTGTGTCCTCTAGTGCCTTCTCCTTTCTCTCCAGCTTCTCCTCGATGACGGCCATTGCTCCAGCTATTCAGGGGGGTAGATTGACATCAGTCGGAGGTCACTTTACTCCTCTGGGTTTTTCTTTTGGCTGTGAAGGGAGGGTGAGATTTCAATTGGTGGGCTAGAGTTAAAGACAACAAAGTCAAAGATCCTAAAAATGTAAAAAGATTTTTCTTTCTCCTCATAGGTTCTGTACTCACTCTGATTCCTTTATTAGAGCATTAATAGCAAAACATTTATAAGAAAATGTGTGGTTTGCTCACAAAACAGCACGTTTTTTACTGCTTCACTCCAAAACTGAATTGGATGTAACTGATGTAAAAAATGAACCAACTTAAAAAAAGTGTGGACTCAATGTTTTTATCAGAAATCGTGAAACACCTCCTATAAAGCCTGGTTTGGTGTTTACGGAGCCAACAGTAGGTTCTGTTTGTTTGCATTTGATTCTCATACCTGGAGGCAAAGCTCCACTCTCTCAGTCCATCCCCCCAATATGTGTGTGAATCACCTTCAGTTGTAAACCAAAAACATGCAAAGCACTTTGAGTTACCATTTGAAAAGAACACGCCTGTGAATCCAGCTGAGCCGCTTTGCATCTCACTTGGTCTGACGAGAACCAATAGAAAGATGCCCAGCCATTGTTTTGTGTGTTTGTGTGTGAGTGTGTGTTGATAAGAAGGCTAGGTAGGGCAGCGACCTCAGTGACATGGAAGCAAACTTTAACTGTGAGAACATAAAGCAATAAAAGATACGCCAACACAGTAAGCTGTTGAAGCTGTTATTGAGCACGGCGCTGGTGCTCAGAGAACTTTTCTCGTACCACCAAGCTGAAAAGTTTACAAGTGTGTGTTTGTGTTTACAGACAGCAAGTCGCAAAAGGAAATTGTCTCCCTGCTACAAAGTAAACAAGCAGAGAAGTGAGAAAGCAGACTGGATTTTACATATTCACTGACAAAAAAAGAGTTCATTAAATTTAATCAAGTCTTGTCCAAAGTATAATTTTACAGTATATTTTACAGTCTTGTCCAAGTATACTTTTTGCAGGGAGATGCTCCTTTTTAGCCTGTCAACTGAGAGATGGAACAATGAATCAAACCCATCACTATTTATCTATTCTGGACCTACAAAGTTTGCAAAAAAGTCAAGTCTCACACTAGTTAAAAAAATAATATATTAACTTATACATTAGGGCACAGAGATTGCATACAGACATCAATACTGGAGAGAAAAGCTTGAAAAATGAAGTTATCTTTAGTGTAAGTTTAAGAAAAAATGCTAATAAAGTTATACCTACTTAAGCTCCTGTCTCTGCTCCTCCATGTGTCTGAGGAACCACACAACAAAAGGATCAGAGTTCCTGCAGTCTGTACTGCATCAGACCTAGCAGGTACTGCATCTCCATTGAGCTGCAAACTAAAGACAAGGGGGTTGGAGGAGAGGGAGGGAAGGAGGGAGGGAGGGAGGAGGCACAAAAGTCTAGAAAACTCCCACTAAGACTTCAGGGGTGTCCCCCTCTGTCTCTGTAGCCCTGTTCTTTCTTTATTGCTGCATTATATAACAGTGATGTTGTAGTCTGGTGATATGAATTTAAAATGATTTTATCTTTTGTAGTAAAGATAAGATTACTCCAGCCCTATATAAAATGGCCACAAAGTTTAGAGTTGTTCTGCTGGATCTGTTGATCCAGCATTCATTTTAAAGGGTTATGGTATTGTTTCCCACTATCTTAGTGGAGTGGTTTTGAGCTCCAAAATTGATAAAACACAGCAAAACTTTTTACATGTGAAGAATAGAAATAACTGGATAAGATGCAGAGGTTATTTTATTTTTAAATGTATTTGTTTTATTACACAAGGTTGATCCAAAGGCATTGTTTCAACCCAAGTGGTATGATCTAGGCTATACGAGCTTCATATGAGTTAGTTACTACTGGGATTTGAAATCAGTATCTACGGCTTGCAAGACATCAGTGCTCCCCTTGATGCTGAAGTGACAGTGTGTAAGATTGACTTGTTGTGAATCATCTGATCTGCGGGAGATTATTGTGATTCAAAACACTCCTACTCAGTACTCGGTACTCCACTGATAGAACCTGAGACATTTGTACTCTTAATGAAAAGGCCTGTGCAAGAGTTCAAATTCACTGCCTGTGCCATCAGTGCTTACCCCACAATAACGCATGCAGGGATTTCTGGTTCATATCTATTAAATTTCCAGTATATTACAGTGGGCTGAATTCTCTCTCTCTCTTTCTTTCTCTCTCTCTCTCTATATATATATATATATATATACAAACACACACTCATGCACATATTGAGTACTCATGCTGATTTGAAGCAAAAAGTTTCTTCATGTTTCCACTTTTCTGATTTCACTTCAACTTTTTTCTTGCATGGTTTGCTGTCTTTCATCAGTTTTCTCCATCTGTTTTGTTTCTGTATTATTGTCCATCAAATTGCCCGCAGACGGAAGCGTATTGCAATCACCAAAAAAAAGCAGCTTTGTTTTTCAGAGTAATTTTTAATGTTGTGTTCTTCCGACTATTTGTTTTCTGTTTTTCAGAATTTTTTTTTTTTGCTTTTCAGACTATTCTTTTTTCTGTTTTTTGTAATATTTTTCCCCTGTTTTGCGGACTGATTTTCCCTTTTACAGACTTAAAAAAAAAAAAAAAAACAGTTGTACTCTTGTCTGCTGTGTGAATAAAGGCGCATTCAGATTTTATGTCATTCAGTTTTAGTTTAATTCCTTTTTAGAAAAAAAAAATCTCTTCACTTCAGTACATACAGATTGCACAGGGCAGGGAGACATTTTTCAGTACATTTTTTTTTTTCATTTTAATCCTTTCTGTTTTAGAACTGGATCTTAAAGCCGTAGCAGCAGCAGAACTGACGCCAACAACCAGCACTGGGCTTCCCAAAACGATCACATCTGAATCTGGATCATGGATGAGCCGACGTGAATAACTGGCACTGAAATCTCGCAGACAAAGAACAGGCACCTGGACTGTGGCCACAAAGAGCAACAAGACAGTGTAAACACTTCTATGTGAAGAAAAACGGTGTATTTTAACTTCACCATGTTCCCCCTGTTAGTTCTTATCACCATGAAAAGTATGTATGACCCTTTTGGGAAGGTTACTTCTTAATCAAAGTCAAAAGAGTCTGAATTTAACATTAAATAATAATAAATGTAAAGTTATTGATTGGGACGTTTAATACATGTGGGCTCACAACGATGCCGAAAAGATTACAAAACCAGATTTCTGGTCCCTACAAGGAAAACGTTGTCATATACAACAATCAGGCTAAACCACACTCTTAAAAGTATTAGCTAACACGATTTATGACCACTCTGATAAGGTTGTCGATACAGGTGATAAGGCTGCAGGGGAAAGTGTCTTGTGTCTGCGTCAGGATTTTAAAACAAAGTGCCGAGTCATGTTTGGGAAACCCGGCCCTGAACAGTTGAAACAATGTTATCAACAGACAGATTGCTGGTGTAGAATATATCATATTAATATTATTATTATTTACAAAATTTCTGTACAGTCAAATACACAAGGAGAAGAAAAGGTTTGTCCTGCAGGTCAAGCTTACCAGCAGACAGTTTTAAGGCTGGATGTGTCATGCAACAGGATGGTGGACCAGATTAAGAACCTTCATGGATATCCTCAATGGTTCAGTGAAACTTCAGGAGCAAAAGGTCTGGAGGCCATGCAGCTGGTACGCAACATTTTATGATCATCACAGAGGTCCAACCTGTTTCTGACAGTATCTTAACGTAAGCACTTTTCTGTATGTGTCATTATTAATGGTGCCACAGTATATATCCATTAGGTATCACTGAAATCAAAAGTCAAGTGTGCCCATTATGGTGCATAATTTGGCCTTTAACATCCAGTTGCAAACACCCACCTTTAACAAAGTTAATAAGTAAATCAGCAGGACAAACATCTGGAGGAGAAACTCTCTCCATCAAGATTAAAACAGGATATCTTAGTGGGAAAATTTTTTTTTACAGGGTTGCATATTCTTTTCAAAAACATTTACAAACAAGTTAAACGCTGGGAGCTGTAGAGAAGAGGTGAGTTTGTAGACAAAGAGATCCATGGATGAGTTACTGCATAGCCTGTTGGTTCGAGTTCATTGTGGATGAAGAAACACTTGCCATCATGTCTTTACTTGATCGGGAAACACGCACTGATCAGTACAGGGACCTAAAACTGCGACTCAGTCACTGAAATGAGCAAATTGTGTCTTTATACTGACTGTGTTCCAGTTAAATGTGAGACAAACACTTTCTGAAGGACAAAATGTCCACCATTGTATACTGGAAATGTGATACTGGTTTGAATGGTAGTATCATGAGTGCTGCGGAAAACACTTATAATGCAGAAGTGAGATTACTGAGGTCCACAACTACTTTAAGTATTTAAACTCATTATAATCCAACGACAGTCTGTAAACTGAACAGTTTCAATTCTATTGTTGATATTGGGATATACAGGTATTCTTCAACAACACTTGATCTGTATTTGAGGACCTGGAATCATTTTCAAATGCTCCCACGAATGTCTTCATTCATCTAATATTAGTACAGCACTGACACCAGGACTGAGGAACATCATCAACAGTTGTACAATGTCATTGCTCGGTTAAATACCCCAACTCCAAGTGTTTACCTGCTCGAAACATTAAGGTTTAGGTGATAATGATTACTGGTGTTTGAGAAGTTCAACTTGCAGTGAGGCTCTCATCCTTGTCTTTTAGTGCTGCACAGTGTCTTCAGCCTGACAGAGAATGAATGCAGGGAATCACATTTTTGCAAACAATCACACTGGTTCTTTTGTGCCAACCAAAAAAAAAAAAAGAGAAAAAGAAAAAACAAACCAACAATATTCTGTACAACAATATTTTCAAGATCACATGAAAGATTAACTTACTGCAGTTAGTTAGTACTACTGGCCACAAGACAAGGAGGACAAAAGAACAAAAAAGACGTACAGTTTTATGACACTGTTCCCCCACAAAAAAAAACAAAACAAAATTAACAAAAAAAAAAATCTTAATGTGAACAACTCCCCCTGTTCTAGTCCCCATAATTCATTTATGACTAAAACTACCCTAAGATAGTTGTTACTGTAAGAGTGGTGGGATTCCTCTATCTATAGTGTTCCCACACATGGTACTTGCAATTGAGTTGTGAATGTTGAACTTGCTTAAGTAAAAAATAAAACTACAAAAAACTGTTAGCATGTGTTAGCTGTAGTCTTTGAAGTATCACATTAAACACCAAAAACATAAAACAAATAAACAACACAAAATGAGAGTGAACAAAGATGGATCTGCACAAGGTGAGAAAGACTGAAGGACACAAACACGGTGAAACCAGGAAAACAAACAGTAAAGGCAACTGGCAGGAGGTTCAAGTCGAGTGGCACCTGACTGCACGAGGCCACTTTTACCATCCAAACATGCGTTGGAACAAGGCAAAATAAAAGTAAAAGAGAAAAAGCACTCAAAAGGATCATTTGCACAGTAATCAAATCTGATAAATAAACTGGAAAAAGCGGATTGATGATTTGGTGTTTTTAGAGACAGTGGTGGCAAAACAACAAAACATGCATTCATTACTTCTCCAGTTTTACTCGTAACACAGGTGTAACTACTGGCATTCTAACTATTGAATCTGATAGGTAGTTCATTTACTCTGTTGCACTGAATGTAGTAAAAATAAAAAAATGCAAGCGCCTTGCTTCTATTTATATTCTATACTACAGAAAGTGTGTCTGTGCGACTCTGACTCAAAATGGTTTTGTTATATTCAAATATAATTGTATTATAATGGCAAATGATTTAGATGTTACTGTCAGTGGTTGAGAGAAACATATCTGCCTAAAACCACCTCCTTAAAATAATGTGCCCTAAATCCACTTCCCTATGTACCTCTCAGCAAATTCATTTAATCAAAACAAAAACAGCAAATATGCTAACTGGTATTCAAAAAAAAAGAGATTCTGTCCAGACAAAAGTTAGATGGGTTCATATTAACCTGTAGGTAATGTAAAAAAATACTTGTAGATGTGGCTCAGAGACACAAAAACTAACCATAATGAGTGAGTGGGTATTTATGATTTGTAGGTATTTTCAAAGACAGTCAGTCTAAAATAAATAAAAACAAACAAACAAACAAAAAAGCTGCAAGATAAAGGTAAACAAAAGTAAATGTGAATGGGAAAAGGAAAGAGCACAGTTTCTCTGCAGAGCAGTAAAGGCATGTAGACAGTGGTGCAGCAGACAGTAGAGAGACTGCACTTTCAATCTACAGAATATACTTCAGCTGCTTTGACATTAATCTGAGATGAAAGGCTGTAAAGGTCCAGGTGGGGGTGGTGAGGGGCACAACAGTGATGGTGTAATGATAAAATTTCAACCAAAGCTTTGCCAACCTTGACCCATGATGGCCCACTGAATTACAAAAAAAAAAAAAACGTCTACTGTGAGGGTTAAACTTTTTTTTCCAGGATTAATACTTGGTAGATACCAATCAAGCTAGAAACCACAGACTGTATATACTAAGGACAACTTGGCTCCGCTTTGCATCATTATACGAATTTGAAGCCACATTGCTCTTGGCATTTCCAGGATTTACTCCACTTCCAAAACCAACATTGCGCAGTGGCGTTGTGAGCTCTCCACTACTTGTGCACTATCGTCGTACGCATTCGGCGGGAGAGTCGCTGTGATGACGCTCGGCTCAAACAGTGTACCCCCCGGGTGAGCTACATAAACTTCATACTCCCATAGGCTGTGTCAAGTGTCAATCATAGAAAACATGAACCCCCTAATAACTTTTAAAAATAGAGCTGCACAGAAAAAAAAGAGGACTTGAGCACAAACCAGTCTTACTGTAACTGCATGCCAACATCAGAAGCAGGGAGGAGAAAATTTTATATTCTGTGTGATGAAATTTCTAAAATTTGTCCACAGCTCCATAGGGATTGTTGGAGGAGGGGGGAAATATGACCTATACTGCAGCCTGTCACTAGAGGGTGCTGTTCTCACAGTGGCTTCACCTGGGAAGGGGACAAATGGCATCCATTCTATATACAGTCTATGGTAGAAACCCGCAGAGTGGGTTGTATTTACTTTTTTTTTTTTTTTTTTCATGCGGTTTAGAGTGTAATCACATGATATCAGGACAAATTTCACCATGAGGTACATTGCTCCTTCTGGTACACATGAGAATAATAATAACCACGTTCATAATGATCAATGTCAACCTTAATTAGCCATCTTGGTCCCTGTTGCCCCCAAAATGGTGACACCAGTCTTCTACATTTGACATTAACAACAGGGTTGCTCAACATTGCTAATGCCAACTGGTTCACACGGCAGCATCAAAACAAGCCAGCAGGGTGGCAGTGAAGCGAGAGAGCAAAGGAAAAGTCTACCACCCTGCTCAGGTGTTACACGGCTGGACACTGACAGACAAAGAAGGGTGGGATTACAATGACACAAATCACAAGCCTGTCGACAGCAAAGAACAAAGCTGTCGTGGTCTCTGCAGGAAGACTTGGTCCCGTCACTAAGTCAGCAGGCTAGCTTGTTGTGCATATGTGGGCAATATGGTGTTGTCAATGTTGTTTAGTGTAGGCAAATAGAGGAGAGACAAACAAAAAGGCAAAAGGCCATGTGCAGTGGAGCAACAAGAAAAGTGAAAGCGTTATTTTCGTCTCTAATCAGAGCTAAGGTGGCAGGGGTTCTACAAATCACAACAGGATTTGGCTTCAGTGCACTCCACAAAGACTGCAGCAATGTGGGCAACTTCTTGTGCGACAAAATGCCTCCTCAACCCAAACTATTTCTATGAATGTTCTCCTGCTGCAGCTTGAAGGTCAGCAACCACTTACAGAGGCCCTGGTCAAAATGACAGATTCTACAGTTACAACCCCAATTTGCAGATGTCCTAACAATTAGTCCTCCAGGCACCACAGTCTCCGTAATGCTACAGTAGCTATTCACAAAAACTCACACAATAACAAAACAAAACAAAACAGTCAAATCCTCTGCTTCATGACACCAGCCCCATCACAGGAGTCAACAGAAGCGATCACAGGAAACCATAAATTAAAGATTACAATATTAAACCTCTATGATAGGAAGGAGCTCTGGGGAATTTAGGAGATGAGTGACAGAGGTTATTACTATTTACAAGAGTTAAATTATTAAAATGGCTTTTCTCAGTTTCTGTGTCCGTCAGTTTTCTGTGTTCCTCTAGAGGCCCGGCGTGAACGGGACCTTTCAGCAGCGTCAAAGGGTTGAAGACGTCACAGCATTGCAAGTCGATGACATCACAGCGTACAGGGGTCGGATGACATCATTATGTATAGAGCTGATGTCCCGGGTCAGGACAACCTTCATGGGTCTTCTGTTGTCTTGAGCAACTCCATCAGCGCCCCGACAGCCCCAAAATACCCCTGATGAAACACGCACACACTTTATAAAGATCATATATTCCTTAAGCTTTTATGTAGCTTTAGGGAATCCAAACTTTCAGATTTCTCAAATGTGTTGGGCGGTTCGAATGCTCACCTCATGTTCTAGGAAAAGGGCCCTCAGTTGTCCTTTAGACCAGAAGTCCATGGCGTACGCTAGCAGCTTTGTGGATACTGTGTTGATGCGAAGAAAGTTCCCGACAAACACCACACGCTCAATTTTCTGACAGAAGAAGAGGGACAAAGAAAATGTTAGATCAAAAGAGTTGCATAATTTGAGCTACAGTTTAATATTTCTTTGCACTCGGGCAATGAAACACAGATATATACAGTACAGGCCAAAAGTTTGGACACACCTTCTCATTCAATGCATTTTCTTTATTCTCATTACTATTTAAATCGTAGATTCTCAGTGAAAGCATCAAAATGATGAATGAACACATGTGGACTCATGTGCTCAAGAAAAAAGTGTGAAATAACTGAAAACATGTTTTATATTTTAGATTCCTCAAAGTAGCCACCCTTTGCTTTTTTGATAGCGCTGCAAACTTTTGCTGTTCTCTCAATGAGCTTCATGAGGTAGTCACCTGAAATGGTTTTTACTTCACAGGTGTGCCTTGTCTGGGTTACTTACAGAGTCAGTCAATAAGTACTTCTGTCATCAAGAGCAAAGGGTGGCTATTTTAAAGAAACTAGAATATAAACAATTTTTTAAAAAGTACAAAATCCCACGTGTTCACTCATAGTTTTGATGCCTTCAATGAGAATCTACAACGTAAAAAAAAATAAAGAAAAGACATTGAATGAGAAGGTGTGTCCAAACTTTTGGCCTGTACTGTATATATTCATATTTGTTTTGTTAATTTCATGTTTTTCTTTCTCTCCTCACTACAAGACAAGATTTTGCAACACTAGTGACATCACGTTTCTATAATGTAAATACAGTAAATGCCTCTTTTCTATACTGTTGAAAGATGTCTTTATCTACCCTTAGGCACACAATGAATTAAAAAATGACATGTTAGTCATTTATTATCATACTTGATGAGATCATAAGCTGAGGCAAATTGTAATACCTCACCCAAACCACACAGTGGTGCTGGCAAGCTGATTTACTGTTCACCACTCAGCCTCCTGGTCTGCTGACAACTGACTGTGTATGTATTCAGTGTATAGTGTTAATGATGTTAACAGCAGCTTATTTGAATGTTAACAAGACAAAATAAATCCTGTTTAACCTAAAAGCGGTGCCCATGACCCTGCTATCATCAATAACTGCGATTGAACAGCTGTGTTCAGACAAATATCAAGGCGTACAAGTAAACACCAAATCACCCTGGCCTGCTTGAGTGGAAACCTTAAAACAGAATCTAACAAACGTGTTAAAAAGCAGCAATGAAAGTAAAAGGAAACAGCTCCCCCTGCAGTCCATTTATGAAGGGCTGTTTGTCAGATTTGGACATAAAATCTCATGAGATAGCTCACAAACATGAACTATGACCTTCAGGCAGACGTAAGAGAGCAACAGATTGAAGCTGCTGAACAACCAAGCCGCAGAACTTCAGCGCGATCCAGTGTTTCTTATGTAACACTTTTCTTTTTATACATCTCCTTTTTGCCTTAATTTTTTTAAACATTATTCTGCATATTTATGGACTTTGTTGCCAATATCTGCGTTTGATTGTTTGATTCATGTCACACCAAGTTGCACAAACATGTTTCTTGCACTACTTCTCAAAACAGATTTTCTAACAGGAACGACAAAGTACATTTTATCTCCTCTTATCTTCTCTTATCTTCCTGTTCTATATTTTTTACACACTGCCATTGATATTCGTCAAGCACTTCACCTTAATCATGCCTTTAACGTGTTTTTAATTGTAAATAATTGATCTATTTTGTCTTGCTGCTTATCTAAAGCCCTTGCTGCAGGTAGGGGCACTTCAGCCACAGTAACAAATTCCTGCTATCAGCTCACCAGCTGAGTAACCTCTCAAAGTTAGAAAGTATATGACATATAATTCTTCATATCACCTCTTTGGTTTCACAAAGTGGCAAAATTGTTAGCAGATGGATTTGTGACAATATGGTCAACTGGGTGAGTGTTGTACAACATTAAAAAAGCTTTGGGTCTCTGCTGTGAAGATGATGATTGTTGGGATACATCTTCATGCTCTTAACTTTGTTGTGTAATATCATAATTGTCAGTGTGAACTTAGGACAAAGCGATGGTGTTTGTTTTTGCAACATGTGTTTGTGTTAAGGCCTTGCCTTGTCAGTGCAATGATGTCATTACATAATAAACAAATACATGACTTATAAATATGTTAGAAGTCCGTTTGAAGGATGCCAGTGTTTTTTAATCTGTTCATTTGTTTAACCACTCTTTGGTGTCTCTGATATAATTTTTCAACTCACCATGATTTCCCTACATAGCAAGTTTGGTTTGTTGGGCCACTTGGTTTGATGTCTTTCAGATTTTGGCTTCTGCCCTCTATTCCTCAGTAATAGTTTTCCTCATAGCAGCTGAGATAATATAAAACCAGACTGGCTGATAAGGTTGTCATACAAATGCATTCATATTAGCCCTAAACCCCTCTTTTGGTGGATGTGTGAACATAAGCTGCAGCTCTGTATGCAGTGATAGCCCTGTACAATGCTGCTTGATCGCCATGCCACAAGGCAACACTGTAAAGAAGCCCACAGCAGACAGAAAGACTCCAGGCTGATCCCTCGCCTGATCCCAGAGGAAAACCTTTCAGATTGAGCTTTAGCAGATCACCACTATTTGTGCCTTTAAACGATTTACTAAACTTTAGATTGACCCGTATTTCTGCTATTTTCTGTTGTTTTACGGTAACCCAAACTGGCCAACTGGACAGGTTTTTGGAACTTTTATGAAGCTCTGATCACTAAGTTTTAAGTTACATTTCCATGTATGCTCCTAACATTCCCAACATCAAATTCAATGTTCCTTAGCTATATCACTTGTTGAACAAAAAAATAGAAAAAAATAGAAAAAAAAATGTTTGGTTGTGAATTAGAGGAATATGAATTATTGTGTTTTTAACAATAAGAATGTATTTTAAGTTGTGCTCATTTGACACAAACCTTTCTGCTCTGTGATAAGCTGGGACCAGCAAAGCCATAGTCAGCCTCGATTAGGTGGTCCAGGACTGGGGACTAGGACATATTGTCCGTCAGTTCTCTTAGAACTGCTTGATACTGATTTATAGTGTCACTGAATTTATGGTTCAATGATGGTCACGGATGGTCACTTTTACTCTTGATTGGCTCATTTCTTGTGATGTGTAACCAATCAGATACCACTATAGGTGGGACATTGCGCAAGACCAGTGAATCTAAGTATAGCTTCATAGAGAGAGACAGTAAACAGAAAGAAACAGAGCAGCAGGTAATTCTATAGACACGATTCTTCAATTTGGACTCTAAAACGGCTCATACTGAAACAAAATAGCACATCGCCGGAGAAATTTAAGCCCTGATAATAGTTAGATTCATGGTTGATCTTGTTTGTAGTTCAAAGGTGTGCTACCATAGACTGTTTATAGAATGGACGCGGTCTGCGTCCTTGCTAGGTAAAGCCACTCCGAGAACAGCACCCTCTGTTGACGGCCTGCAGTATAGATCATAAATCCCGCCTCCGCCAGCAAAGCTTATGGAGATGTGGACAAACTTGAGAAATTTATAAAACAAAACATACATTTTTTCCCCCTTGCTTGCGGTGTTGACATGTAGTTACAGTAAGACTGGTTTGTGCTCAAGTCCTCTTTTTTCTGTGAAGCTCCGTTTTTAAAAGTTATTAGAGGGTTCATGTTTTGTTTGATTGACACCTGATACAGCCTATTGGCGTTCAGGGATTGCATAGCTCACCCGGGGATACGCTGTTTGAGCCGAGCGTCGTCACAGCGACTCTTGACGACTCTCTCGCCGAATGTGCGCATCGCTACTGCGCAGTGCCGGTTTCAGGAAATGAAGAAAAATCGTGGAAATGCCGAGAGCTATTTGGTTTCAAATCCTTACTCAGGTGGGAGGCGGAATTAAGTTGTCCATAGTATAAACAGTCTATGTGTGCTATAAAGATTTCACAGAGACCTCTTCCTTTTTATAAAACAGGCTTTAAACTAAACAATATTAGGCTGAAGGTATACAGTAAATTTAACAGTGACACTCTTGTCGATAGACTGTGTGAGCGGTTTAGCTGCGGGGGGGTACCCTGGTCTTAATGATACTGTATATCCATGGTTGTTTACGTGTTTCAATATTCAAAGCTACAGCTTTTCAGCACCATTTGGTGGGAGGGGCTTATCTGAGAGAACTTATTATCACTTGGGTTTTTGGTATAAACCCAATGTCAATGTTGTTCATACTATGGTTGATGAGGACAGACCAGGATTCTTTGTGTTTGTTCGCGTATGTTTGTGTCAATGTGCATACCTCATTGACAGCACACATCCGTGCTATGGATCCTATGTTGTTAGTGATGGTGACCAGTGTGGCCCTGGCCAGGTCTTCCTTGCTGATGCTGTCTCGCTTCTCTTTGCTCATCATGTGACCAAAACTAAAAAAAAAAAAGGAAAAGCGACAAACAAATTAACAAACAAAAACATGTGCACACACATTGTGACAGTTCCTCTACAGGTATTATTGAAGTTCAATGACCTCTTATCAAATTAAAGGATAAAAGATAAGCGTGCACAGCACAGGACTCGCACCTGGGCTAATGTCACAATAACCTTCACAGCAACAGTAAACAAGTACCGCTAATCAATGACCATGTGTGTTTGTGTGTATTTGTGTGTTTTGTTTCTCCAAATGACAGAATAGAACACCATGGTATTAAAGAAGTGTTCATGAACTACCAACGTAATAAAATACTTTCTTTAAGGTTTAACCTTTGAACATGGAGCTGCAGATTTACTGTATACACAATAAACCCAGATTAGCAAGTAGAGGTCTAAGCAAGCCACTTGGTCTGTGTCTGAACTTTGCCTTTACAAGCATTTAACTATTATGTCATGACACTGTTTTTCTGGAACATGTGTTTTGTTTCTGTTGCTATTGTGTTGCATCTACAGCCTCTCTCTTGACTGTCCTCTGTCTTCAATCACCTGAAGGAGAGGGAGTTTAGCTTTTAACAGCTTGAGTTCAATTCTTCTGAATATAATGACACAGATAGTATCATCGATCAATTATGTGATTGAAATCAGACAAAAACTCAATCGTGTGTAACTCTCTACTCCTAAAATGTGTTATGTCACAGCTAGGACTTGATCGTGATAAATTTCAGTTCGAGCACAGTGATCAGCTGTGAGCATATTTACTTCATCGAACATAGTGGAAAAGTGCGTGACAACAGCCAATCAGAGTTGAGCCTTTCCTGCTCACTTTTGTAAGTTGCTGGAGAAGTAAACAGAATGACCAAACGTGGAGCTAAATGTGGAGCTGAGGGCAGCACCTTCAAAAACCAGCAACACAACAGATCTGTTTAATCATTTGAAGACGTACTTCCCGAATGATTAAGCGGAAAGCATGAAAATGTGAGCGGAGTCTGCACAGTCTGTCACTGCTGATGGCATGAGTAGCATCAGCAGTTTAACCACAACTCGCAGTGCAGACACCAGACAAAAGCAGCGATCAATCGTATCATCTACGTTTACATCATCTAATGTTTACATTTTAAGGAGTCTTCATTATCCCTGATTTGTTCATTTTGGGTATTGTAGACCTGCAAAAACACCCAGGACTGTAAACTGGTTCACTGTATTATTAAATATTTATCTACATTTGTTGTACTGTTGAGTTAAAATGGTTTTTATATTTTTTTAAGTTTATTTTATTCAGTATGCTTTGTTATTTACTTTGTATGTCAATAAAATGTTGATCTAATCTCTAGTTTCTTTAGTTTTTAGTACAGATGCCTTAAAACTGGCAGTTTGAAAAAATACAAAAAAAATTGTGATAATAATCGAGATCAGAGGATATGACCAAATTATTTCATTTTTTTTGCCAAATCGCCCAGTTCTACTCACAGCTATTGAGTCTCACACTAATCACCCCTTCAGGCTGAAAAAATCTGGAAGTCCAAATCAATCCAGAGGAATCATGTCCAGTCAGAACTATCGCAACTTTTACACAACAACACCCTCATCACACTCACCTGGATGCCACAGCTGAGCCCTGCAGACCAAAGCGCTCATAGTCCCCTCCATAGATGTCTTTTACAAGTTTGTCCACATTGGTTGAGTCGCCCTTGCTGGCCATTTCCAATGCCTCCTCAAACGTCTCACAGCCGGTCAGCAGACAGCAAAGGCCCAGGAATGTACCACCTCCAAGACTGCAAGACAAAAAAAGAGGATGATGCCAGGGCAATGGTTAGGATTTGAAAATCAAGTAAAGAAAAGATGTCAAGGGTTCAAACAAATTAACACACAAATGCAATGTATCTGGATAGAAAGTTCCTTTGAAATACCTCAAATAATCTTAATGTACTCACAACAGAGTCCCCTCTCCCTGACCCTAACTCCTCTACAAGATTTGCATAAGCTTTCGATTACTAAGTAAACCTACAGGACAGTTTGAGTTTCATCATTAAGTAAAAGGAATAAACATCAAACATCAACACAAGACAAAGATCATGTAAATAGGATCCAAAACATTTAAACAAAGACTTTGCAAAAAAATTCAAACTCCATAAGATACCACGCACACAGTTACACATCCTCCCCCCCCTTGACTTGACCTCACACCCACAGCATCTAATGTTTTCCTCAACTAGAAGCAGTCTGGCAGATTAAATATAAACTCCACATGCACATGCAGGCATAAAAAAAAAGCAAACATCAGAAATATGATTTAGATGTAGAGAAAAAGGTATTCCTTTGCGTTATATTCTCTTTTTACATCTATTAAATCATAACTTTGACCTGACGTTGCATAACTAGGGCAAAAAAGGTACATAAGGTGAACTGAGATAAAGTCTGGCTGGAATTCAAACATCTGATTTGGACTTATCTGGTCGATCTATAGTGGCTATAAAAAGTGTTTAGTCACCTTCAACTTTTGCACATATTTCCCCATGCCAAACAACATTCAGTTAATCCTCATTGATTTAAGGCTGAGCGTAAATAAACACTTCCAGCTTTTCAGCTTTCTTGATTTAGAAAGTCTCTTTGGTCTCAACCAACGCTGAGGCAAACAACCCACAACATAGAGTCTATGTTAAATAGCTGTTTCCCTTCCCTTGACATGAACTTAAGTGCTCTTCAGAGAAGGAACCAGTGACATGGATCATCACTCTTTGCTAGAGCAGTTTGACAGCCTGATCAGCAGTAGGGAAAATTTATAAGATTTACCTTACTTTGTCATTTGGCTTCACACAAGATTCACTCATACGAAAAGGCTTGTTTGTCTTGAACCAAAGAGTGATTTAACCCTTGTGGACCGCTCAAAAATTACACCTCTTCATCCTGTTTTTGGATGTTTTTAGCCAACAACTTCAGCTGCCGTAAAAACATATCAGATAAAGAATTTTTTCAAAATTGTTTTGCTCAAACCTCTTCATTAATCTCAGTCCTTATCAAAACTATTTTTTTTTTAAATTGTTATGGATTTAAATCCTTTAAATGCCAATTTCAGAGGTGATGTCACTGATTTGGTGAGGGGGGAAAAAAAAGGATTTTCAATATAAAAAATGACAAGAGGGTAGAGATTTTTTACATGCTATCACACCCTTGGATACGTCAAAGATTAGTGACAACATTAGCTTTGATGCATTAACATTTTTTACACAGCATCGGATTTTAAGTTTTAATCCCTTTCGTCCTGTTAGTGGACGTTTTTTTGCCACTAACTTCAGCTGCTGGAAAATAAAAAAACATCTCAGATCAATATTATTTCTACTTTTTTTCTTCCGGTCCCCTTATGAAGCTCAGTCCTGGTAAAAACAATTAAATATTTTAAAAAGATATTAATTTTAACCCTTTAAATGCCACTGATGTCACTGATTTGGTGAGGAAAAAAACAAGCAATTTTCAATATAAAAAAAGATTGGAGATTTTTTATGTGGTATTACACCCTTGGATATGTTAAATATAAGTGACAACACTGGCTTTGATGGATAAATAAATAAATGATGGGACAATCAAGGGCCTCATTCAAATAATGCCATGTGTATGTCGTGTGTGTGTGTGTGGGGTCAACATGACATGAGTATCAAGGTCAGCAAAGGCCCATGGTACATTTTTGCACATCGATAATACTATTTTATGAAATTTGCTCTTCTTTATGCCTCAGAGTTTTTCTGCAGATTCCTGCTCACTATGATCTTCTATTGTACCAGGTCACAATACCTTCTGCAGGCCTTTACATCCATTCTTTTTATTTCTCAGCAAAAAGTTATTAAAGTCTATGACACACTATTCCCACATACGGACTTTATTTGACTCTTTTTCTAAAATGATCATTCTTTTCAGTGAATCTGTCCCATTAGGTTGTTCTTGTTGTTTTTAAGAAAAGGTGTGCTTCCTCCTCACCTGGTCCCTGTCACGCGTTTGTAGTTGTTCTCTGAGTATACTGCCAGGATGGAGACCCCAGAGCCTATGTTGACCAGCAGCATGGGGAAGGGGTTGTCCAGGGTGCAGGGCTTCTTCACGCAGCTCTGGGTGTCTGAAGGGTTCTGGAAGTAGTAACACTCTGGGTGTCCGTTGAAACTCACTCGGTCCACAAACAGCAGGCCACGGATCAGGCAATCGAGCTCATCAAGCTTCAGCAGCTCCAGGTCGGCCATCTGCACCAAGAACACAGATTCAAATTCTGAGAGGGCTCCATTTTGACTGCCGAACACTATTGGGGGGGATTTCAGAAAATCAAGATGATTAAAAGTAAATCACTCTCACACTCACTGGGAGCATTAATTTGTCCGTTTTATAAGCATGATTTATTAAAGCACCAGAGGGCTTATGTTCAAGTGTTGTGAAAGCTCAGTACACATGCTGCAGTGCTCAGAGAGAGCTCATTGATCGTACTGCACTGCAGAGAGGGTCAATGAACTTAGGCAGAAGAGCACCGGGACAGACAGCTGGGTTTTCAAATCAGTTAATAAAAAATAAAAAAACTCGTATGCAAAGACACAAACGCTGACATAAATTTGTAACACAATATAAGAATAGTTTTCTGTTTTCTTTCTTTTTTCCTTGGGAAAAAAATACTCCTAAGAAATTGAAGACATAATGAACATCATTAAACTATTAAACAAAAGTTACGGAAAAACCTGCGTAAAAGAGTTTTGCCATCTGGAACAATTGACGAGGAAACAGGCACGTCAAAGAAACCATCTGAAGTTTAACAGGAAAAAAAGAAAACTACTTCTAAGAAACTGAAGAGATAATGAACATCATTCAACTACAACATTAGAATGCAAAAAAGCCTTTGAAATTGTCACTGTGTATGTTTTGTCTTTATAGATGATTCTCAGGAATTCTGAGCCTGATCAGTTTCCCCTTTACATCTTGAAGAATGACACAATAACAAGATCCAATCTTTCCGCCCAATGATGGAGGAAAATAACTGTTATTGTATCAGTTAGGTGAATACACTTACTGTTCTGAAGTCATTCTCAAACTTGTACGCGCCACCTCCTGTGGCACAAAGTGTTGTGTGCAGGCTGGAGAAGTTCTTGTCCCGGCCCATCTGGATAAAACGAGGCATGGCCTGTGTTGGAAAGCGGATGAAGTGCAGGTTGCCTGTCCTGCCACACATGGTTAGGTTCCTCAGCTCCAGGTGGACATCGCGGACACCTGTTTTACCTGTGTGTAGATTCAAGAATTGACAGTATGTTTTGATACAAGTTGTGGTTCATCTGGGTACCCAAAGGAAAAAATCAGGTCAGTCTCTTTGTTTATGGTACTGCTGTTTAACTTCAGAACTTCAGGGGTCAAGGATATGATTTCAACCAAACCTAACGTCAAAAAACAACTCTGGAAAAACACCTTATCAGTCTTATGTAATACATGAGAACTGTAAAATAGATGCTAGTATCTTCTGGTAAGTGCCCTTTGTTCATAACTACCCTCCCTGTTACTACATATGAATGTCTCTGTGTGTGTGCGCATGTCTGTGTTTACCTACCATAGGCAACGTTTGAGGTGAGGTAGCGGCGGATTGACTTGAGGTTTTCCACTTCTTCCTGTTCTTCTTCTGCTGTTATGTCGACTGGCTCGAAGTATACCAACTTCACTAAAGTGCCGCCAATGTCCATACCAAACCAGGGAAAGGCTGGAAAGGAGAACACAAAAAAACATATTCACTAAATAAACGTATCCACTGTTCTTACTGTATCATGTACAGACTGGTCTGATGTGGCTGCCCACTTCAAAATGAATCGTGAAGCGTAACAACAAAGTTTGATGTCACAAATGTTTTTGACATGTTACAAATATGAAGGTACACTGATGCACGTTATAATGACTTCGTTATCCTTGGTATTACTAAGCATAAAAGAATAACGAATATAGAAAAACATCTTAAAACATATATTTTTTTGGAAGGTTAGGGTTTAGGGCTTTTTGTAACCCTTTTTTCTGCAATCATGACCAACAAGAATGCTCTATTTTTGTTCTACAACAAGGAACATTTCCCTTCAAAGCGCCACACCACCTCTCCACCTAAATATATAAAATCTGAAACAAGAACCTAGGATGATGTCCATAGATGTCTTTGTTTCCAGGAAAGGCAAAACTAGAGCAGAGAGTATTTGTTTTTGAAGGGTGACTATTAAATACAACTATTTCATTGTTGGCTCCATTTTGTCAAGTGTTAGCAAAATAAATATCTTGGGGTTTTAATAAACAGATATGACATATTTGAATATTCCAATGACTCTGGCTAATTGTAATTGATGTTTTTGAGCACTTTAGTAACCAAAGTTCACCCATTAACACCTTAGTGATGTAAAAATCCAACATGTGCCAAATACATGCTGAGCAGACCAGTGCTCTGCATGAAACCGCTGCATTAGGGTGGCATTGAGTGGTTCAGCTCGGTGCACAGAGGATGGTAGAGGAAATAGTTAGGAGGAACACTGGGTTCTGCACAGGAAAAAAAAATCTTCCAGCACAACCGGCTAGAGGGAAAAAAACAAGACAGCTCAACGAGAGCCACAGTTGCCGTGGAAACAGACACCCCCCATCATTTCTGCCTCTGACACACTCCTCAGCCTCCTATTTTCTCTTCCACTCTGTGTTTCCTCTCCATCTCTCTGCATCCATCACATTCTCATACACACAATCCATCTTTCTTTCTCCTTCCGTCTCCATCTCCACCTCTCTGGCCACTCCAACCACATCAGCCTCTGCCATTTTGTTTCTTCCTCCTTCACATCTTATTTGTCCTTTGCTTGATCCCTTAGTTCCTGTTTTTCCATGCTAATTCTCTCACAGGCTCATCTGACCATGTCTTTACATCATACTTCTTAGTTCTGAGTAAGATTTACTGGCATAAATAGAAAGAACTGATACTGAAGGGGATTTTTATAGCACTATTAACAGCTCCAACGTACTAATAAGATCCACAACTTTCCTTCATTTGACTTAACCAGTATGATAGTTTACTGGCAATTAGCAATTAACTGTACTAATCCAGGAATGCTTAATTAATTTTTCCAATGCCAAAAATTATAAACATCTCAATTTCTACCCTCCAACAGGAGAAAAGGGACAATGCAAGAGAGGTTTTTAAAAAAGGACATGAGTGAAAAGTGTTTCATTTTTACCTCACAGTTAGTCTGCTGTAACTTTATTTGAGAATTTATGTCTATGTCTCTGCTCCATGATGATGAAGTATGCAAATATTCTATACTGTTCAATATATGTAAAATGTTATGACAGAATATTGGTATATGAAATCAATTACAAAAAAAAAAACATCTAAATTTTTTTCTCCATCACTGTTAAAAGTCATCATATCTTTTTTCTTTACAGTGCTATTAGTTTTTAAAATGATCAATTTTAACAGTGAAAAATACCGATACCACGTTTACTGTCACAATACTGACAACGGTGGAGGTTTACATGGTTCTGTCTGAATATGTGGGGCCAATTCCTGTCCAGGTGCTCGTGTTACTTCAATAAGTTAAAAGGATATTCTGGTGTAAAATCAATTCAGGGTCAAACACACTGTAACACCGAGTTGGACACCCCCTTGAAGAGATGAATGTTGCCAACTGCTTGCTTCTCCAGTTATACCAACTTTAGTAACGACTGAACGATAGCAGTACATAGCGGTCTACATCTCAATGCGTAAACCTCAACCTAAAAGCCACTCTAAAGTCACAAATAATGCTCAGAACAGCACCTAACTTCATCAACAGTACATATAGGGTCCCAGCCATACAACTAGCCATCAAACATGTTTTTAGCTTTGCCTAATTTCTTTAGCAAAGAGACCAAACACAACTCACCCACTTTCCTCAGCAGCCACTTATTTGTGGGGGGGCCCTGACGAGTTGATCACAGAGTGCAGCAGATCATTTCCATGAAGTAATAATCATAAATGTTCTTCCTTGAGCTGCGAAACTCCACTGCACTCAGTGATCTACTGAAACAGGGTAGCTCAGAAAACACCCCCATCTGGTCCGGTCCTCCTGATGAAATTAACCATAGACTGTAAATCAACGCAGAAAAAAAATAAAGTCAACGAATCAGAATATTGGTCGACTCAGCATGTATCGACCAATAGGTCAACCAGTCGACTAGGACTTTACAACCCTAGTTGGTTGACCTACAGAGTCGACTCTGTAAGTAGAGTCGACTCTGGTTGTTGGTGTGAGGTATTCTTTCACTTTCTGACTCACTTGCCATTGGTAATGGACATGTTGAGGCACAGGCATTGCTTTTCTCTCAGTGGAAGCAAAGGCTTACATGCTGTGTAAACATGAGTGACAGACGCGCACACCCCCCTCAGCATTAACAATCTGGCATACCTTTTTTTGCTGACACTGCCGCCTTGAGAAGATGCAGATAGTAATTTCACTCTCTCAGTCTGGAAAATACTGCTTTCCCAGTTACTCACATCAGAGCCACATTGAACCATGAAGTGCTGAGGGTTGGGAAATTTTAACTCTGTACTGTTCAGATTTAAAAGACACTTAGTTTTGTATGTACAGTAAGCATATATGTACGCCCCCTGTATTGATCAACATGTCTTTACATTGGCAGGTTACCAAATACCAATAAACTGGTTTAGCAGTGAGCAGAAGAAGCTTCGGGCATAGGGTCTTCAAACATTTGCTTTACTGACAGACATGCTGTGACAATGATTTCACTGCAGTTCAAATGACAGTGGGCCTCTCTATGCCTTCAAGAGCTTTCAAACAGTCATACAGCAAAATTGGAGCTACTTCAAACATGAGAGAGGAATAATTGTATGTTAGTCCATTATTTTGACATGATCTTAACCTTAAGCAACAATTTTAGTTTACTAGAACATTTTTGTTGTTGTTTTGCTGTTTACTGATTTTGACTCATAAAGGGTTGATTAAGAGGAAACTGAAAGTAAAGCAACTATCTTTAAATGGTGTGCAAATTTCAGGAATAACTGCCTCATTTTTCTCAGCCTGGTTTTAACCAATAAAACAGCTCTATGGCATAAGCTGTTTATTTGAAAATGCTAAAAGTTCAAAAGAAAGGTTGTGAAAGTATTCATAAATTGGAAGTAAATTTTCCACACATTTATCGGCTCAATTTAACAAACAACGAAATTTTGAAATATAGATCTAAACCAGCAATCATCACAGAATGGGCAGATCAGTCCAAATGAACGACAGTCTAAGAGCACTGGGATAGTTTTTCTCTTTCTGGCAGGTTGAACACTGTTGGGACTTGAACTTTGGGCTAAAGCAGCATGCCAGAGCTGTCTGCATGTGACTGGTGACTTGTTAACCTACGCTGGTCCACTCTGCACCTTCGCTGTCGCCATGGTATGACGATCAGGAGATGACTCTGTTTCACAACAGTCTGTTTAAAGGGGACAGAATGATTCCGTCTCGGCTGTTCAAGCAAAGTCCACTTTCAGATTTGAGCCACGAAATGTGAGTTCAGAATCTAATTCCATGAGGGAACCACATGTGAAGATGAATGACACGGTTCTATTAACTTTCTAGCTTAGCAGTGTCAACTACAACTGATATGTAAAGTTATCTAAATGGACTAGGTTTGCTTTAGAATTCTGTATTTATTCAGAAAAACGTACCCTCATTATTGAAAGCCAAAGATGTTTGTATCTCATTTATGAGATAACATCCTCATTGCTCCTCAACTTGCTAAATTTTATTCAAAATTGGGCATGGTTTGTGGTGGTTCGGTGTTGAACTGCATTATATAGTCTCTCAGACTGGGAATATCAGTAACTGAGTACAATTGTAAGACAACTAGCATCACTCTTGCTGCTGTTAGCTGCTGATGCTACAACGCGTACTTTCAATTATTAGGTGATTCGTTACTTTGCAGAGGAGTCACCTGTTACTTCCTTAAATGGGTATTCGGGCGTAAATTTAAGTTATGGTAAAACGTGCCACAGCACCAAGTTAGACACCCCCTTAAGAGATTAATGTTACTCACTGCTTGCTTCTCTAGTTATACCAACTTCAGCAATGACCGCATGATAGCAACACACAGCGGTCTACGTCCCCAAGCACAAACCTCAACCATAAAGCCACTCTATAGCCACAAATAATGCACAGAACAGCACCTAACTTCATCAACAGTACATATAGGGTCACGGCCATAGTGCTAGCCATCAAACATATCATTAACTCTGCCACTTGTTTGTGGGGGCTCTGATGAGTCGATCACAGAGTGCAGCAGAGTTTCGCAGCTCAAGGAAGAACATTTATGATGATTACTTCATGGAAATGCAATAAGACCAAGATGTTAACGCAGAAGAACTACTGTGTTTGCAGTGCAAAATGATTGTTATGATAATTATTACCTCAAGGAAAGGATCTGCTGCACTCAGTGATCGACTCATCAGGGCTCCCATCAGTGTTTGGATGACTTTTCTAGACCATACCCTCTCACCTACTGACCAGCTCTGATCTCAGTAACCATGAACTGAGAAACAAAGACTGTGGTAATACCGTGTTGAGTAAACCGCTCTGAATTTTTTTTTTGTTTTTCACTAACATGCTTTGGAAATCTTTGACAACACCTTGAACTTACTGGGTGTCATGCTAAGGACAGTTTTAACCAAATTACCTAATGATACTTGGGATGACTAAAAGATCTTTTTAATGTTATCTATGCTTGTGCATGAGCTTAAGGTCAGCTGCTTTATCCCTGTAGTGCTAAAAGTTTTCTTAAAGTATTACGTAAGCATCAAAGCAAAGGTTGAGCAGGAACACACTGGAAACAGAAATATGATCTCCCTCCCTGATTTAATCATACTGCAGGGAGTGACAGTGTTAAATGCTTGCAATGGTACACGATGGAGTCAAGTGACAATCATGTTTTCCCTCACAGCCTCAGCCAAAAAGCACACACACACCCAGCCCATGAAACAATCATAACAATAGACCTAATAATACCTTGAGAATGCAATACCTCAAATCATAACACGTTCAAATACTTTGAGTGGCTAGGTGACATTTCTTAAGCTGGTAGAAACAAACTAGAACCTCATGTTCAGCCTCTTACACCTGCACGTGCCATGGATCTGTTTTTCTCGTGTCTCCTCTTAGAGCAGATATTGCTGTCATATTGTCAGTTCTTCCAATAATAACACACATATTGGTTCCACCTAAAGCAAACCTCAAGTGTAAAGTATGCTGTAGACCTTCAATGCTACTGTAATAATGCTATGGATAAAAATGTGTCTTTTTCAATTAATGTCAGATATAGTTTTCCACAGTGTGCCTGTTTTTCACCTGACAAAGACTCCCCTGAGAGATGAGCTCTGTATGCATTCACTTTTCTTTTCAAGTGTGTGATACTCATGCAGAAGTTTTGAGGTAAATTAAATATGGAGTTTGACAGTCAGCTCCAAATACCCCAAAAAGGTTAACAAAACAAAAATGACAATCACTCTTTTGACAAAACTTGTATTTGAACCACAAGCCTTCACCAAATCTACACAGTACTTTGTCAGTCTGTCCTTGACATTGGCATATTGACTCTATCTCCACCATGATCATCAGCTTGTTGGAGTGGTGCAACAAACTGACTACAACTCATAAATGTTGATTCCTGATCACACGACTGCTTGGAGGTGATGTCAGGAAACATCCCCACATTGAACGGTCAGACATGGCCTTCCTGGAATCTTACATCGTTTACAAAAGCTCAGGAGAGGTGTTTTAACATTTCTTATAAATTTTTTATGACCCCGGCATTTAAATTTCCCATAATTATGTCTCACTGCCTGAAGACTATTTGTGAAAAAGAGAAAAAAAAACTGTTGGATGGTACTGAAAAACTTCTTGCTCATCCCCATGAATTAAAAATGAGAATTATAAACCAATTCAGATCTCCTCTTCTCACGTGTACTATAAATCAAGGGTTTCTATTTAAAAAGCGCACACACCGTGTCCAGCCAAAGGTCAGTGTGACAAGGTGCAGGGGCAAGGGGGGTGGGGGGTAATTTGTGCCCATGTAGGTGAAAGGTTTCTGGCCGAGCAAAACTCTTCCTCACTCTCCCCATGTGTTCTTATGTGGGTACAGTCTGACATGAATTACAAACTCTGGAAGGCCTCTTGTTTATATCTTTTCATCCCATGCTATCTGTTCAAATGTCCAACATAATCTCTGGGATTAGTATAACTAAATTCCCAACTGTTCAACTTTTGATCTCAGGTTTCACACAGAGCGTGGTGTGATGTGTGTGTTTTTCTTTATTGTCCATGTACAAGAACGACAGTTGCATGGCACACTTGTGTGATGTTATGTGATAGATGTTACAGAAAAGTGTGTCCTCACTCATTCACAATTTCATTGTTTTGGTCTGTGTACTCCTCTGTGCATACCCACAGCATAACCCATTCATAATTATAATTATGACAATGTCACAATAACAAAGTCTCAGTTTGACTATCATTCACTACTATCACAGCCTATCATATCACTGTCTCAGCTTCTCTTACTCTGGTAACGATAGTCAGCTTGTTGCCAACTGTTTGCTTCTCTAGTTATACCGACTTTAGAAACAGCAACACGATAGCAATACAGAGGCCACGCGCTCAACCAAAGAGCCACTCTATAGCCACAAATAAAGCTCAGAAAAGCACCTAACTTCATCAACAGTACATATAGGGTCCCAGCCATAGTACTAGCCACCAAACATCTTTTTAGCTTTGCCTGGTTTCTTAAGCAAAGAGACTAACACAACTCACCCACTCTCCTCCAGCAGCCGCTTCTCTGTACGGAGACCTCCGGGCAAGTTTATGGACTGCTGCAGGGGGGTGCAGCTCAAGGAAAATCATTACTTTATCATTTCTTTGAAGTAATAATCATCAAAATAATCATCAACAGACGCGGTAGTTCTTTTGCCTTAGCGTCTCGGTCTGATTGCATTTCCATAAGGAAACGATCATAAATGGTCTTCCTTGAGCTGCATTCCCCTGCTGCAGTTGATGGACTCGCCCAGAGGTCTCTGTACAAACAAGCAGCTGCTGGAGGAGAGTAGGTGAGTTGTGTTTGGTCTCTTTGCTAAAGAAACCATGGCTATAGAGTGGCTTTTTGGTTAAGCATGTGGCTCTCTGTATTGCTATCATGCAATCATTGTTACTAAAGTTGGTAAAACTAGAGAAGCCAACAGTCTGCAACTTCCATCTCTTGGTGGGGGTGTCTAACTCTGTGTTACGGTGTGTTTGACCCTTACTTAATTTTATGCCAGAATATCCCTTTAAGTCTGGAAATTAAAAAAAATAAGTTACGATTAGTTCTTTCCAAAGACAATAGTGCTCCTTAAATGTCATTTTCATCTACAACAAGTTAATTGTTCTACTACCAAGTAAAAAGCAAAGACTACAAAAATACTCATGTTCAAAAAGCTTTCTACAGTAATGTGTTGAATACTCAAACTCTTCTGTTTAAGTAACAAAGGATAAATTTTAAATCGGACAGCTAATCAGTGTGTCAATAATCCTTCTCCACAAACGCTTTATCAACTATAAAGAATTTCATGGCAACCACTATTTGTATCACTGCTGCAACAGTCTATCAAATAAATGAATCCCTGTAGCTAGCACTGGCAGAGTAACACATGTAGTTTTGTGTACAGTTTCACAGAGAAAGACTTGTTTCTCTTGGTTTTGGGTGTGCCAGAGATTTAACAATTCCCATCGTTTTGACTTACATGACCCCTGACACACACAGATAGATACACACACACACACCCTTTCCCCAAAACCTCTACATTCTCACTGAAACTCATGAACACGCCCTGATCGTAAGCTACTTTCAAGTGTGGGAGAACACTGACTCAACCTGTGGCTGACCATTTACAAAAATCTGTTTCATTTTAAGGGAGTTATCCTTTCACTAATTTAACATGTGCGCTAATCCAGCTGGAAATTATATCTGCCATGTTCTTAACTTGAAAAATAGGAAAGTCTGTACCTGGCTTAGTAAAAGAAACATTTTGAAAGCTCATCTTAGGTTTGAGGGTTTGAACTGTAGAATTTTAGTGATTTACCATAGATTAATGGCATGTAAACCCTGTTCTCACACTAAAACCTCCTACAACATGTGGGATGATAAAAAAAATCCCATAGTAAGGATTCTAAGAAAAGTGTGTTTTTTCACTGTTTTTCTAGACTCTAGGAACTTCTTATCTGTAAAAAATGTGAATTGCAGTCAAAACAATAGTTAACTTAATATGGAGCCAGATCAGGCTCAAAAGTATTGAAAAAGTAGTGTAAGTGAAAAAATAAAAAGTGAAGAGAAAAAATAAGATTTGAACCTGAAAATAGTAAAATGGTACCTGAAAGTCTTGAATTTCGAAATTGAACTTTGAAAAATCCCAGAATGCATGAAAAAAATCTGTTCAAATGTAACTTTGATTCTGTTTTTAATACTTTTGAATAAATTACTTATTTCTATTTTTCACTTCAATGTATATTTTGATCTTTGAGTACTTTTTTTTTTTTCGATTGAATTTTATTTATTTATTTCAGATTCAGATCTTATTTTTACGGATTCAAAACTTTTTTTTCGGTTTCAGATTTTTTTTTTTCAGATTCAGATCTTCTTTTTTCAGATTCAACTTGAAAAGTTTCAGGTTGACTTTTGAGCCTGTTTTTGCGTGGGGGCTGGCCTCGACTGAGAGGGGCGCGGTCTGCCATGAGTGACAGGCCTCCCCCTCCTTCCCCACCCCATCACCCTGCGTTCAGGAAGTGGCATGAATACACATTAGCTTAGCCTACAATTAGGCTGTATTGGCTGAATAAGATCGTGTTGGTTCGTTCCACTTTAGTGGTGCGAAATAAACTGTGATTCATTAAAAAGCTCTATTGATAGTGAGTACTATCAATAACAGATTTTTTTCACGCATTCTGGGATTTTTCAAAGTTCAATTTCGAAATTCAAGACTTTCAGGTACCATTTTACTATTTTCAGGTTCAAATCTTATTTTTTCACTTCACTTTTTATTTTTTCACTTACACTACTTTTTCAATACTTTTGAGCCTGATCTGGCTCCATAACTAAATATTGCTGGAGTCACAACAAAACTGGAACCTTACACCGAACTGTGCACAACAAATTACTTAATAACTTGTCTGAAACACTTATTCACCTTTACCTAAATGAAATACTCGAGAGCTGTAAAAGCTGTCAATCTAACAGTTCTATTACTCTGTCTGATCTAACCTGAGCTTAAAGGTATAACAGTCAAATGTCTCTACCAAGAAAAGCCACCCCTCTAAGAACCATTTACTAGTAATGGTATGTAATGTCATGTCTGCCTTTCACGTCATGCGTCCAACTGACATCCAGGTGCACAACAAGCACTGAGAAAAGCGTCCACCCCTGTTAAGCTTATGACTTCCCTGTGCTAGACTGCCAAGACCAGAAAAATGCATGGCAAAATGTAAACAAACCAATTTCAGCTGAGGTATGATATGGTAGGAATGAATTTTTCTCTGCTGTACATTTGGCAACCTAACCCTGCAAACACTGTGCTCAAACAACTACCTTTCAATGCCTCAAGGATATACGACCAAATGTCAGGAATGATAATTACTGTATGTGTATGTTTCCTGTCATCCTTAAAATAATGGCAGGAGCCGGCAGTGAAAATTCATGCCAAGTTGCTGTTGGTGTAAACAAAGGGTATCACAAGCAGCGTCACCCCAATCCAATCCAACATAAAAACCCTGAGCTGAAAAAAAACCTGGGGACAATAGTAAAAAAAAAAAAAAAAAAGATCACATCCGGGGGGGAAAATGCATTCCAGTGTCGGCCCTCTGTGGGGAAAAGCTAAGAGTGTTATCTGGGTTTATCAGGGCGGCTGGCCTCCATCCAAGGATCACTCACTCATTAAGAGGGGAGCTCTGACCGGACATTTCAAAGTTTACTGATGAAATGTCCCTTTAATTACATAATCTAGGACAGTTCTATGGTTTTCACAGATGAGCGGATATATCACAGCAAAGAGTCACTGTATTTGCGTCTGCTGTGTTTGATAACAACATCAGGCATCTACAGTAATCTGACCATAGTCATACGAGCAAAGATAGTCTGTTAGAGTGAAAACCTCCTGACAGCAGGTGGTTTTTGGTCATACTTATTTCTAACTGTTGATTAAGCTTGTCCTCCCTTCAGTGACTCTCATTTTATCTCTATCATGCATACTAGATGTGGAGTACATGTTGTATATTCACAGAGGTGTCTCACAAGCTGTGAACATGTCCACTCTACAGAAAGAAGTTTCTGTATATTACAGTAGTGAGTCAGCCTTATCTTGTTTTTTCCTCCCCAAGACTAAAACCACATCATCTGTCATTATCTTGTGAAGAAGATGAGGCAAAGAACAATTTCAATCTATTTCTTAATGCTCTATATCTTTCTCAAGTGACTGATTTTTATATGTCCATCTAAGTGGATTTATTTACTTAAGTCAACATTTGTATGTGTAGAACTTCAGGCAAAAAGCTCTGTTTAAAGGTCTAATGCAGGTATAACCTGTCAGACTCAAGCAGCTGCGTGTTGTTCTTTAACAAACACTTTAGAGAGGAAATTATAGAGTATTCAGCCTGAAGCAGAGACTCCACAAAAAAAAATGCAATAAATGCAAACAAACACTTGGTGTTACATAAAGGAGAGACTACACAAGGACACATTAAAGTTCTTTACCAGCGTTGTCATGAATGTGGTGTAACTGTAGTTATCAGGCATATCTATCCATGCCTGAAAGGTTGCACTGATAACTGTCTCACTGTGTCAAAGATTTCATAAATCAAATGACACAAGTCTTTGAACAATAATCATGGTTTTCATACTTGCGCCGGAATGATTAACCACAATATCTCAATAATAGAATTACATAATAAGAGGATCACGGTGAAGGATAATAAAACGATAATATTTAACTTAAGGTAACAGCATTCCTGAGTGTGGTGAATGCTGCTATAAGGTTGCACCTAAAAAGAGACAAACATTCCCTCGAAAACAGAAACCAAGGCTCATGTCCCCACCTAACCCCCCTCCTGTCTCCATCTCTTTAACACAGTCATTGGTGGATATAAGGAATGCTGACAGCGACAAAGCAACAAGGACCCTACTATTTCAGCTGGTTGCACTGCAAACATTTCTACGAACAGGAACAAGTTTTACCATGACAGTCACACTCAGCCACAACAAAAGACCCTGGACATTTAATTCCTGGAGGAAGTTGTGCTGGAAATTCACTGCCATGAACAGCAGACAGCTCCCTGAAAAAGCATGATTTTGGACAGTAATAATTGATTTCTGTTTGTTTATGTATTAGAGTATACACTTTGATTTGATTTCAAGTTTTATAAGTGCAGCTTGATATGTCTGACATAGATATAAAAGCACAAGTATAGTACACAAGTTTTTGTTGTCAAAACCTAAAATTAAGAAGTAAAGAGAGAGCTCAGTTGAGAAAAAAATCCATCTTGTCTTTAGCAGTATAATCTTTAATGACACATAAATGTACTTAGACTTACCGGGTTTCTTCTCACTTATAAGCCTCATAGTGATGCAGAATATCAGCTCACAGGTGCACACGAATTAATCTACAAAATAATTCAAGACTATTTTAAATAAGCGTCTGTGAGAAAGGCTCAGGCTGAGATATAAAGAGTCACTCCACGCAGCGAAGAAAACTGCACTTTTCTACATCCTGCGGTAAATATGCAAAGTTTCCCCGGGTGATCTTTACTCACATCTTCTAAACACTGGGTAAATATCAGGGCGGAGACCCGGCACATTCACCCTGGCTCTTGAAGACAAAAGTCGGGTATCGATTGGTCGAGGCAAGCCAAGCCCACTTATCAGGAGCTTTTTCACCACCGGGAACCGACCAATCAGAGGGCTCCAAATGCAACCTGAGGGCTCGTGAAAACAAGAGGGGTCTCCCTGACGACGGCAGGCTCGAACAGTGGACAGATCTGTCTGACAGAGTCATACCACATGATCTAATCAAAAACACTGACGGAGGGTGACTATGATCTGATACAAACACGAGAAATGAATAATAGAGGGATAAAATAATAAGGGAGTGGGTGGAGAAAACACAAGATGTTGTCATTGTCATTGCGACACGAGTGGGTTGTGCAAACCCCGGCTGATCTGTTGTGACACAGCATCAGGCTGCGCTCAGGTTCACCTATCACACATACACACACACAATCTCTTCCTCTATAAAACAATCACGTCACATCATGTGTGCAAATTTACGAGGGCGGCTTATAAAGTTGATTGTGAAATGCAGGTTGACACTCACGAGGTCTATGCCGTCTCATTGACTCGGTCCTTCGCCGTAGCCTGCATCTCTTGGCCGGGGAGCCGTTGCACTCCGCATCGTCCCCGCGGTGCAGCAGATGCACGCTCTCGAATGGTCCGCTGTTTGGTCCGCCGCTCGAGCCGAACGCGTTGCCGCTGCAGCAGCTGCCGTTCGGGGCCACCGCGACGTGTCCGTGAAACCCCCTCTGACTTTGCCCGTTGTTGACATGAAAGGGTCCCGTCGCTCCTTTCTTGTCCATCATTGACTTGGCTTTATCCATGGCAGAAGCTAGCCTAGCCTAGCCTAGCTTAGCTTAGCATCTGCAGGGCAGGAGAATGGAAGAGCCCGATCGCTAGCGACGGGAGACCGGGCTGCTTGAGCTTAGCTAGCTAGTGTTAGCGCCGCTGCTTCGGAGCTAAAGACAAGAAACCCGCGACTTCACGTTAGACCTAATTATTTTTCACAGTTCAATATATAATACTCTAAAATATGAAGCTAAAATCGTCGACGTGTAGCGTGCCCTTAAATACAAATATGAGTGGTCGCTAAAATACAGTGTTTCCTTTGAGGTCACTCGCGGTCATTTCTCTACATTGAGATTGTAGCAGGCGCAGCGGCAGCCGGTGTGTGTGTGTGTGTTTGGTTGACGGCTACGTCACAGCAGCTCCTCCAGCCGAGGCCCGAACTCGTTCACCTCCTCCGACCGGTTTTATCTCTCTGCGGTAAAATCACGCTGTAATTCTCATACGCTGTGCAACAAAAAAATGCAAACAATGAATCGTCATGGGCCAAACACAACACAAAAAGCCTCGGCTGGTCCCCCCCCCGTGATACACTACACAACTACAGACACGCGCACGCAGTACCAGTCCGTGCAGCTGTGTGCGCTTTAGTCATAAAAGTCAGTGTTCACCACCATCCCTTTTCCCCGCAGTGCTCTCTATGTGTGCTGTGCGCACGAATAAGCTGCCAGTCAGTGTCAGTTAAGAAAATGCACCGTAGATAACTCTGCAGCTGCATTCCAAAACACATAGTTGTCGTTTAGATCTTTAAAAAAACACTATTTAAAATCACGGCTAACTAAAAATCAAATATATGCCATAATGTGGAACATAAGAAGTCTGTTTTATTTTGTAATCACGTTTTCTTTTATTCCATTTTAAGGGCCAGATGATGTAATTATGTACAGAGGACCTGATAAAAACACAGCATTAGATAAAAAGATACAAAGGTGAAACAGCTGCAGTCTTAGCTCAACAGTAAGAGAACAATCACCCAGAACAGAAGGGATCTTTCTTTCGTTCTTTCTTTCTTTCTTTCTTTCTTTCTTTATTTCTTTCTTTCTTTTCAGGATTTTGTTGTTTGCTGAACCCCTGGTGTTTTATTTCATGTTTTCAATTTTGCATCTCAAGATTACAAGCCAAACATGATTTGATTTTTTATTTCATGCTTTGATTTTGTTCAGTATTTAGACTTGTTTCATTTTTATACTTTAGATTCCAATTTTGAATTTTAAGTGATATTTTGACCTTTTAAACCTGGTTTTAACATTCTTCTCATGTATTTGCTCTTTAAATGATTATTTTTCTATTTTTAATACCATGCTCTGATCTTTTGAACTAATAAATAAAAATAGAAAAAAAATAAAATTTTTCTATCTTTTTAGAATTTCCAAATTATTAATAATCATTGTTATTTTTGTTACATATTTTTTGAAAAGGAGGTTGACAGTTTTGGTGAAATGTTCACCCTCTTTGGCCCTCAGGTTAGACCTACATCAAGATTATGGCCCTTGCTGTGGTTGAGTTTGACACCCTTGGGCTATAGTATGGAGACATTAAATATGCAATCTATGTTGAATAATAAATATTGAGTTTCCCTCCGGGGATGAATACAGTTCTTCTTATTCTTATTAAATAATACAAAAGTAAATAAATATCTCATTATTACACATTGTCAGTAAACTAAAGAGTGTGGCTGATACCTCAAGAAGGGATTAAGACCTGTAATTTTAAAATTTATTAGTGTAGCAATGTCAACCACTGAGGAAGTGTGATTCTTTATAATGGCTGTATTAACCACCCTCAAATATTGTAAATGTACAGAGAGGAATAAATCAAGGCTCCTAATTCCACAGAAATGCTGCCATCTAGCGGTTCTTAGAGTAATAACCTGCAGTTTTGGCTATATCAGGTCCCTCAAGCTTTATAATAGCGAAGACTTATCTACTCTTTAACTAGTTAACTGGAGTTATAGTAGATGAAAACTCCATCTGTGGTTCAATATAAGGTACAATACAACATGCAGTGGCAATAACAGGCCATCAAGTTAACCCAGTGACCCAGACTAAGTAAGAACCAGGTCACAGTTGTGTAGAAATCCTCTAACAGGATTGAGTTCAGTCATTACCTTGGCAATTAAACACAGCCCACTAGAATTTAAGTCTCATTTTTTTGTAAACAATGCACACTGCTTTGCATCTGAAAACACTCCTGTACAACAAAAGTTTAAAAAATCACGATAGCAAACAACAGTCTGCTGTTTATAGTTCCTCTGTGGAGTTTGGTGGTTTCCTTGAGGCTGATAAGCATTAGTTGAGACAGAAGTCACTGAGCCAAGCAGAAAGAAAGAGTAACACATACACTCCTATAAAACTACAGCTTGAAACTTTTACTCTTGAACTTTTGTACAGAGGTAGTCAAATATGTTTATTTATAACACCAAATTAAAATTTCTTACACTTTTAGAGCCTGGTTAGCTTCATTCATTCTTTACACTGAGCTAAATTTAAATTGTATAGGCAAGAGTCTTGTATAAAGTTTTATTTTTTAACAGATTCTACTTGATAAAATTGAAGTCAAGACACATAATAAATTTATTTATTTTACCATAAGAGTTTGTCCTCGGTGTGCTAGGTTTAAGGGATATTCCAGCGTAAAATTAAGTTAAGGTCAAACACACCTTAACACTGAGTTAGACACCCCCTCGAGAGATGAATGTTGCCGACCACTTGCTTCTTTTGTTATACCAACTTTAGTAACAACCACACGATAGCAATACACAGCGGTCTCCATCTCCACAAGCAAACCTCAACCAAAAAGCCACTCTATAGCCACAAATAATGTTCAGAACAGCAACTTCATCAACAGTGCATACAGGGTCCCAGCTACAGCACTAGCCACCAAACATCTTTTTAACTTTTCCTAATTTCTTTAGCAAAGAGACTAAACACAACTCACCTACTCTCTTCCAGCAACTGCTTGTTTGTAGCGAGACCTCTGGCCAGTCCATTATGGACTGCTGCGGGGTGACGCAGCTCAAGGAAGAACATTTATGATCATTACTTTATCATTTCCTTGAAGTAATAATCACCATATTAATAATTTTGCACTGCAGACCTTAGCGTCTCAGTCTGATTGCATTTCCATGAAGTAATGATCATAAATGTTCTTCCTTGAGCTGCGTCACCCTGCTGTAGTCCTTAATGGACTGGTCCAAGGTCTTGCTACAAACAAGCGGCTGCCAGCGAGTAGGTAAGTTGTGTTTAGTCCCTTACCTAAAGAAATCAGGTGTTTGGTGGCTAGTGCTATGGCTGGGACCCTATATGTACTGTTGATGAAGTTAGGTGCTGTTCTGAACATTATTTGTGGCTATAGAGTGGCTTTCTGGTTGAGGTTTGTGTGTGGCTCCTGAGATCGCTGTGTATTGCTATTGTGTGATCATTACTAAAGTTGGTATAACAAGAGAAGCAAGCGGTCGGCAACATTCATCTCTTGAGGGGGTGTCTTACTCAGTGATAAAGTGTGTTTGACCCTAAATTATTTTTACGCTGGAATATCCCTTTAATTCAATAGCATAGCCTCACATCTTTTTTTGGTCATATAACGCTTTATTTGGTAGCATTTATTTCTCTTTAAATATAAGCCACTTAATAACTTGTATTTAAGGCTTTTTAAATGGTCTTGCTGGTACAATAGGGTTCAAGCACTTCAGCTGGTTGTGAGGTAGTGAAACTTCTGTAGCCTTAATTCTTGGGATGTTAAAAAAACAACACACACATTGCAAAGTGTACACAGAGTGATAAGGCATAAGAAAATAGTCAAGTAAATTGATTTCTCTCTTTGTACATCTATTGATTCTACCAGGGAAGTTCAGTTCCATCCCAGCTATATGCCTTGCCAGTCTTTTCAATGTTCAGTGCGTCTATGATGCTCATCAGGCAGTTCACAGAGTGTTTGGTGCTGAACAGCTTGTCTTTTGGCACATTCTTGTGGTATGGTCTGGAGAGGTCTGTGTTCACTGTTCCTGGATGTAGAGACACACACACTACCTGCAAAGATCAGAACATATGTACCACTTTTATACGTGATAGAATGCATTGAAGAGTCAGTTGTAAAGACATCATCAATTACATGATGTTTTCTATCTGCTTCAAGAGATCTAGAAGCTGGCCCCACATTGGTGTCATCTGTTAAGGTGATCAGATCAACTTAATCCATCCAAACTCACCTTTGGTCGGCTGCGGCCAAGCTCAATAGAAAGATTCCTGGTAGCCATGTTTAGAGCTGCTTTCGACATTCTGTAGCTGTACCAACCACCAAGGCCTGAGAAGAGGGGAAAGAGCAAAGTGAACCCCCGAATATCTGCAGACATCGCCACAAATGTTGAAGTCGTGATATTTATACATTAAATTGTTATTTATGTAACCCCTTAATATGCCAATTTCATTTGGTATTTCGTTTATTATTGCATGAGATATTAAAAAGTGTTTCTGAAACAATGACAACACATTTCCTACCATTGTCACCAATGGATCCAACTTTGGCAGTGATGTTGATGATAATACCACTGTGCTGCTTGGACTTCTCTGCAGGCTGCAGACCAAAACCACCTCCACCCTTCTGGAGGAGGGGGGCAAAATATTTGGCCATAACCAAGGGACCTACTGTGTTGGTCATCAAGGTGGAGATAGTGCCCTGAAAGTCAGAAAGTAAGTAACAGAATACATTTTAAATCATGTTAGCGATAAGAAGGGTTTATTCGTGGGGACACATGGCTGAATATCATCAAGTCATGTGAGATTGGAGAATAAATGTAAAACTCTTCTGTAGACAGATCCACGACTTGCAAGTCTTTGGGTGCCGGACTGACATGTGAGAACATAATGCTTTGGGGGAAATGTGTTATACAGTCTATGGTTAAACATCTCAGGAGACGATATCAGCTTTCTTTCATCAAAATTGGAGCTCTGGCTGCCATTTTATGATGCTTTACCTGGGCAGATACATCTCTTAGACTGGTCTCTCCTTTTCCAGAGGGATGAAGCATCGCCGAGGAGTTCACAATCAGATCCAGCCGACCGAAGCTCTCCTTCACACGCTCAGCAGCCCCGCGGACGTCTTCCTCCTGGGTCACATCCAGCCGGAGAAGCGTCAGTTTGCCGGGGTGTTGACCGACCAGACCCCGCAGCTCTGCAGCTCCGTCCGGGTTGCGACATGTTGCTATAACGGCAGCTGGACCTTTATTTTTCAAAATATGTTTGCAAAATTCAAGCCCCAGTCCCCTGCTAGCCCCTTGAATAAGTGCGACGGGGGCAGCCATGATGGCAAATGCTGTAACACGAGATTGGTCGTGGTTGAGTAGTGTTTGCTACCTTCAAGTGCACCTTTAAACGTCGGTATTTATGGTTGTCTTTTTTATTTCATACCAATGAGTTGAGGGAATTTTGCTCACAAATAGCTTTACATTTTTTTTCAAATAATTATGACTTCTAGTAGCACTGTAACTATGTTTTCAATGCAAATTATTCCTCTCTGTAAATGACCAATGCGAAGCCAGCGGGGAGACCCTGAATGCAGCATGTTTCACAACAAGCATAAACGCCCCCTGTAGGTCAAAAGAAAGACACTTACACAACTGTTTTTATTAACCGTAAACTCAAGCAATTTCACTTTGCACTAGTGTAAAGTTGTGCGATACTTGACAATAGACATGGACTGAAATAATTTGAGTTTAATTCGCATATTTTTATGTATATATTTAACAGTCACTCATGGTGTATAGGGCAGCGAAAACCGCGAGGAAACAACAGAGGGCAGCAATACGCCTTGGATGCATGTAGTCTGCAGAAACCAAAGAAGAAGACGAAGAGGTTGCCTAGCGACCAGAGGAAGAATAGCGTCTGCTAGCTAGATGGTTGTGCATGGATAGTGCATGATAAAACAGGGAACAAATGCCACCAAAAAGAAAAGGACCTCTGCAACTGGTGCAGAGAGAAGTAGATGGAATCAAAAAACAGGTGTGCTGCCGAATGTCTTGACTCGTGTATTTAGGACAGTTGTGTTTTAGCAAAAACTGATAGCCAGACGAGCCTGTTGGATGATCGGACTGACTTGTGCAGTCACTGAAATCAAGCTTGTTAAGACTGTGATGTTAAAAAAACTCTGTTTTTGGATGATGAATCCAATTCAATAACCTTGTTACCTTAAACACAGCTTTTCAAAATTGTCTTGTAGGCTACGGTGAAAGCTGGAATTGAATAAGTATCTACAAGTCTGTTTTTGCTTAATTACAACAAAAATAGAGGAATTAAAGTACTTCTTTTGATAGTTCTCATTCATTTTGGTAAAGTACCCTGATTCAGAAAGCAGCGAAACAAAGGCAGGAAAAGAACAGTAGTCGCCAGTATGATCATGTCAACAAAAACTGTAAATCTGGAAGTTTCCTGAAAGCAGAATTTGTTAACTGTAGATTTAGATTGCATTAGATACTGTTACAGTTGGTTAGGGTATAGTCTATGTGTTAAAGATAAGAGTGTCATAAACATTTATTTTGTACATCGTAAATTTGCAGGTGTAAACTGTAAACCCTTGTACTCAGTGTTGATTGAGTTCTGTCTTTTTTTCCAGGTTGACAGTCTGGTGAAAGATGTTCAGAATCATGATGTATCCACTGAAGAAGCACTTCGAAGGTGGACATCTTTAACAGAGCCTCACATGTGCTGCTTTCTTACATTTTTCTAGTTCATTATCAACCCTTATCCAGACTTGCTTGACAATGAAATTGTTTTACTTTTCTTCACACTCCCTTTCTAATTTTCTTATTTTCTTCCCAGTAGGAGTCGATATGAGCTGCCTTTTTCTGAAATGCTTTGGATTCGATGTTATTTTAATGAAGAATTTTGTTACAGGTGTCAAGAGCTGCAAATATCTGCAGAGAAAACACTGAGGACACTAAAGAACCTGACAAAAGTAAGACCTGCAAAATCAATACACTTACAACTTATATTTTTTTATTCCGATTCATCACCTTGTAGGTATTTGAGCTGCATTTTTATGGTTCTACTCCCAAAATGCAATCACCTGTTGCAACTGCTCTTTGTATTCAAAAAGGAAGAGTTAATTAAGAAAGTCAAATATCAGGCTAATGTCCAACTGCCATCTCATGTTGTTATTCCAAACATAGGTTTTGGAATATACCTTAAAAACACAGATGTAATCCTAAATTGCAATTTGTTGCTTCATTGTCAAGGCTGATGAGCTGGCTCCAGTTGGGAACTATGATCAGAGGAAGCAGGAAGAAGAAAGACGACTACAGAATCTCTTGGAGCACCTAAACGCACTCTCTCTGGAACTTTCCCCACCAGGACCCAGTACTGCTGCAGGGTCAGTGACCTGGATTTTTACTGTAAACAACAAAAAGACAATAATAACATCCAAATTATCTTTTTTTCCCCTCAATTCACAGTGATGTTTCAAAGGGGGAGAGTGAGGATGATGATGATGATGATGATGAGGATGATGAAGACACGAACGATGATGTTGATGACGATGACGATGATGATGATAATGATGATGAAATGGAAGTTGGGAAACCACCTACTCAGTCTGAGCCTCATCTTTACACGGTTCTCAGTGATTTCAAAGGAGAACAGGAGGGGGATCTGACAGTACAGGTAAAGCCAGGCTTTGTCAGGGTCTGATTTGTTAAATCTGACACTAAAACTATTGAAACATTATTTAATATTATTTAACTATTTACAGCAACGGACACGCTTGCCCTGCAGCTTATATGCTCACAGGCCTCTGCATATTGTTATGCCATACGATTTTTTAAATCGATTTCTCATGTTTACAGAGAGGGGAGGTGTTGAAAATCATCAGGAGGACAGCAGATGGATGGTGGTTGGCTCAGGACAGTAAAGGCAACAGAGGAGTGGTCCCCAAAACCTACCTGAAGGTACACAACCTGTATTGATAGTTTGACTTTTACATTTCATTAAACAAAAGCTCAATTAAAAGGTTCAGTCCATCTGTTAAAGATATGATAAGTATTTATTTTTCTGATTCAATCACTTTTATTTTGCTGTAGCCACTTGTATTCTGTGTGTGATTTAAAACTGAGGTAAATGCATGCAGAAAATAGAGTGACACCAAAGGCAAGAGGCATTCAATATGGTTATTTTATAATTACACCCTTACAGAGAACTATAGTATCCCTCTTTTCAGATTGGCACTGGTGTTGATGACGAAGGTGACGAAGATGATGAGGACGACAACGATGAGGAGTCAGAGGAAGATGAAGAGGAACTGACGGATGACAGAGTTAAACAGAGGTTCGTTGTTTTCAGCTTTTTCATGTGGTCAGAAGGATCTTCAAAAATTGCCTATTTCAGTGCAGGTAAAATCAGCTTTTATATGTTTATTTATGTCCTTCAACAGTGCTGTTTCACATTCAAACTGGGGTCCTGTCAGAAAGGCTCTGGCAGAGGTAAATAGTAACTGACTGTATAACTACTGTTACTCACACAAATGAAAATTAAAAGGTCAAAAATATGGACATGTTGGATTATTTTCACCATGTGTGTCCGTCTGTGTTTGTGTGACAGATTGATGCCACTGACGTGCTCTCTGCCATGGGAGCCATACCATCAGGATTCAGACCATCAACTCTCAATAAACTGCTGATGGAGGAAGGTCAGTGTTCTCTCTGTTATGCGTCCACACTAATGAATAGAAACACAGGAAAAAATATTGCAGATAAAGGGGGTTTTGATAGACGAGCAGAGGATTTTTGTTCAAAACTGCGCTAAAATTTTAATTTGATATTGTTCGTAACTTACAAAAGCATATTGCATTCACTTACAAAACATAAAGAAGGAAACTGGTTTTTTTTTGAGTATTTTTTTTCTTTGCTGTTCTTCTGACTAATTTTTCTCCACCTTCTGTTTTTCTGACTATTTTTTTCTTCTGTTTTTGTGTACAGATATTTTTCCCCCCTCTTTCTGTTTTTCAGACAATTTTTTACTCTTTTTTGTACTTTTTTTTCCTTTTCCATTTTTCTGTTTTTCAGACGATTTCTTTTCCTGACTAAACGAGATACTTTAAAATCCTGTGAGAATCTCATACAATCAGATCAGGTTAACCACCATGGCTGCTCCAAATCAGCGGATTCTCCAGCTTCTAGATAACTTTGACTACAGGGTCAATGAGAGTAGGGCATGTTATTAGTTAAACATAGGGTATACAAATCCTGAAGTGCCTGCGCAAAGTAGACAAACTTATGACGATTCCATCTATCTGAAAAGAGTATGTCCCAGTGTCTCAAACCCAAAAGAAAGTCAAACTTGATTAAACTAAAAAAGTGGGCCATGTTTACTTCTAATAAATCAAGCAGAGGGGGATGAAAGAAACTAATGATGATGATCCCAGAGAATAGGAAAAACAATTAGTCTGAGAAACAGAAAAGACAAAGAAATTACTCTAAAAAACAGAAAAAACTAGTACGAAGAACAGAACAAAAAAAATTACTCTGAAAAACAGAAATTTTTTTGGTGAATGCAATACGCTTCCTTAATACATAATAAAAATAAAATCTGCTAAAAATAAATAAAGTAAATATGGAAACAACACCCAGCATACAGTTTCTCACAGTGGATTTGGTTAAACTGTGCAGTAGTTTGGTGTTTCATACATTCACTGTGTTTGTGTTGCATTTTATTGGTTTATTGTGGTTTTAGTTTTTGTGTTGTTTTAAGAACAATCAGGGAGCAGCGAAGTGAGACAGAACTTTTCATGATTGCCACAGTGTATACTCCCACCACGACAACTACCACCTCACTGTAGGACAAGAATTTGTCATACATTTTTACTTATAAACATTAGTAGATCAGAGTAAGTAACCAGTTGCTTATTTTTATGTCCAGGTGAAACATACAGAGGAAGTGACTATATTCAGCCAAAACCCAGTGAATCAAAACTCTCCTTTTGTGACCTCTTCTTGGACCCAGACACTGGCAGGGTAAGACAGGCCCCGTGTAGTGTGTGTAGTGTATCTTTTATGAATAAAGATAATTGTAGGTATACTTTTAACATAAGTTATCTAGTTAAGCATAATCCTCTGTAAAAGTTATGCTTCCATTCACTTGTCTGTCTCTGGTTCTGTCATACAGGTCCGAGCTCGGCAGGTCAGGACTTGTGTTTGTTTTTCTTTATGGAGCTGCAGGATGATTCCCACTCCAGGGGTTGGAGTTCAGGTCCTCAGCAGACACATCCGCATCTGTGCCTTTGATGGAACTCAGGTCAGGAATTTCTGTTGTAGACATACAATTTGTGTCATCTATGCTTTTGTACACACATCTCTCAGCTGCTGTGTTTTTCTGGTATGATAAACTGTCACATACAATATCAACTGTTTAAAAACAAATTATATTTCCATTTTTTAAATGTACTTTCTGTTCGTGTGTTTCAGGTGTTGAGTAATATCCACACTGTGAGGGCAACATACAACTCAAAAAGCCCCAAATCCTGGACGTTTTCACCAAGGGTATTTTCGCAGCAGCACAAACATCGACTTACACATAGTTTTTAATCATTACTGATGTGCAGTGTTAAAATGTAGAATCACTAATTTAAATTTTATGCTTCAAGCTGTTTGAGCTGTTTGCCTCTGATCGGTTTCATTCTAGGTAACAGGTGTCCTACCCACCCTCCTGGATGGAGACTGTTTCCTTCGCTCAAACTCGGCATCACCTGACCTCGGTATCCTCTTTGAACTGGGGGTCACTTTTATACGGAATGTAAGGATTTATACACACACATATACAGTGGATACACACACACCGTTTGTAATAAGATAAACAAGTGCAAATAGGATGTTTAAAATCATGCAGAAAATGAAAAGTTCTCTGCTGAAACCTCATTTTTTTGCTGGCATGTAAGAGAAAAAAGCAGATTTACTCTCTGTAGAATCAGTAGAGACTATGCACAAAGCAGCAGTGTTTGATTTCCCGTGTGTGTGTGTGTGTGTGTGTGCTTTAGTCCACAGGTGAGAAGGGAGACCTGAGCTGTGGCTGGGCTTTCCTCAAACTGACTGACGACTCTGGAAATCCAGTTCCATTTAGGTACACAACAGCACACTCACAGACATGCTGTGCACACAGTGTACACTATTATATTTACAAAAATACTATTTTGTGCAAGCAGCCATGAACATAGTCGAAGCTATTACACATGAATACATGCAAACACTGTCTCATATTTAAGAGAATAAGTGCATTTTTAACTTGACTTTAAACCAGTATGTCTTCTTCCTCATGATTTTTTATGAGTATGAATCTATAAATCTCTATAAAAATAAAAATAAAAAAATAACACAACTCAAGAACCAAAAAAGTTTTAATAGTCTGGCAATTAGTTCTTTGAAATCTAACTGTATTTAATCTGTGTTCAGGACTTATGAGTTGCAAGTGAATGGCGGTACTCCCTATGAGAAGGATGTGATGGTGGAGACTACAATCACTCGAGGATGTAAGAACATCAGCACTCAGTGTCACATTAAGTCCGCTTCAGGACAGACAATTTAAAAAGATTTTTACAAAAGGATGTAAACTCTGAAGTCATAAGCTCACATTGTGTCTCTGCTCCTCATAGCTCCTGTGGGCGTTTTCCAGCAGATGCTGCATGCCAGGCGACAGCCTAAACTCATTGTGAAGTTGAAATCAGTAAACAACCGGACAAGAATGCAGCTCAGGTGGGATCATCAGCAGGACTAGAACTATCACAGAGGCTGAACACATGCAGATGACTGTATGATCGGATCTGGCAACAATGAAGGATTTGCAGAAAACAGGCATGTGTTTCAGCGTGTGATGATGACCATGTTTTCCTTTTCAGCCTCCTCCCAGACACTCTGCTACACAGTCTGAGCTGTGTCCACCTGCTGGCTCTATATAGGCAGCTGCTAGCTGATGCACTCCTACTGGACAGACCAACAATGCAGAATGCAGGTAAAACATAACTTTCTCTATTCTATAGTTTAGATGCCTATAGTTTATGGAAAGAAGCATTTTATATAAAATATCTCTCTGTTTCAGATCCAATTTGCAGTCCTATACTTGCCACCTTTCCAAAGCTGTTGGACCAACCAGACCTGCTGGATGCTCTCAGGGTCAGTCCCCTCAGTCAAACACAAACTACCGTAGCTTTTTGTATGAAGTTAAGCAAAGATCAGCAAAGCTTTTTGTTAAGAAATTTTTTATTGACACCAAATAAGCTGTGTTTTTGAACACTATGAATAAGAAGATTTTAAATTCAACCTGAATCATTTTTCTTGACCAAATTTACAACAGTCAAAACTTTATACTACAGTCCTAATAATAGAACACATCTGTTTTTCCTACCAGAAAAAAATCTATGGCATGATAATGAAGCTTATGTGACGGCTCTGAGAATTTGAAATGACAGAGATAAAAAATCGTAGAATCAAGTTAGTTCTTAGGCTATGGGAAAGGATAAGGGCCACTAGGAAAAAAAAATTAAAAAATGTTTTAAAAAGTTCCAATTTTATTTTTTTTATCATAATTCTGAGTAAAAAGAGAGAAACAATCTGCACACTTCTGGTCTGTTGCAAAAAGAAAGGCTTTACCGAAGCAAGCTTTCGGTCGGTTAGACCTTCATCAAGGCACTCTGCCTTGATGAAAGCTTTCTGCTAATCCTGCACCTTCTCTCCAGATTGAGCGGTGACCCTTCACTATTTTACTTATCATAATTCTGAGAGAAAAAGTCAGAATTCTGACTTAAATTCTGACTTTTTTTCCCCTCAGAATTATGATTAAAAAATAACAAAAAGAAAAGAATAAAAAAAAACAATATTTTTTTTCCCTTGTGGCCCTAATCCTCTTCCATATTAAGCAGAGTCATACATCTTGTCAGACAATATGTGTCTGACAAGATATAAGGCTGCAATTCATAGACTGTATATAGAATAGTAGAGAATAGAATAAAATAAAAAAAAAATAGTATAGAATGTAGCATATCCAGTCTATGCTGCAGTTTCAGGACTGCATGCTGGGACTGCATCTCTGAGACCCTTGTGACGTTGGGACAATTATGATTGTGGGGATAAGGGTAAGGTTTACAGGTAGGTACTAAAAGTTGTTATAGTGGACACCAAAAGTGTGGTCCTTTGTAAGCAGGAGGTGGTGCTGTTGCAACAACAAGGGTCTTGAAAATGTGGTCCTGAATCTGCAGTCTCTGGGTCTGTTGTCATACGCTTCTCACCTGTCAGATATCTTAAGAAAATCCTGAATGCCTCACAGCTTGAGAGTTTTTTGATCTGATTGAAATTAAATAGTGGTTGTAATATAACTGTAATTTTCCCTCATTTTAGAGTGCCTGGCTGGATGCTGAGACGAACATGACCAGAGCACAAAAGGTCAGTTTTTACATGTGCATGTGTGCGCATGTTGGTGTAATCTCCATACAAACCTGTAGAGGGTACTAGAAGGATAATTACCTGGTGGTTCCTTCCTACCAAGAAGTTCAAATGAGTTTGTGTGTGCAGGTATAATGTAAACTGCACATCACACCAGCAGACACGTAAAAACCTTTTCCTTTCTTGTCGCTGTGTCTTTTCAGAGGGACTTGCCCTATTTGAAGCAGGAGTTCAGTAAAGTCTACATGTCCGCAATCTATTTCCTCCTCCACTCATCCTCTTTGCCCTGCTATCGCTGGGCAGACCCGCCCTCAGAGGAGCAGAGGGCTAGAGTCATCTTCTCCACACTGGGTGCTCTCAAACACAGCCAGCAAACCGGCAGCCAGTCAGGGGGCGAAGAGCTCTTTATAGACCCCACTCATCAACATCTTGCCTTTGATGTTACAGAGCTGACCTTTGACCTTCTAAAAGTGTTGCGGTGACATCAAATCTATCATTGGAGGGGTACAATTTGAAGTTTATGACCTTATATCATTTAAAGAATTCAAATAAAATGTATTCTTAAATTTGTAAAAAAAAAAAAGTGTTGTGACATTTTGGAATTTGATTTGAAAACTTTCAAGGTACAGCCGGTAGTATCTCATACTTTTTCATCTGTAAGAAAGGGAACACATAATATTTATTTCAATCCACCATTACTTTTCCACAATAAAACAGTAACAGTTATATCAATCAATGCTTTTAAAAAAACAACAGAGCTCCATAGCACAGTGTGAATAGTCTCTAGTATGGGACCAGTTTATCAACAATAATGAAAATGTGTCTTTTTACTCTCAATAAATGTGGGCTACCATTACACATATAGAACATACTGGACTACAGCATGAACACACATTCAAATTCCTTGACACAGATTACAGCAAATGAAGTTGACGTTATAGCCTATATGGTTGTGAAATGAAAGGTTGGGTAAATGTAGACAATGAAAACATGATCATTAGAGCTGCACATTAAACGAAACCCTTGAGTCACTCTGCTGCTCTTTAAGTAAACACCCAAAGGTTACAGTGACAAGGATTTACCAATTTATACTGATAATACAAACATGTTATATGTTTAACTTTTTATATATGACATTATAGGCAAGTTTGAGCAAGCATGTTATTTATGGCCAAAAGTTTTTCTCTTTCTTTGATAAATTCTGTTTTGGAGACAGTTTCATTACAGACTCAATGTCATCTGACTGGTCATTGCGCTGCTCCATTCATCTCCACCCACTAGTTCAACATTTGTAATGTCTTTGTGTGTGTGTGTGTGTGTGTGTGTGTGTGTGTGTGTGTGTGTGTGTGTGTGTGTGTGTGTGTGTGTGTGTGTGTGTGTGTGTAGTGGAGTGTAAGGTTACAGAGCATAGGAGCAGTGTTCAGAGTTAATAATTGGCCTGCTGACGTCTTTTTTTAGCCAGGTATAAAAGAAGGAGAGCAGTGAGGCTGGATCAGTCTGGGAGGAGGCAGGCTGGGTTATGCTTCAGTAGTGGTTTCACATCTTTCGTAACATTATCAGAGTAAATAATGATTCAGTATAGTCATTTATTGTACAATACATTCATGACAATGTCAACCCTCAAGGTATTTGAGTGGAACAAAAGTTACTTTGTGGTTCTCAAAACAGCGGTTATGTCTTTGATTCTTAAACAAGTTTTTTTTTTTTTTTCTTGATAATATACGTAAGAAAAAATGTAGAGAATATTATTCACTGATTTTGCATGTTGTGTAGAACCACTGAAACCGTTTTAGCTAAAGCAGAGGGAGCACATCCTGCTTTAAATCTACAGAGCCTAAAACAGCCATGCCAGTTCTTTAAGATTGTAAAATAAAAATAAAAAATTCTGCACAAAAATAACTGTAATTTGCAAAATGCTATTAAAAAATTAATTCACTGCACATCACAATTCATTTTTATTATTTTTGGGTACTACCAAAACCCATTGCTTGCAACCTCCTTTATGACTTTACATTTTACAAGCCACAGAGTCAGTACTCCTTATTTATCCCTGGGAAGAATTTTAGTAAACAGATGCGTTGGCCGGGAATCGAACCCGGGTCAACTGCTTGGAAGGCAGCTATGCTAACCACTATACCACCAACGCTGTTCTGCTCTGTCACAAACCATAAAACTCAACCCGCCTGACCATAATTCAACCTCTTCACATCAAACAGCCTCTTATTCCACTGACCCAAATGTTCCCCCACATCTCTTGACCTTCAGTCTTTCTAAGTGTGCACAAACACACCAAAATATACTGAGCCTTCCTTTGGTGTAGTGTTTGCTAGTGAATAATAACCCTGATCCTGTATTTCCACATTCCAGTGCCGTTGTCATGGTAACGGCACCCACAGTGGCCAGAGAGGGTTGTTTAGTGTCAAAAAAATCTGTGTAACCATCAGGGCAAATGTAATATAATATCTGAAAGCAGCAGTGAATGAACCATGCCACTTCTGCAGAACAGAAGATGCCTGTTGAGTACTACACTGTTCTGATGAATAAAAAAAAGTCATTCAATACGATCAAATACCAAAGTATTTGCATGTGTCCAGTCTGAGCTATCTGATCAACAACACAAGACCAAGTCTGCAGATTAACAATTTTACACCTTATTTAGGTTTTATACACAGTCTAAATCAGCAGCAATGAAAGGTGGCTGTGAATGCAGGTGGCTAAACTGAACAGAAATTAACTGATTGCACACCATGTGCACATAGTGACAGTGAAGATTCTTTTTTTCAATACAAAAAGCCCTGACCCACCATAGTGCATTGAAATAAAAACAGATTTTTCATCTGCATATGCTCTCCTGATCATTTACCACTACTTAAATTAGTTTTCATGGTTCATTCAAGCTCATTGACACCATTAATTAAATAAATATTTGTGCCTATTTTACTACAAAATAATTGATTAGCACATGAAGATGAAAATAAACTTTAAAAACATCCTGCAGTGTGCTATGAAAATAATCACATGCAATAAGAGACAAGTAATAAACATGCTGTAAAACATAGGATTTGGGCCTTTATAAGGTAAAGGGATGGTGTGTTTATATTACAAATCCTTCAAAGATGTTAAAAATGCATGATTTATCTAATGACTCTTATACATTAAAGGTATGTACAGAGATCAGCACTGTTTTTATTTCATCCAGGCTCATCCGTGAAGCTGAATCCAGTTCAACAAACTGAAAGGAGACCCATCTCTGAATATTGACAGTGATTGTGTGCATAGAAATGATATTCAGTCACAGACAGAAACCTCATTGTAAATGTGACTGCTATTATCGCCTGGAAACGTTGAGACGCTCTCACCCAGTTCTCATTGTGCGAGTCCAAGGTGGACCATTGTGTCTGAGGAGGACAAGGAAGATGAGGAGGGGGAGCAAAGCAGGTCAGGACCAGTTCAGCAGGAAAATGGGAGTTTCCATAGAAGCTGGAAAGATGATCCAGGAAGGTAGGACATGTTTCTTTTTGTCATGTTAACATCAATAAAAGAAAATAATAGGTAAAACAAGAAGACTGTTGGAAATACAAACAAAGATTTGTGTATTTTTTGTCACAAGTCTATCTTAAAGTCCCAGAGATTATGACACATAGTGCACATTTCAAACATAATGAATCAATTAAACATGTGAATCTCCTTAAGACACCCCATAATGTGGCTCAGTAGTGTGTATGGCCCTCACGTGCCTGTATGCATTCTTTATGGCCACCTCTCCCGGTGCACTGGTCTGTCTCCTGGTATCTCCTCCATGTTCTTGACACTGTGCTGGGAGACACCACAAACTTTCTGGCCCCAGGGGTGTCAGAGTGAGCCATACAACAGGGGCTACACAACCTAAGCAACTTCTGTGGGCTGCAGATACCACCTCATGCTACCACTAGAGGCAAGGACTCTGGAAAAATGCAAAACTATCCAAAAACCAGACAGGAAAGTTGAGGACAGGGAAATGGTCAGTGGCCTACACCTGTAAAACCACTAGGTGTTTAGTTGCTAATTGCCTCTCTAGTCCACCCGATTTCTGTCCCATTGCAGCAAGGGAAATTGATTCATAGCCAGTATTGCTCTTTAAGTGGACAGGTTGATATTCAGGAGGTGTGATTGCTATGGAGTTACACTGATTCATATGTGTTCCCTTTAGTTTTTCAAACAGCTGTATTTGCATCAAAGTCAAAATTTTTCTCATTGAAGGAAATTCTTGACTTATTAACATTGGCTATAAGAAGCTAAAATGCTCTGTGGGTCTAAGGGGGACTGAAGAGTTGTGGTTTGTCTGTTTAAGGTTTATGCAACTAAAGGGCCATTTCAGCCATAAAGAGTGGACCCCCTCCTTTTTCTTTTGCTTAGCAAGTAAGTGAACAGCAGTGAGGATCACATTACAGACTTGTAGTTTAATATTGGTGAGGCATTTATGCTTGTCCCCCTCCTGAGGGGTCAAAGGTCAGGTTCAGTCCCATGGAAGCACAGCAAAACTGCCACCTGAAAACAATAGGCTTGAACCTACTTCATAGAGGTTGGTACTGAAATTTTTAAATTCTTTTCTCTCTGTAAAACATCAAAATTTAAGGTTTCTCCAGTGGGGACTCAAACTGCAAAATGTCGGTCATAATTGTTTGTGGCAAATAGCTATTGTAATTTGACAGAGCTGGCAGGGGTTCCCATGGAAGTGTGTGTGTGTGTGTCTGGAGGGTCATAGACAGTAACCAGATCCATAGTGGAGGAGCTGCTCCAAGGCGTGTCTCTCTTAATGCTGGCCAAACACAACTAGTTGGCAGTCTGTTGAGTGTAACCTAGTTTCTCTGTGTGTTTTTGTCTTGTGATTGTGTCACATTTCATCAGCGGAGAAGATTAAGTGAATTGTTTACTTCACTTCAGATTAATTAAAAGCATATTATAAATAACATTTATACCATGAACCAGCAAGTAAACCTTCATACTAAAGTGAATCTATGAATGAATTAGTTATAAAATAAGATGTTAGATTATCTGATGAATTCTGAATTAACAAAACAACAATGAATATACAGTGATTTAAGCACAAGTGTGAGTAAGATCATTTGCACGAATCAATTACATGTAAAGTCAATGCCAAAATGAGATAAGACACTTGAACTACTCTGGCGGTGTGAATTGCATGAATTAAGTGAGTTATTCGCATGAATTTGCAAGAGTTGAAAATGTCTAAACTCAAGCAAATATTTGTTTCGCAGTAACCAATCAGCATGAAGATTCCCGGGCGATGTATGAAAATGGACCAAAAGATGTTAACTGGTGTGGAAAATGGAGGAAACGCTTATTGTGTCTGTGTGCGGGCACATGGAGCTGTTCGACACAACGTGTGCTTTGTTTTTTTTTTAAATAAAAACAGGAATAAAAAGGAGCTTGCGTGAAGGAAAGTGAGTAAGGAGGTCAGATTATCTGGTAAATTGGGAAGAACCATTGTCTATCACTTCCACAGTCCACAGTCTGTTGACACACGAATTGCGCAAATTGACTAAATGATTTTCTTGAAAAGATTGAATTATTCCTGTGAAT